CGCTCTAGCAAGTCGTTGAGGTGTTCTAGTGTCATATTGAATTCACGATCGGCATCAGCATCCTGGGTCTTATATCCACTTAAGCGACTAGCGGGAAAGTCAAACGCTTCAGCAGGCTCCTTACTTGGTTGCTGGAGGTTGTTGAAGCACGTCTTCAGCCGATGATCTTTTTGCAGATCCTACCCCCTCGAATCTTGGTCTCGTTGCGTTTCGCGTATCTGTTGAAGATGATAGAAGGACCACCAGCAATGTTCGCCTTCATCTTGGTGTAGATGTCCTTCTCCTCTCTATCGATCCTGTACACCAACCTGTCTGAGTTGAATTCAAGTAGCTTCTTGTGGCGGAAGCCCTTTAGCGACATGTTCTTGCGAGCAACGTTGCATCCCACACAGCTGATCAAGATATTACCATCGATGTGTCCGAGCTTGTTATTGATTCGGTCAGCCGAGGCAGTATCAGCTGTGAGTTGCTTGTAGCATAGCCCACACAGGTACTTTTGTCGCTCTAGCAAGTCGTTGAGGTGTTCTAGTGTCATATTGAATTCACGATCGGCATCAGCATCCTGGGTCTTATATCCACTTAAGCGACTAGCGGGAAAGTCAAACGCTTCAGCAGGCTCCTTACTTGGTTGCTGGAGGTTGTTGAAGCACGTCTTCAGCCGATGATCTTTTTGCAGATCCTACCCCCTCGAATCTTGGTCTCGTTGCGTTTCGCGTATCTGTTGAAGATGATAGAAGGACCACCAGCAATGTTCGCCTTCATCTTGGTGTAGATGTCCTTCTCCTCTCTATCGATCCTGTACACCAACCTGTCTGAGTTGAATTCAAGTAGCTTCTTGTGGCGGAAGCCCTTTAGCGACATGTTCTTGCGAGCAACGTTGCATCCCACACAGCTGATCAAGATATTACCATCGATGTGTCCGAGCTTGTTATTGATTCGGTCAGCCGAGGCAGTATCAGCTGTGAGTTGCTTGTAGCATAGCCCACACAGGTACTTTTGTCGCTCTAGCAAGTCGTTGAGGTGTTCTAGTGTCATATTGAATTCACGATCGGCATCAGCATCCTGGGTCTTATATCCACTTAAGTGACTAGCGGGAAAGTCAAACGCTTCAGCAGGCTCCTTACTTGGTTGCTGGAGGTTGTTGAAGCACGTCTTCAGCCGATGATCTTTTTGCAGATCCTACCCCCTCGAATCTTGGTCTCGTTGCGTTTCGCGAATCTGTTGAAGATGATAGAAGGACCACCAGCAATGTTCGCCTTCATCTTGGTGTAGATGTCCTTCTCCTCTCTATCGATCCTGTACACCAACCTGTCTGAGTTGAATTCAAGTAGCTTCTTGTGGCGGAAGCCCTTTAGCGACATGTTCTTGCGAGCAACGTTGCATCCCACACAGCTGATCAAGATATTACCATCGATGTGTCCGAGCTTGTTATTGATTCGGTCAGCCGAGGCAGTATCAGCTGTGAGTTGCTTGTAGCATAGCCCACACAGGTACTTTTGTCGCTCTAGCAAGTCGTTGAGGTGTTCTAGTGTCATATTGAATTCACGATCGGCATCAGCATCCTGGGTCTTATATCCACTTAAGTGACTAGCGGGAAAGTCAAACGCTTCAGCAGGCTCCTTACTTGGTTGCTGGAGGTTGTTGAAGCACGTCTTCAGCCGATGATCTTTTTGCAGATCCTACCCCCTCGAATCTTGGTCTCGTTGCGTTTCGCGTATCTGTTGAAGATGATAGAAGGACCACCAGCAATGTTCGCCTTCATCTTGGTGTAGATGTCCTTCTCCTCTCTATCGATCCTGTACACCAACCTGTCTGAGTTGAATTCAAGTAGCTTCTTGTGGCGGAAGACCTTTAGCGACATGTTCTTGCGAGCAACGTTGCATCCCACACAGCTGATCAAGATATTACCATCGATGTGTCCGAGCTTGTTATTGATTCGGTCAGCCGAGGCAGTATCAGCTGTGAGTTGCTTGTAGCATAGCCCACACAGGTACTTTTGTCGCTCTAGCAAGTCGTTGAGGTGTTCTAGTGTCATATTGAATTCACGATCGGCATCAGCATCCTGGGTCTTATATCCACTTAAGCGACTAGCGGGAAAGTCAAACGCTTCAGCAGGCTCCTTACTTGGTTGCTGGAGGTTGTTGAAGCACGTCTTCAGCCGATGATCTTTTTGCAGATCCTACCCCCTCGAATCTTGGTCTCGTTGCGTTTCGCGTATCTGTTGAAGATGATAGAAGGACCACCAGCAATGTTCGCCTTCATCTTGGTGTAGATGTCCTTCTCCTCTCTATCGATCCTGTACACCAACCTGTCTGAGTTGAATTCAAGTAGCTTCTTGTGGCGGAAGCCCTTTAGCGACATGTTCTTGCGAGCAACGTTGCATCCCACACAGCTGATCAAGATATTACCATCGATGTGTCCGAGCTTGTTATTGATTCGGTCAGCCGAGGCAGTATCAGCTGTCAGTTGCTTGTAGCATAGCCCACACAGGTACTTTTGTCGCTCTAGCAAGTCGTTGAGGTGTTCTAGTGTCATATTGAATTCACGATCGGCATCAGCATCCTGGGTCTTATATCCACTTAAGCGACTAGCGGGAAGTCAACGCTTCAGCAGGCTCCTTACTTGGTTGCTGGAGGTTGTTGAAGCACGTCTTCAGCCGATGATCTTTTTGCAGATCCTACCCCCTCGAATCTTGGTCTCGTTGCGTTTCGCGTATCTGTTGAAGATGATAGAAGGACCACCAGCAATGTTCGCCTTCATCTTGGTGTAGATGTCCTTCTCCTCTCTATCGATCCTGTACACCAACCTGTCTGAGTTGAATTCAAGTAGCTTCTTGTGGCGGAAGCCCTTTAGCGACATGTTCTTGCGAGCAACGTTGCATCCCACACAGCTGATCAAGATATTACCATCGATGTGTCCGAGCTTGTTATTGATTCGGTCAGCCGAGGCAGTATCAGCTGTGAGTTGCTTGTAGCATAGCCCACACAGGTACTTTTGTCGCTCTAGCAAGTCGTTGAGGTGTTCTAGTGTCATATTGAATTCACGATCGGCATCAGCATCCTGGGTCTTATATCCACTTAAGTGACTAGCGGGAAAGTCAAACGCTTCAGCAGGCTCCTTACTTGGTTGCTGGAGGTTGTTGAAGCACGTCTTCAGCCGATGATCTTTTTGCAGATCCTACCCCCTCGAATCTTGGTCTCGTTGCGTTTCGCGTATCTGTTGAAGATGATAGAAGGACCACCAGCAATGTTCGCCTTCATCTTGGTGTAGATGTCCTTCTCCTCTCTATCGATCCTGTACACCAACCTGTCTGAGTTGAATTCAAGTAGCTTCTTGTGGCGGAAGCCCTTTAGCGACATGTTCTTGCGAGCAACGTTGCATCCCACACAGCTGATCAAGATATTACCATCGATGTGTCCGAGCTTGTTATTGATTCGGTCAGCCGAGGCAGTATCAGCTGTGAGTTGCTTGTAGCATAGCCCACACAGGTACTTTTGTCGCTCTAGCAAGTCGTTGAGGTGTTCTAGTGTCATATTGAATTCACGATCGGCATCAGCATCCTGGGTCTTATATCCACTTAAGTGACTAGCGGGAAAGTCAAACGCTTCAGCAGGCTCCTTACTTGGTTGCTGGAGGTTGTTGAAGCACGTCTTCAGCCGATGATCTTTTTGCAGATCCTACCCCCTCGAATCTTGGTCTCGTCGCGTTTCGCGTATCTGTTGAAGATGATAGAAGGACCACCAGCAATGTTCGCCTTCATCTTGGTGTAGATGTCCTTCTCCTCTCTATCGATCCTGTACACCAACCTGTCTGAGTTGAATTCAAGTAGCTTCTTGTGGCGGAAGCCCTTTAGCGACATGTTCTTGCGAGCAACGTTGCATCCCACACAGCTGATCAAGATATTACCATCGATGTGTCCGAGCTTGTTATTGATTCGGTCAGCCGAGGCAGTATCAGCTGTGAGTTGCTTGTAGCATAGCCCACACAGGTACTTTTGTCGCTCTAGCAAGTCGTTGAGGTGTTCTAGTGTCATATTGAATTCACGATCGGCATCAGCATCCTGGGTCTTATATCCACTTAAGTGACTAGCGGGAAAGTCAAACGCTTCAGCAGGCTCCTTACTTGGTTGCTGGAGGTTATTGAAGCACGTCTTCAGCCGATGATCTTTTTGCAGATCCTACCCCCTCGAATCTTGGTCTCGTTGCGTTTCGCGAATCTGTTGAAGATGATAGAAGGACCACCAGCAATGTTCGCCTTCATCTTGGTGTAGATGTCCTTCTCCTCTCTATCGATCCTGTACACCAACCTGTCTGAGTTGAATTCAAGTAGCTTCTTGTGGCGGAAGCCCTTTAGCGACATGTTCTTGCGAGCAACGTTGCATCCCACACAGCTGATCAAGATATTACCATCGATGTGTCCGAGCTTGTTATTGATTCGGTCAGCCGAGGCAGTATCAGCTGTGAGTTGCTTGTAGCATAGCCCACACAGGTACTTTTGTCGCTCTAGCAAGTCGTTGAGGTGTTCTAGTGTCATATTGAATTCACGATCGGCATCAGCATCCTGGGTCTTATATCCACTTAAGTGACTAGCGGGAAAGTCAAACGCTTCAGCAGGCTCCTTACTTGGTTGCTGGAGGTTGTTGAAGCACGTCTGATACATGACTTTCTCAGAGAGACCAGGTAGCGACACACCATCAGTGAACATATCAAGTTCGAAACGTTTGAATAGTTCTCGCTGGGCTTTGATGGTCTTGATGAAGGGTACTACATCGAGGTTGTTGTACCCAATGAGTAGATCCTTGATTGACTTCATGCCATAGTGTTCCCAGACGAACTGTACCCACACATAGTCCTCATCGCTGATGCTAGTGCTACGAAGAGCACTGACTTAGGAGGGACTTCCGGCTGACTGAGTACGTCAAATGAAGTAATGTACTCGTACGGGAAGATGCCTTTTCCTAGGCCACAGACGCATCGAATCTTGTCATCACACTTGCACTCACCGAGATATGTCGACAAGTACTTTGCATAGCTGGTGCCTGCCGGAACATAGTTGCTAATGTCAAGCATTTTCATGTCTGACGTGGCGATGCACATGTAGCTAGGGTTCTTGATGACTGATGTGATGTTGTCAGTACCGATGACTGCAAACAGGTCCGCCTTGATAAGGTTGATGTCGTAGCGTCCAGAGTTGAATCCGAATACTGGTACCTGACCAATGCACTGCTTCAGCTTGCCATAATCCGAGCGCTTCTTACCGAATGTGAGCTTGCTGTGGAAATCGAAGAAACAAGCAAACTCCCCGTTCTGAATCCAAGCATTGACATCATCCATCTTGTACGTCTTACCCAAGTCTAGACCAGGAACCTCAGCGTCAGTCAAACCATGGACGTTGATGATTTCGCGGAGCAAAGACTCGTACTTCGAGACGTTGTACTGCTGAATCTTAGCCGCAACTTCCTTGATGTACTGGAACATACCCTTGAGCAACTCCTTCGGGTCATCGCTGACAAAGCATCGCACCTCCTCAGTCAAGCTGTCGGCCACGGAAACAGACACAGGAATGTGTTCGTTTGTGAAGATAGTATTCTCTCCGTTTTTGACACCCGCAGGCTTGAGAATAGCCTCAAAATCATAGACAATGAAGTGATCGATGTAATGGTCAGCATCCTTGATGGAGTACTTAGTCAGCATGGAACGAATGCTGTTCGGAGCGGGTTGGTAGATGGTTGGCTGAGCTGGGAACGATTCGATGTTCACGAGTTCGCATTGGTTCTTAGTGTGGTTGCGTAGCTTATCAGAGCTAACAAACACCATTTCACACGTAGAGCATTGGTACTTCTGCTGGAGCATATCAACGTTCGTGATGTAGAGAGCGTGATTCTCGTGCGACAGGATGTTGATCGAATCATAGTCCTTGTCCGAGCAGCGAATGCATTCAACCTTGCCCGTCTCAACATCCATGTTGAAGACGTTGATGTTCAACTTGAAGCACTCCTCAAGCTCATCGAATTGGAGAATGCCGATAGGCTTGAAATTGCGGAACAGACCCAGAGTGTAGGCGATCTCCTTGTACGAACAGTACTGCTTGAAGGCTTGTTTCACCAGAGCCTGGATTCTGCGAGGATCCTTCTTGGCTCCCTCCTGCTTGTGATAAGCAATGCAGTGGAAGACACACTTGTTGTTCGTCTTGGGGAAGTTGATGACGTGCTTGTTATCACGAATCACCTTAGGAATGACAGCCTCGCTATCACCCAGAGCATGGTCGCGTTGGTAGATATAGATTTTGAAGCCAGTAATCCCCTTCACCATGTACCCGGAGCTGGGGTAGTTGAGCTTGTCAGCCAACTCCATGGAGCGAATCTCCGAGATCACCTTCTTACGAATATCAGCCTTGCTGTTGATAGCTACAGGAGTGCTAAATACAGACGTGTTGCTAATATTTGGGTGGAAGTAGCGAGTCTCGCTGTCATCAGTTCTGCTGACAAGCTTGTATCCAAGAGCGATGTTGACCTTGAAGGCAGACTTCTGGGTTGCGAGCACGTTCTCGAGCTTGTCGTAGAACTCAGCAGGCTGAATTCCCTCGTAGAGGTGCGACTCCATGTTCTTGCCTTGGTAGAAGCGGTACTTACTGTCTTCCTTGAAATCAGCAGCCACATTCTTTTGGGGCTTGCCTAGACTGATCTGGTACTGCTTCGCTACCAATTTTTGGTTGGTGGGGTGGGAAATGTTGCTAATGTATACCATGCGCCCCGTCTTGCCACGTACCTTAATACGGTAGCTACTACCCCATCGAATGGGTTGAATATTTAATCTCTTTAATCCTTCGAGTTCGTATGCAAACATGTTGCCTATATATGCTTGACTATATTATTCTCCGTAGATATTACTTTATAATTATTTGACCTTGTATCAGGATCGACTTTATATCTTAGTCATTTACAAAATATTCTGAAATTAATTAATTCAAATATTTGGCTTATACCTTTTTGGAGGTTTTAAGCCATTGTCTTTGACTATATTGGGATTGACTTTTTGAGGAAAAAAATTAATTAATTAATTAAGTTCGGTTTCATTATTAAGTTCGACTTCACCATCAATAAGTTCGGTTTTGGGTTTACGCTTGCGAGCTCGAATCTGGTCTCTATTCTTGTCGTCGTAGCTCTTTTGATACGACAAGCGAGCGTCGCGTGTGCGCTGATAGTAGCGCTTCTGTTCTGCTTTGATGCGTTCCTTGCTAGCTTGGTATTGCTCAGGAGAGTACGCCATGTTACTATATTACTAACTTTATATTTATCACGATCGATCAACAAATACTTGGTAATTGAGAACTTGAAGACACCATGCTTCCATTAAATTATTCATTTCCTCTTTCCTCTTCCTCTGTTTCTCTTTGTGCTCTGTGAGGGTTGTTGTTGTTGAGGTTGTCGCTGAGCTTCAGTAGCAGGAAGCAGCGAAGTGTGCTCGGTCAATTCTTGATGCTGGGCTTCAGCAGCAAAAGTCAGGTCGGTCATTTCTTGTCGCTGGGCTTTTAACGGTGTCTCGTCCTTCGCTTCCTCGATCATGTTGTCAAGCTTCGATTTCCAATGTTGCGAATATGACAGAATCGCCCCCATCGCAATATCAACACCAATCATCTGACACACGATAAGCGAGCGGCCAGGAACTCTTAAACATCCTTTTTCGTCGGTTGGATTCTCTCCATAGGCCAAACAATGATTGTAATGACCGCCAATATGGCAGGTACGAAGCATTGAGCGTTGATGATCCACCGTCTGAATCCTGCTCTACACAAGAAATTAGCAACAACATATTCAAACAATTAGGGGCCAGAATACGTACGCTTATATTTCAGCGCTCTGGAAGCAGTTCCACCAATGTCAACGCGAACATGACCCGGAACCACCACCAACACGTGGATCTGCTTCTTCTGCGGAGCTGGTACAAAGACATCGGCAATCTCTTCTGCTGGATCGATTTGTTCGTTTAGCAGGTTCTGCACCTTTTCAGAAACGGCTCCACTTCGCATAGCAACCACATCAGGATCGTTCGACAGCAGCCACGCGCCGTCCGCCGTCTTCGCCAGGGAGAGCTGCAGGTCCTTGGCATCGCACGTGATCGTCGCTGGGTTCTCCGCCTTGATCGCCTTCTTCAACGCCGAGACCGACTCAGCATCGTCGATATCCACCTCGAACGCGCTGCCCGCCACGCCAACGATCGCACAGAAGAACTTCACATCTTGGCAGATTCTGGAATGAGGAAGAAGGAGGTAGAATTTCTGGCGTACTTAAGCGAACATGAAGGTGCGTGACATAGATTTTCAACCAATGATGAGACACCACGTCGCGCTGGTCCGAACTACTAGTAAAATCTGCCGGCGTAATGTTCTATTGGTTTTATCAATATAGTTTGAACGAGCGGTCCCGAAACGCCCTAAGATCCAAAAGACGTGGCTCTCGCTATAAAGTGGGCGTCGTCAAATCAACGTCTATTAGATCTGACCGGTTCAGAGGTTCTAAAACTACCCTCATATCGAAAAGACGTGGCTCTCGCTCTCGTCGTTGAAATCGTCCCGAAAGAAGGTTTCAAGAATGTTCTCGGTGGTAAATTACGGTAAGGAAAAAAACTGCCGGCGTAATGTTCCATGACCCACTGCTTCTACGGCAAGAAGGAGTAAATAAATGTGGTTAGGACGTTGCAGGTGATGCGAGTTGGATCTTAGGACAGCCGCAGCAGCTTGATGGACTAGTAGAAGGACTCTACGAAAGACAAATACCTAAATGTTTTCATGTTATCAATCGGTCTTCTTGATCGGAAGTGCTGGAGGCCATTCATTGCGGTGCAACTGTGCTTGTAGACGAACGCCGGTACTGTAAGCGAGATCACACCACGCCCGAGATGACACGTGTCACAACCGAGACCATTTCAAGCGGACATTGTTTTGCTATTGCAACGGCGGTCGACACGGAGAGCGGAGCCTCGTGACGTCACCTGAAGTCTGCAGGTAGCAGCAGAAGTTGCACGTTGCACCTGAATCGCAAAAGCTGTTGACGACCGCGACAGCCAATCCAACGCGGCCACGCAAGCAAGGAGGTTGCTTCCGGTGCCAATGCAGAGCGTGACGACGCGGTCTCGCTTTTGATCCCCAGTGCTGGGCTTGTCCTCAGGCCAAGTGAGCCGAGACGATTGCTGTCGGCTATGGCTTGCCTCTGCAGGCGAATCTCGTAACTCCGCAACGTGAATCCACACAGCAGCGGAGCTACCCAACGATATTCCGAAGGGTGATGGGCAGAGCAGCAAACACGCAGTTGCTAGATAAGGTGGGATCACTAATTGAGAGGTCACAGTAAGGATTACCAATTACTTAATTTTCGTATGAATACGATAGTGAATGCGATTGAAGTTCCTCAATGAGCAACCCTCGAACACGCAAACGCAAGGGTTATAGTCAGGCCGCTTGTGCACCCACAAGTTTTCCATTCCACAACTTTCCACGCGCTGATCAAGTGCCAAGCCCCCCCCCCCCAATTCCCTTCAAGATGACCATCGGCGCTGTCGACGCCACTCGCCAGCAGATGAAGTCCTACTGGACGGAGCACAGCTCCAACACGGACATCGAGACCATGATGCTGGACTCGAACGCCCAGATCCTGCACGAGCTCGAGATGCCCGAGATCATGGAGCGCGCGCCCTCCATGGCTGGCAAGGACGTGCTGGAGCTGGCTGCGGGCATCGGCCGCTTCACGTCGATCATCGGCAAGACGGCCAAGAGCGTCACTGCCGTGGAGTTCATCGACGACTTCCACAAGGCCAACGTCGCCACCAACGGCCACATGCAGAACATCAACTTTCTCTGCCAGGACGTCGTGACCCTCGAGGCCGAGCCCAACTCGTTTGACGTGATCTTCTCCAACTGGATCTTCATGTACTTGGGGGATGAAGAGGTGAAGCAGTTCGCCCAGAAGGCCATCAAGTGGCTGCGACCTGGAGGAAAGCTCTTCTTCCGCGAGTCCTGCTTCAGACAGTCGGGAGACGTCAAACGCAACTCGAACCCGACGCACTACCGCCATCCTGCTTTCTACGTGGGGGCCTTTGGCTCGGTGGTGACCAAGGAGGAGAACGGAGACCTTGGATACTTCAATCTCGAGTCCTCAGGCAGTGTCGCCGTCTACCGCAAGATCAAGAAGAACAACGGACAAGTCTTCTTCAGCTACACCAAAGCCATGAAGCAAGGAGCTTCCGACAACAACAGTGATGATGAGGCCGTCGCCACCTTCCAAAAGTTCCTCGACCAGCAGCAGTACTCCAACCAGAGCATCACGCGCTACGAGAAGATCTTCGGACAGGGCTACGTCAGCACTGGCGGTCAGGGCACCACGACTGAGTTTGTCGAGAAGCTCAACCTCAAGCCTGGCGAGCGTGTGCTGGACGTCGGATGCGGCATCGGGGGAGGAGACTTCTACATGGCTCGCCAGTACGGCGTCTCGGTCGTCGGCATCGACCTCTCCACCAACATGGTGCACCGAGCGCTCGAGACGTCGATGCAAGACCCGAACGCCGACGTCGAATTCGAGATCTGCGACGCCACGCAGAAGGAGTTCCCGGACGCGTCCTTCGACGTCGTGTACTCTCGCGACACGATCTTGCACATTGAGGACAAGCAGGCGCTGTTCGCCAAGTTCTTCCGATGGTTGAAGCCTGGAGGCCGCGTGCTCATCTCGGACTACTGCCAAGGTGAACAGGAGCCGTCGGACAGGTTCAAGGCGTACGTGGCCGGTCGCGGCTACCACTTGCTTTCGCCGTCGCAGTACGGCAAGGTGCTGGAGTCTGTGGGTTTTACGTTTGTTGTAGCGGAGGACCGCACCAACCACTTCGTGGAGGTGTTGAAGGAGGAGCTGGCTCGCACGCTGGCACACAAGGAGGAGTTCGTTGCGGAGACGAGCGAGACGGACTTCAAGTATATCGTGGATGGATGGGAAGCGAAGATTGTGCGCTGTGGCGATGGTGACCAGAAGTGGGGTTTGTTCTACGGCAAGAAGGAGTAAGCTGTTATGGTTTTCCGTAGCCGAGCAAGCACGAGTTACGACAGGTGAGAAGCTACGATCGTGTAGACGAGGTGAGATTTCCTGTGGCGTGTGAATGTAAATCTAAGTTAATCTAAATGAATGAATCGATTGACTACATACCTCATCATCTTGCGCATCAAAAATGCTGGCTCAAAAGTACTACACGGAGGTAGTACTTCGCACAGGATGAAAGTGAACTTGGTTTATCTCGGATTTCTTGCAAACGCCAAGCAACAGGACAATGTCAAACCGTGGATAATTGCCTTACAGACCCGGGTAAAGGCCGATGAAGCCCGGGGTCGGCTCGCCTTGCACCTCACCGAAGTACAGCGAGAACGTCTGCTTCCACTCCTCCACATTCGCGCGGTCCTCCATGAACGACGAGAAGCCGGTCATGTTGGCTTCGGGGATATCCCACGGCTTGTCAGTGTTGATGTCGGTGCGCACACTGGGCGCCACAGTGGACGCCTGCACTTCGTCCGAGAGAGCCCAGTTCATGAACAGCTTGGCCGCAGCCGGGTGCTTGGCCTTGGCCAGAATGGCAGCGCGCTGACCCCAAGCGATGTACTCGGTGCTGTTGCATCCCACGACACTGACGCCGACGTCCGAGCCCATGCTAATCAGCTTCTCTCCAGAGGCGATCAACTCGCCCGCGACGTTGGAGCCGCGGTGGAAGGCGACACTCTGGTTAGCCAGCTTGGCGACCCAGTCCCAGCCACGTAGCGGGTGTACAGGTACAGCACGGCGTCGTCGTCGTTGGGGTAGGACGAGGCGATCTTGCCAGCCCACTGCGAGTTGACCAGGTCGGCCACGGTGGCAGGCGGGGTCAGCCCATTGAGGTTGCTCGCGTTGTAGCTCGAGGCGAACGAGTACACCGTGTACGCCATCCAGGCACCGTCAGAGGCCTTCAATGACTTGTGGATTTTCCCCCCCCCTTCGGCTTGTAGTTGAGCAGCTTGCTTGACGCGCCCAGCGAGGGAAGTCCTGCAGCGTTTGCAGAGCCACGACGTCCGGTACGAGGGTGTCGGTCTCCAGTTGGTTGTCGATGCGGACGTCGTGGTACTTGCTGTAGTCAACGATGAGGGTAAAGTTGATCTCCGGGAAGCGCTGCTGGAAGGCTTCATGTAGCGAGTCTTGCTGAGTCGGGGTGTCTCCTCCGTGGTACAGAACCAGCTTGCCTCCTTCGGCGACTGCCTCTGCATACAGGTCGTCGATGGACTTGGTTTCTTCCTTTACCTTGGCCTGGACGCCGACGGAAAGCAGGGCGAGCGCGAAGACGATCGGAGTGAAGAGCTGCATGGCGATCGGGTCCTTGGGGGTGAGGAGGGTCTTGAACTGCTTGAGCTGGAAGTCGGGAATTTGAGAATGACCACACTGCTGCTCGTTGCCCGACGGACGAACAGCGAGGTGTTAAAGGGTTCTTGCTTACACAAGCACCATTGAAGTCAGCTTTTAGTGATTGCCTGCACTACCATTTCTGTTGATGGGACGGACTGCGAACCGGATACTATCGAGTCAACGCTATTGCACCAGCATTGCTCACTTCATCAGCGCGGGATGTACACTGTGGACAGTGCACAGCAACACAAGTTCGCACAGGATTTGCTCCAGACAGAGGACTGGCGAGAGTTTCGCTAGTACAGCCGCTTCCTGTAGGCGTGCATTGCGCTCTATTATAGTTATGGTGCTCCTTGGCACCGCTATCCCATGTCCTGAAGCAGAGATCGCGTAAACGAGGGATCACGTGCACAGATTGACAGTCAGAGCGACACGTACATACGATGGTATTGCAGTTTTGCAGTGCAATGCAGCGACACTGTCGAATAACGACTCAGTTTGAGTATCAAGTTGAGACTACATGTACAGTATGATGCTGTATGCATGTAGAAGTATCCCTCCCTATCGGGAATGACTCCCCCAGATCCAGCAACTGGCCGCGACTTGGACGACAGGCAAAATTGCTCTACAGTGGTGAAGGACGCAAGTTAGGAGCGCCTCCGAAATGTATTGCTATTTTTTTTAATATTTTCACAATGCGAGCGGCATGGTTCGAAGCGAGTGCTTGATTCAAACCCGGTCCTGTCACCACAGACTGCAAAGATAGGAGCCTGCCACTCTCCGTTGGGTGAATTACTGTAGCGTCATGGTGACGAGCACGCTTGGTTGACTCGCAGCATGTTTTGGTTGTTTTCCCGCTCCGGTATATATATAAAATCTGAAATTAATATTGTACGGTAGTTCAGTTTTGTTCTCATCACAATAACTATATTATAAATCAAAATTATGTGCTATGATTATATATTTGAATATTATTTTAAATAAGAAAATAGACAATAATGGACTATATCAATCGTTTCAATTACATTTTAATTATTTCAACACCAAAATATTTTGTGCCAGTGATATTGCTGTTTTGCGTTTTGCAGATATTTTTCTTCAGCCGTATCGCCCAGGAGGACGTAGAGTTCACCTGCGCGGTAGTCCTAACATCTCCAAGACCCGACAATGACACATGCTTTTAGAACCGCACGCAAAAGTAGATGCTGACACTTTTGCATGTTATTTGATGATCCATGAGCTGTGGTGCTGCATTTATAGAATGTTGCTGGTTCTCATGATGGTAGTCACCTTGCATTAGCATATAGCTTGCCTTGTGGCCATTACCCGGTAAGTTCCTGCCTGACGAATAGGATATACACGGCGGCCTTCCCCCCCTGCACCAATTCAAGTCATAGAAGTAAGTGTATTTCCACTGCGAAAATGAGTTTGTAATAAATGAAGCGCTCTTGCGTCGTGCAGTCTGCACGACGCACGGTGCGTTCCGACTGGCTACAATGTCAAACTGCGGCCTTCAGTGTTCACAGTGACTTTCGAGTCAGGACTACCCATTTTGCGATGAGGCCATTCAATCAATCTGCTACGTTGTTCAACTTGGAAGCCCAGGCGCACCCACAAAACGGAAGTGACTTGCGTCGAGTACTGCGGACCCACAAAGCGCTAGCGAAGTGAAAGCGGAATGATTGTCGTCGTTGGGCTGCTAACCGCGCCCGTTACTTTTAAGTGTCCGTCCGTATGGAACTCGCCAAGAAGTCGTGCTGTGGCGGCGCCCTCAACCGCTGGCAAAACGCGCGCGGCTTTCCTTGGCCAGCACCAAGATGGTGACCAGCGTATGAGCTGACTGACATGATGATCACCGCATGGCACTCTGCGTTGTCTTCCGCTTTTAGCCCCTTGCACCTTATCGCAGTGAATGTTGGTGAACGGCAAGGTTTGCGTTGGTCGGGGGCGGCGCAACCAACTAGCATTTGGATGCCGCCACGCCAGTCAATTCGGGCGCTTACTCCACTCTCTCGAAAGTAAACAACAGCAGAGCCCCCGCTATTTCTGAAGCGTAGGACGATCGCGCGGTACGGTTGCGGCCGGATTACTTCACCCGAGACGGGCATAAAACATCATCGTCAGCCTGTATTTTTACAGCGCGCGCGCCGCAACCGATGATAAGGTCGGTCCAGTGAGCTGAGGCGCTCCAGCCGCAAATATCACTCAGTCTCCGTTTTGCCTGCCAAAGCGCAACAAGGTCTCACTCACTCGGTCTCAGCGCATTGCAAGAATGGGGTCCACGGCCACGTACGTGGCGGCGGAGACCCCCAAGCCCGGCGACGACGAGCCCAACCGCCTGGACGTCGCCTTCAACCGCGTGGACAACCCAGCGCCGACTGCGTCGAAGGACAACGCGGCGACCGACGGCCAACTCGTGTCAATGTCCGAGCTCTTCTCGTACGCTGACGGCGTCGACAAGCTTCTCATGTTCCTGGGCACCGTGGGAGGCTTGGCCGCCGGCGTGGGGCAGCCCATCCAGATCGTGCTCTTCGGAGACGTGCTCAACACGTTCAACCCGGCCGATCCGGGGGCGAACATCGAGCACAGCATCAAGCACGTCGCGCTCAACTTCGTGTACGTTGGCATCGCGGTCTTCATTGCCGGCAGCATGCAAGTGGCGTGCTGGACCATCACTGCTTCGCGTCAGGCCAAGCGCATTCGCAGTGAGTATGTGAGCGCTATTATGACCAAGGAGATCGGATGGTTCGACGTCAATGAACCGATGCAACTTGCAACGAGGGTCGCGGAAGCCACCGTAACTATTCAATCCGGAATTGGCAGGAGAGTGGGCGACGGGCTAAATTTCTTCTCGATGGCCGTGTCGGGCATCGTGATCGGTCTGGTGAAGGGCTGGCAGTTGGCGCTGATCTTACTAGCGTTTACGCCGTTCATTGCCGTCACAGCCTTCTTCTCTATGAAGGTGCTTTCTACGGCGACGCAGCAGGGACTGGAGAGCTACGGCAAAGCTGGTGCAGTGGCGCAGGAGGCGCTGAGCAACGTGCGCACGGTGCACATGTTCAACTCCATCAACCATTTCATCAAGAAATACGAAGACGCTTTGGGTCTGTCGACTAAAGCTGGTATCAAGAAGGGGCTTGCAGTCGGATTGGGCACGGGAATCATGTTCGGCACCATTTTCTTCACCTACGCTGGTGGCATGTACTTCGGCGCGCTCATGGTAGCGAACGACAACTTGGACGGCAATACCTGTACTGGCAGCTCCTGCTACAACGGCGGTCGAGTGCTCACGGTCTTCTTTGCGGTTATCATGGGCGCTATGGCGCTTGGCCAAGCTGCTCCGAGTGCTGAGGCTATCACTGCTGCCCGTGCCGCGGCGTACCCTGTCTTCCAGACCATCAAACGGTCGTCTCTCATTGACCCCCTGAGCGAAGAGGGCAAGAAGCTGGACAAGGTCATGGGTCGCATCCACATTGAGAACGTCTCCTTCGCCTACCCTTCCCGTCCGGAGATTCAAGTGTGCAGCAACTACTCTCTTACCATTGAACCGGGTGAGACGGTTGCGCTCGTGGGTCCCAGTGGCAGTGGCAAGAGTACGATGGTGTCGCTCATTGAACGCTTCTACGACCCTCTTAGCGGAACGGTGAGCATCGACGGTGTGGATGTGCGTACGCTGAACGTCAAGTGGCTGCGCTCGCAAGTTGGACTGGTCGGACAGGAGCCTTCTCTCTTTGCCACGTCCATTATGGAAAACATCCGCTACGGTTGCCCCTCGGCTACGGATGATCAAGTGATTGAAGCTGCGAAGATGGCCAACGCGTACAACTTCATCAAGGAGTTCCCGCAAGGTTTCCAGACCGAGGTCGGTGAGCGCGGCGCTCAATTGTCTGGTGGCCAGAAGCAGCGGATTGCCATCGCTCGGGCGATCATCAAGAACCCGCCGATTCTTCTTCTGGATGAGGCTACGAGTGCGCTCGACAGCGAGAGTGAGCGTATTGTGCAGGCTTCTCTCGATCAACTGCTGGCGAACTCGCACCGAACCACAATTATCGTTGCCCACCGACTGTCGACTATCCGCAACGCAAGTCGGATTGCAGTGCACAGCGGCGGCAAGATCGTGGAAATTGGCTCGCACGATGAACTGATGAAGTTGGAAAGTGGCCACTACCGTCTGCTGGTCGAAGCGCAGAGTCGTGTGGCTTCTGAGGAGCAGGAGGCGAGCTCTACCGAAGTTCTGCAGGTTGAAGAGCTCGACTCCCCTAATGATCACATCGTTCGCCCTGGTCGATCTCCTCGACGATCGATTAGCCGACACAGCGTGTCTGAGAAGGAAGGTGCTGGCAAGGGAGATGATGCCGAATTGGGCGACGTTGATCTGCCTCCGGTTTCGATGGCTCGCGTGTGGAAGATGTCGCTGCCTGAATGGAAGTTCATGAGTGCGGGTTCTCTCGGTGCTATCATCAATGCTGCTGTGTTCCCCGTGTGGGGAGTTCTATTAGTGAAGGTGACGGTGCTCTTCTTCAGACTCGACTACACGAAGCACGAGATGATGGATCACGCGCGCTGGTGGGCGCTTGGCTTCATTGGTCTAGGAATCGTGTTCACTCTCTCCATTACACTACAACACTACGGCTTTGCGGTGGTCTCGCAGCGGCTCGTCACTCGTGTGCGTGCATCCACCTTTAGCGCGATGCTGCACCAGGAGATCGGATGGTTCGACTTGGATGAAAACTCGTCGGGCGCACTGGTGTCTCGCTTGGCCACAGACTCGGCGGTGCTGCAAGCCATGACATCGGAGACATTGAACCGAGGGCTTGTGAACCTCACGACCCTGACAATCGCGTTCGCCATTGCGTTTTACTACAGCTGGCGGATGACACTCATCCTGCTAGCGGTTTTCCCAGTGCTGGCCTTGTCCTCCTACATCCAGGCGCAGCAAATGACTGGTACGTCAGGAAACAAGAAGAACAACGACGCGGATACGGCTGCGGGCTCTCTCCTCTCGGAGGCTGTCGGCTCTATCCGCACGGTGGCTTCGTTCAGCATGGAGGTGGCGCTGAATTCGATGTACGTCGGGTATCTCAACGTCTCGAAGGAAGCTGATGTCAAGATCGGTGTGGTGGGAGGCATGGCGTTTGGTGTCTCTCAAGGAGCGATGTTCCTGGTGCTTGCCTTCCTGTTCTACCTCAGTGGACGTTGGATCTCCCGTGGCATCATCACGTTCGAGGAAATGTTCATGGTTCTGATGGTCATCATGCTCAGCACCTTCGCGATCGGCATGGCGGCTCAAGGTGCCACGGACGGAGCCACGGCGAAGCGATCGGCTCAGCGTGTGTTCAAGGTCATCGACCGCAAGCCGCTGATCGACGCTACGTCTGGAACCGGACGCTCGTTGGAGCACGTCGACGGCGACATCGAGTTCCGAAACCTGGAGTTCACGTACCCCGCCCGTCCGGACGCCAAGATCTACAAGAACTACAGCCTCAAGATTGCTCGTGGCCAGACTGTCGCGCTGGTCGGAGCGAGTGGCAGTGGCAAGAGTACGGCGATCTCGCTGTTGGAGCGCTTCTACGACCCGGCGGCCGGTGTAGTGACGCTGGACGGCAACAACCTGAAGGATCTGAACCTGCAGTGGCTGCGCGAGCACGTGTCGCTCGTGAGTCAGGAGCCGGTGCTGTTTGCCGGCACCATCGCCGAGAACATCGAGCTCGGCAAGCCCGGCTCGACCCGCGAGGAGATCGTCGAGGCGGCCAAGAAGGCGAACGCGTTCGACTTCATCAGCAACTTCCCGAACGGCTTCGACACGGACGTGGGCGACCGCGGCGCGCAAGTCTCGGGCGGCCAGAAGCAGCGCATCGCCATCGCGCGCGCCATCCTGCGTGACCCGGCCGTTCTGCTGCTCGACGAGGCGACCAGCGCGCTGGACAACGAGAGCGAGCGCGTGGTGCAGGCGTCGCTGGACCGACTGCTGGCCCTCAAGCAGCGCACGACGATCATCGTGGCCCACCGCCTGTCGACGATCCGCAACGCCAACTTGATCGCCGTGACGCATGATGGAGCCATCGTGGAGCAGGGCACGCACGACCAGCTCATGCAGCTGCCCAACGGCGTCTACAAGGGCCTCGTGGCGCGCCAGATGAACGCGCACTGAATAATATATCACACGGAGACAATATGAAAGCGAATACATGTACGCAATACTATACACTTCAACACTGTACCCGAACTGTACCCAAGTTGAAGTGGTCTGTATTGATATGCCACATGACAAGTTCAACATTCCATTCCATAGTTCGCACTTAGTCGAGGTCAAGTGGCTCGCAAGTCTCCGCATTGCGCGCCAAAAGCTCCGCTCGGGACAGGCGGAAGCGCAGGACGCGGCGGCAGCTAGAGGCCCCAAGAGCGCCCGCAAGCATGGAGCGTCTCTATCGACAGGTGAAGACGCGTCTCCTCTACCTGCTGATACCCTCCCCAGCCTCTAACTCGCGCTGTGTGCCTCTGTATAATGATTTTCCCACCAGGTCCAAGAGACGCAGAGGCTGCTCTCCGACCCCGAGACCGACTGGAAAGACTGCTCCGCGGCGATCGAGGAGCTCGCGACGGCCGTGGAGTCGCTCCGACGCGCGGAGAGCTACAAGGATGCGGTTCGCCTGCTTCTGAGCCTCTCGGTGCGGTGCCAACGGCCTGTTTACCGTTACTTTTCGCTAAATTATTAAGATTTTATTAACTTTTATTAATCTTTTTGCATATATTTAGGCGGGGATAGGGGTGCAGTTGTCGTCAATCCGATCCAAGCTCGTGAAGGACGTGTGCGAGCACCTGCTGCGCATCGTCAAGGTCACGGGGCAAGATTTCCAGGAGATGGCCAACGTGTTGATGCCGCAGATCGTGAGCACGGCCAAGAGCTCGTCGGCAGCCATCAGGCAGCCGGGAGCTAAGCTGCTCTGCAAGTTGTCGGAGACTGTGCGCTACGATGTTGGGCTGATGAGGAAGATCTTCCTGCAGTTAACACAAGGTGGGATAGGCTTTAAAAATTGGTATTTTATTTTTGTTCTAATTGTTGAAAATATTTTTACACTTGCAGACAAAGTTCGTGTCCTGCTGTTGGAGCAGTTGCGGATTATTCTCGTCTACTGGAGTGATGACGAATTGACGCAGTGGATCTCGGACATGCTCGAGATGGTCCGACGAGGACTGGAGGACCAGAACGCCGGTGTCCGATCGGCTGCTCGTGAGGTGCTGACGAGGATTTCCTCGCATTGGTAAGGATACGGTCGCTATATGTGGTAGTGGGTGACGGTAGTTCTAACTGGCTGATTGATGTTTATCGTAGGCGTGAGCGTGTGGACGAGTTCGTGGATATGCCATCGAATCAGTCAAAAACACTGATTATCACCGAGCACCGGGACTCGCTGTTGGCCCAAGCAATTGCGGAGAAATACCCAGAACTGGTCAACAAATCAGAAGTGCTTGCGCGGAGCAGAGGTTCATTCATGAAGTCTCGTTACAAATCGCCTCGACACAAGAAGAGCGAGCAAAACGTTGAGATTCACGTGGCGACTCCACCTCCAAAGCAGCGTGACGACCAAAGCGCTACAATGCAAGATGCTGTTAGCAGCGAAGCGGAGTTGGACATCGAGTCAGTTGCGACTGCTGAGAGTACTCGGCGCGAAAAGAGCGCAACATCTCGACGCCTATTCGTCGACACCAACACATTTGATGACCTCGAAGAAGACGAAATCGAGAAGAAAGATATCCCCGAGGTGTTCGATGGGTCCCAAATGCATGGCTACCGGTCCACATCAGTGATGCAAGAGACAGAGGTACTAGCTCAGCTAGAGAGTGCACAGATCTCCCTTGGAGAACATACCATCTTGAGCCAGACTGCTGTGGCGCGAACCACTACTGCATCAAGTATCGATGAGGTACTTCCACATCCTGGTGTCACGAAGCTCAAGGAGTCAAAGATCCCAAGCCCGTTAAACCGCAGTCCGAGTTTCCTCAGTAAGAAACGGTTGGAATCGCCTACCGGAACTGGTAGTTCTCCGCATCTGCGGCCGTCTCTGCTTCCTCGCCTAGGAAGTTTCTCGTTGAAATCTCAAGGAGGTAGTGGCACGTCGACGCCAGTTGCCGCTGCAATCGTCGAAGAGGAAAAGATTGAACCGAAGCCGTTGAGCGCAAGCGACGAGTTCTTCAGCAAGCCTATCCCAAGCAGTATGGCGACCCCGACGCCGCCACTGCAGCCCGCAGACAATGTTACAATTCGACCAAAGCGACGAGCTTTCTTCAATCAAGAACAAGAAGAGGAGTCATCGCCGCAAGTGTTTTCTCCTGTGCAGACACCTTTTGAAGCACCAGTAGAAGAATCGACGCAATCCCTGCACGTGGATACAACTCCAGAGGGGCACTCTAGCGGTAGCCCGCTTGACGAAGAAACAGCAACGCCTCTGCGTGAAAAGCACTATGCTGACTATACATCGGACGACGTCGACGAGTTGAGCCATCTTACGGAAGGAAGCGACCAAGTCGAATCTGATACTGAGTGGAATCGTCACCGACTGGACGAGAGTGAGTCTCGAAGTGAAAATGACGGTGACTCTGTGCATGGAGATGCTGATCAGGCAGAATACAGAGGTGGTGACGATGCTTTCCCTGATGACTGGAGACTGGAGGGGCCCAGACACCAGTTTGATTTCGAAGATGAAATTGGCAATCGCTTGAGCGATGATGAGGCGAAAGCTGGTAGTGATGCTGAAATTGAGTCGACTCACGTGGATGATCCGCACGATCCAACTACGGAATGGCTGCAACAAGCTGAATCGTCACCGAAGGATGAACTTTCGATGTCGGGTGAGTTTGAAGAAGAAGAATGCCAGGAAGAGGTGAAACCAGACAGCCTTCCCAAGGATACGCTCGAAGCCCTGCTCAGTGTCCGTGATGAAATGACGCGCCTTCGAGCCATTACAAGAAAGGAGGAAAAAAGCTTCGACTTGTCAGTCAAGGAACAATACGCACCAGCACCCCGCGCATTTGACTCCTCAGACACTGCTGAGCAATCGCAACAACAATCCTTGGAAGAGCATGAAGCACAACCACGGGACGAGCCTGAGAGACCGTATCTGGCGAGATTGCAGAACGCTGAACGTTTTGCTCGAAGCCCTCTTCTAGCACCTCCTACTGATGATGTGTCCGATGAATTGACAGAGAGGAACATTCTGAATCGACTACCTTCACTGGAAAGGTTTGGGCAAATGCAGCCTGAAGCAATTACTTTCGATGAACCAACTTTCGATGATTATCATGAGAGTTCAAGTGAGCATGATGATCCGGATCTACTAGCTCACTCTCCTAGCCCTCCACTAGTGCCTGAACAAGTTGGCGCACTGATCGACTCGGACAAGCGCGAGGAGGAGCCCATCGATTTCGTGAAAGAGTTCCGCCCTGCTGAGATTCATATCCCGCGTGTAGAACCGGATTTCCCTGCGCCACAAGCCACCACTCAACCTCAGGAGGCCGCCTTCGTCCACGAAGAGCTCGAACATGCGGGACGTTTCGATGCAGCGGAGAAGCTCTTTGCAGCTAAGAAGACGCCCCCGCCTTACGGGTACTATGACCGACCGCATTCACCTGAGCCCGAGCTATACATGCATTCCGAGCCGTATCACGAGCGCTTGCCTCCGACGCAAATGGGGGCAATTTTGAACCCCGTCATGTCTCCAACTCCGAACGTAGTTACTGAAGATCCGAGTGGGGATATCAATGCTGCAGCGGAAGAAGCGGTGGAAACCCCAAGTGTCGACCCGCAGGACACGGAAGCAGCACCCCAACCTGATCTGCAACAGACTCAGCCTGAAACAAGCTTTGCCGAAAGAGAGCCGACACTGCCGATGGATGATGAGAACAAGCCTGAAGACAGCCCCTTGAATGCAGAAAATGTTGCTCGCCCGGTTTCGCCACCGCAAGCTACTGTGGCGGAAAGGAATGCTCCGCCAGCAACACTGGGCTGGGCCAGCTCCATCGGTATCTCGGTTGTTATGCTGATTGCAGCGGTGTTCTGCATCGCTGGAATCTTGCATGCAGCGAGGACAGTGAGCGAGTCTCGCGAGTACCACCAGGCTCTGAAATCGCGCATTGATATGTTCGAGGCGAGTATTGTTGAGTCCCACGAGAAGGTACTGAAGCTGGAGGAGGACTATGCTATCTGGAGCGACTACGTGCGCAAACTGACGCAGGACGACGAAGCTAACGCGCTCCGGCAGCTAGAGGCGATTCAGATCGAGGTGCAGAAGTGGCAGCAGGACATGAAAGCAGACCTCGTGCAGTTCCGACAGGCGCTGTCGGTTGACTCCATCGAGGCCGCGTTTGCGGACCTCCGCGCGAACAAGACGAAGCAAACCGAGCAGTAGTAAGACAAGTATAGCAAAGTGAGTGAAAAGGATTAGGCAGAATTCGAAACGGAAGCGGATATCAAGGACAGCACCGACAACAGGTTGCACGTCCATCTATTTAATCATACACCGTGCGCTCGAAGCAAGCAGAGCATCCTAATGCAACCAGCAACGTCTTCTACTGCTGGTTCTGGAAGTCAAAGCTGCCGTCCTCGTTTGCCGCGTTCTTGTCGACAGCAACGTCCAGCGAGCGGTTGGCCTCCTTGAGCCTGTCGAGGGCGTTGTGGCCCTCCTGGCCGAGGGTGTTTCCTCCCATCTCGAGCGTCTTGAGGGACGGGTGCGAGTGCAACGCATTGAATAGCGTGACACTCAGCGCCTCGTGGAGCCGGTTGGCTCCAATGCCGAACGTCTCGATGGCCGAGTTCGCCAGCAGCGCCGGCAGCAGCTCGCTCAGACCCTCACCGAGTTTGTTGTTGAACAGGTGCAGCTCCTTGAGCGACTGGGCCTTCAGCAGAGGCGTCATGCCGACACTAGTAAGGGCGTTGTTACCCATTTCGAGGTACGTCAGAGTCGTGTTGCTCGTAGCGAGCACATCGGCCAGCTGCACCGCGCCCTCGTCCTGGCACTTGTTGTTTTCGAGACGCAGGATCTTCAACGTCTTGTTATCACGCAGTCCATCAGCCAGAGCAGCGCACGAAGCCTGCGTCAGCTCGTTGTCCGACAGATCCACCTCCACCAACGTCGAGTTCTGCTTCAACGCAGCCGCAAGCGCCGCAACGTGGTCGTCAGTCAACTTGCACTCCTTCATCTGCAGCTTCGTCAGCGACTTGTTGGTCTTGAAGGCATCAAAGAATTTGGACGACGCCGTCTCCAGTCCATTGAACGACACCTGCAGCGTCATGAGCGAGCAGCTCTCCTTCTCCACCAGCGCAGCCAGTGAGTCCAACCCAGCGCCCGAGATGCCAACGTCCGTCACGCTGAGCTCCTTCACGCCAGCCTCCGCGTTCTCGCTCAGTCTCTCCGCCAGTTTCTTCACTCCTTCGTCCCCGATCTGGTTGCGCGACAGCGTCACCGTCTTGAGCGACTTGTTGGTCTTAAGCAGCTCCCCCACCGCCGCCGCGCCGTCCACGCCCAGCGACTTGAACTCGAGGTCCCAACTCTCCAGCGCCGACTGCGCGTTGCGGGCCAAACCGGCGCTCAGCGTCTTGACCGCGTCGTCCCCGAGCGCCTCTGAGCCCAAGCTCAAGTGCTTCAGCGTCGAGTTGACCGCCAGGCAGTCGGCGAACGCCTGCAGCCCCTGGGCGCCCACCTTGTGGCCCGACAGATACAACTCCTCCAGCTGCGAGTTGCCGCTGATGCTCGACGCCAGACGCCCGAAGTCCGCGTCGCTGATGGAGCGCGTGCTCATGACATAGAGGCTCTTGGCCGTCTTGGGGTTGCTCAGCTTCTGCAGCAGGTCGTCCACGCCGGCCTTCTTACCCCACGCCATGATTGATGCAGTTCTTGTAGTGACGGAGCCAGTCAATTACTGAGCGGTTGGAGAGCAGCTTGGCTTTAAGAGTGGACTGAGTGGCAGTTGATTAGCATAGTGACAATATCTGCGACGTGTGTGAAAGATGTGACGTGTGAGAATAGATACTTGTAATTGAATTGGATGGATTCCTGAATTGTTCACATGGAGGTTTACTACACTCGCTACTGTAGACTGGTAAATACAACGACTACGTCGCCGTTCGGCTGCCTATGCGGCGGCAGCAGAGGCTCCTGTACGGACAGGCTCGATGTGCATCATGAGCGAATTCCTCATGCCGATGGTGATCCCCATTGCGTACTGCACGTTCTGGCCGGGGACTTCTCTGAAGTGGAAGCGACCTACAAGCGTCGCGATCACGAGCTTCATCTCTAGCATTGCCAGAGCTTTACCGACGCACATTCGCTGGCCGCCGCTGAAGGCGTTGAACTTGGCCATAGGCGTCTGCACGAGCTTGCCGGTCTCTTGGTCAATGAACCGCTCCGGGTTGAACTCTGCTGCGTCGGGCCCCCACACCTCCGGTCGTCGAGCAGCGCCGAAGTGACACATGCCCACATTCGTCCCCTTAGGCACGAACGTACCGTCTGAGAAGACTGTGTCATGGATACACTCTCTGAGTGTGAATGGCACCGGGGTCTGTAGTCGCAGCAGCTCACGGATCGTTGCTTCGAGGTAGACTAGACCATGCACCTCGTCCATCGATGGCACATACGAGGGGCTAGTTGCGAGCTTCGGAAGGTTCTCCAGGAGCTCGGCGCGTAGTTTGTCCTCGACGTGGGGGTTTTGCGTCAATGTGTGCAGCAACCAGCTCATAGCGTCGGCGGAAGTGTCGCGGCCAGCTCCCAAAGCTGCAACGGCGATGTTGCGCACGTCTGTAGGCGACACCATGTCGCCATCTTGCTCCATGCACTCGAGAACAATAGATACAATATCCTTGTCTGCGTCCTTGACGGGTCGGCCGGCCTTGAGGTCTTCTTGGCGCTGTCGCCGTGCCTCAATAGCGGTGGAGATGATCTCCATGATGAACTCGTCGATGAGTGCGACGTCCTCTCTGAGCTTGCGTTCCAGGCCCACGTTCAGCCAGCGCATGAGCTTCCAGAACCACACAGGCTGCTGCAGACGCCCCGCCACGATGGACTGGGCCTCGTCGAAAGCCTGCTCGAACGGGTGCTCGTGCTCCGAGTCGATGCTGTCCAGCGAGTTGTTGAACACCATCTCGGCGAACGCCTTGAAGGTGAAGCGGTGCATGAACATGTACACGTCCACGGGCTTCTTGGCGACTGCGGCCTTGAGGAAGACATTCTGCAGCAGCAGAGTGTGTCTCTGGATCACGGGCGTCATGTGGTCGCGCAGGGCTCGAGCACTGAAAAGTCTCACCAGTAGACGGCGATGGTACTTCCAGCGCTCGCCCTCGATGATGAGCACGCTGTGGCCCATGAGGTCCACGAACATGTCGTACTGCTGGTGGCCCTTGCTGAAGTGCTCGAACTGCGTCTTGACCACGTGCTCGTAGTGCTCGGGCACGGCGGTCACGAGCATGTCGCTCTGGCCGGGCAGGTGCAGCTTGAAGACGCCGTTGTGGGCGATGCACTGCTCCGCCATCCAGCTGTGGAAGCGGTGCGCGTTGCCCGCCAGCTGCAGCATGTTGCCGATCCACGGCACCTTGGACGGCAGGTACGGCACCACCTTGGGCTTGTCCTGCGGCGTGTTCTCCCACTTCTCCTTCGTCTTCTCTTCCTTGCAGTCAAGCACGCTGACTGCGTCTCCACTTGAGCGGGTGGCGACGTACGCGGCCACCACTGCAGCTCCGGCCAGCAGAGCGAGCCCCGCCGGGCCGAGGGGCGACAGCGCTCGGTGCTTGGTCAACCACTTGCGCAGCATTGCGGTTGGAACGGGGGAAGCTTCTGCTGCCTGTTCACGACGCGGTGAATTGCGTTGTGAGTTGAGTGCTGGCGAAGACGCTCCGAATGCATGCACTCGTGTGAGGCTGTGTAGTAGCTGCGACCGACCGCCGATCCGCCGAGCAGGATCACGCCGGGCGCGGCTTCTTTGCCCGAAGTCGACGCCAGATGAGACCGTGGCTTGCATCGCAAGGCCGTTGCAGGCAAGTTGCATCCCACTGCGATGCAGCCAGCAGGTGCAGCTCTGGGCGTCGCAGATGCGCCAAGGTAGCATGCTTCTTGCAGTCGACACGCGAGAAATCGCCCGTGGATTTGAGCAACATCTACAGTAGCGCGTCTGCTGCAGCATCAACTGCTGTGGGGTGTCGCTGGAAATTCTTCGACGTGGCTCGAGCGCCATGAAAGCCAGGCAAGGGCAGAGGACGGTTGCCATCCCAGTAGCCGCAGCTTCTACTGCTGCTCACGCGAGCCTCCGGACATTGCTCGGCGGCTGTGGTCCACAGGTGCTTACTGGCGAAACGGCTTCGGCGATCCAAGGTTGACACCCGCTGTCCTCTTTGGAGACGGATTCGTCACGTGGTTGAGGCGATTTTTTGGATATGGTAGAATATCATCAAATTTCCGACCGCACTTAACCCCTCTAACCCCGTATTCTGTATCCTACAGAATAAGCATTGTCACAGGACATAATATCCAGCAAACTTGTCCTCTCTTTCGAACTTCGCATATGGATGTTTGTATAGCCGGTATTGTGCACTACTTCCTGTTAGATTAGCGATGGGAAGATAAACGGGGTTTATTCCGCGGTAATAGACGGACGAGTATAAACCACCAACAGGTTTGAAAATTCGGGTGGAAGCCTAAAACCGCCGCGTGTCAGCCACTCGTACTTTCCTTCATTCCGAAACTGCGCTTTTCAAGACGTCGCAATGCAAGCTTTGTTGGGGCCCGTCGAGCGCGCCCAAGTGGCCAAGGACCATGGCCGAAGACGATCATGATGAGCGCCATTGTGATCTACAGGTAAGCGAGAGCGTGTACTTTGCTCTGCAACATTGTACTAGTGGTATATTGATTCTACGTTGCGATGTTGATTGCCAGACCTGGTGATCCGACCCAGACGACGCTATGAGCTCTCGCGTGTGGCCCGATTGGCAGATCGATTGCGGAGTCAGCGCACAACCTCATCGGTTCCTACGAAGCCGGCTACAGCCGGGTCTACCGCTATATTGTAGCTGATGCAGTGGCTACTCAAAAGGCTACAGAAGAAGCGCTCCTCATGGTGTGGCTACACCGGAGACTACAGAAGAAGCGCTCCTCATGGTGTGGCTACACCGGAGACTACAGAAGAAGCGGTAGATGCTACGGCGGATGCTACAGAAGAAGCTCTCCGCGTGATGAGGTTACACCGGAGATTACAGAAGAAGGGACAGAGGCTACGACGGAGGCTACCGATGAAAGCGGCAGGAATGGAGCGGCAGTGCTGGAGGCTACAGAGCAAAGCGGAGGCTATAAAATGGCAAAGATGACCCACGGCTGGCGCGAACATTGAAGAGCGTGCGCATGTAAAGGAAGAAGTAGACGTTGGCATGAATATCACATATTGTCCTGTTTCGTACAAGAGGAACCGTGTGTAGTGCGTGTCATTACGGGCTATTGAGCATGCAAGCTCCCTGGTGTTGTTAGAGAGACAATCGTAACAAGCTTGTTAGGTGGGCTAAAGAAATCTAATGATGCGCTAATGTCAAGCACAAGGAAGAATTCGCCCAGTTCCTCCTCACTACGTCAGTTAGGAAAAGGGCGATTTCTTCCTCCGCGTTTATCGCGACGTGTCGAAGATGGGTGGCTGGAGCCGAAGTATGCTGCCTTAGCAGCCTTGCAAGGTATTACCATGTAGCAGGTTTTGAGCGTGCTCTACGCTCGCCACGACCAATAGAAGCTCGCCATTTCGGCATATGGTGGATACATTGAGCATGTTTTGTTCACTTTCGTAGCTGTTCTGTGCACAATGTACCCAGCGCTTGGCCGCAAGATGCGAAAGGGCTTCTAACAGCAACTCTTTGACAGGTTTTGAAGTATACTTTAATCAAGTCTAATGCTTATTCTGTAGGATACAGAATAAGGTCTGGGGCTAGAAGGGTTAAGATGATAGGTATACAAATCCCCAGTCAAGCACAGTCGGAGCATAACAGTATTACCCTACCCCTTCCCAAAGTGTTATGCATACACAGTCCAAGATAGATTAGTCGTCCCGTTTGCTCATTGGTCGGAGCCTTGGGATGGATGGCACGGAGCGAGCATAGCGAGCCCCCGCCTGCGGTTTGACAGTCCGTGTGCGTAGCACGCGGCTGCAAACCCAGGACCCAGCAGTGCTCTACCTAGCAAGCGGAGGCGACGCGTGCGAGCCGCAGCGGGCTTAGGGTTCTGGCCCAGCGAGCGCAGCGAGCCTTTGGGGTTTTTAGATTCGCGCGTCGCGTAGCTGGGTGATAGTAAAAGGTGACCCCCCTCCTATCCGCATGTTTTGTGTACGAGTCGGAGAAAGTCGGAGGGTCGGAGGTTTTTGGGTATGGAGTAATATTCACTCTGTTCCAATCGCTACTCTTTTTTGTAATCCCAAACCGGTTGTACTCGACGACTTTCACCCAATGAATGCCTAAGTTCGATGAATTTTTGCCAATCGGAAGCCCCTCTAAACTAGGGCATTTTTCCAACCGTTCCAACCATATTTGGTTGGAATGTTGTCAGAATATTTTTAATGCCATACAAATGTCTATAGAAATGCATATCCCAAAAATATCCTTCAGTTTCCAACCCGAATGGTCGGTACATAATTTTTTGTTCAGAGTGAAAAGAGCAGGCAGGCTAGCATGTCGATCGCATCGCTTGCTCCTGCCAACAGCAAGAAGGCCAGGTCGACGGCGATCAACTCGTTCTCGACGTTCCTGGCCGCGGAGAGCATGACACTCGAAGCCACCCACCAGCTTATCGACGGGGATAAGACAGGTAAGGTATTGCGTATTATACTAGACAAGTATGCATATTCGTTAGCCACATCAGCCGAAAAGGTAAGAGCGACCAATACGTGTCTAGCATACTATGGCAACGTCAAGAATTGGCTAGTAGATAAGTACCCACTGCAAGGAGCTTTAGTTAAATCTCAGCTCCAAAATATCTGGGCTGGGTAAGTATTGTAGCAACCGAGAGGAGGTCGGCGACGAGAAGAAAGCACCCCCGTGCTCTAAACAAGACTTAGAAGCTATGGTGTCGCTACTGTACTCAACGGCTGCGACGGAGAGTGAATACCTCGACGCGGCCCTAGTCGTGATGATGTGGTACCTTTACGGTCGAAGCTCGGGCGCGGAAACAGTCGAGAAGAGCCAGCTATCCATCTTGCCGGGTAAGTAATTAATTACGATGTTCTTAGCAGAATTATTTTAACAGTGAGGGCATTTATGCTAGGTGGAGTCTTATTTCTTCGATTTAAGCGGGTAGTAAACAGCTTTACTACAAGGCATCTCCTTATTCAAGGACCCAACGAATTTCTTGACATGTCCTCTGCAAGCTTTAGCTGTGGCGCTGGTTATCCAAGGCACCAAGCCAGCGCATGTTCCCTCAGTTCATCGCCAAAAAGCACAGATTAAATGATATTGATGATGTACAGGAGCTTACACTGATTGCACTACTGGAAGTTGATGATGACCAGCCTTCTATAGAGGAATCTGAAGCACCTTCGACAAAGCGGGCAGTTCCTGGTGCACAAGCATACGTCAACAGGTTGCTGGTTAGAGTTAAAAAACTCGCCGATTTGCGAAGCATTCGTTTGACGCCAGATCTTACCTCTCATTCGTTTCGACGTGGTGGGGCCATGCATGCCAACGACGGTATCTTGGCGGAAAACTGGATTATCGAGCGCGGGGGCTGGCAGCTGGACCGCGTCAATAAGGCCTTCGGGTACATGCTTGGTACAACCCAAGCCGACCAAAAGGTGTCCCGCGTCCTGAGTGGCTGGAAGCCCAAGGACGGCGCGCGGCTACCAACGCTAGCCGCTCTGGACACGCCAGTCTTGGTCCGCGCTCGCAAGATGCAGCCGCTTCTCTTTTCCAGTACGATGGCTTTCGCTGACGCTACCTTGAACCTCGACGACGACGTCGCTGACGTCCTTACGGCTACCCTGTTCATGCATTACCCCGACATGTTAGTGCTCTGCCCAAGCCGCCCGCTCATCACAAAGATACGTGAGCTCCTAGCACAACGAGCCATCGGTGAGTCCGAGCTGCTGGCGTGGAGCGTGACGATTAACCAGGCATTCGTGGCACCTCCTGCATCAGAGGCTTCGGCTAGCGCTGGTGAGGAGCAGTCGCCTGCGTTGATTGACCTCATCAAACGCCAGTCCGAGCAGATCGACGTCTTAATCCTGCAGAACAAACGAATCGACGAGCGCATATTAGCTGTTGAAGCACACCTTCAAGCACTTACCAACACAGCCGCAACTCAATCAGCAAACACCGACGCCACGCTTCCTGCTCCCGAGCAACCACCGCCAATAGGAGCTACGACGACACGCCCGAAGAAGAAGGGAGCCCAGTCGTTGTCGGCAATCTGGTTCGAGTGGTTTACAGCGGAGCCTCGTGTGTATGTGTCGCGTTCTGTAAAGAAGACAGCGTTGTACGAGTAGAGGCACATCGCAGGGTATCTCATGCTCTTCTTACCTGAAGGTTTCGCGCTTGACACTTCGTCGCCTGCATACAAAAGCGAGGTCCTGGAGCTAGGCGATAAAGCGCAGCAGAACGCACTCACCTTCTTGAAATCGCACGGCTCCTACGCGGTTGCAGCAGGTTCGGCGTTGAAGGCTCTTCGTCAGATGCAGAAGCTTGGTAAGCTCGACGCGCTCATCGCCCAGTTCCATGAACGCGTTGACCAAGGTGTCATTGTCGATCCGACGCCACCTTCAGCACTTCCATCATTCATTCGACTGACGCCCGCGCAAGGTTGATCTGCTACTGTAACACATAGCAAAATTGACAAACTCAACAGTTAAAGCGACCCAGGCTCGCTGATCAAGGGACAATACCACCGAGATCACATGAATACATGAACAACATCATAATTTGGGTAAACCTCTTCGTGTATTTTCTTGCACTTGTTCATTACTACATTATAAACAAAACTGCACAAAACATAACGTTAGACTAGGACGTTCACAGTTATGACAGGGCATAGAGTGTTTACCTTGTGTCTTGCAGTCCTCGGCCGCCATCACCCTGCGCAAGACCAGCCAGCCGGCAGTGTCGCTGCAGCCGCACTCACTGGTCCTGTTGTTGCTGCTGATGCTGGCCCCGCCGGCCATCACCCCGCGCGAGGCCAAGCCACTGTCGCAGTCGCCGCCGTGTTCCTGGTGCTGCTGACCTCGAGCGCCATCACCCCGCCCGAGGTTGAGCGCTCGCCCACGTTGCCGCCCTCGCCCGCGTCGTCGCCCTGCTCCTGGTGCTGCTGACCTCGAGCGCCATCACCCCGCCCGAGGTCGAGCGCTCGCCCACGTTGCCGCCCTCGCCCGCGTCGTCGCCCTGCTCTTGGTGCTGCTGACCTCGAGCGCCATCACCCCGCCCAAGGTCGAGCGCTTGCCCACGTTGCCGCCCTCGCCCGCGTCGTCGCCCTGCTCCTGGTGCTGCTGACCTCGAGCGCCATCACCCCGCCCGAGGTCCAGCCACTGTCGCAGTCGCCGCCGTGTTCCTGGTGCTGCTGAACTCGAGCGCCATCACCCCGCCCGAGGTCGAGCGCTCGCCCACGTTGCCGCCCTCGCCCGCGTCGTCGCCCTGCTACTGATGCTGCTGGCCTCGGCGGCCATCACCCCGCCCGAGGTCCAGCCACTGTCGCAGTCGCCGCCGTGTTCCTGGTGCTGCTGACCTCGAGCGCCATCACCCCGCCCGAGGTCGAGCGCTCGCCCACGTTGCCGCCCTCGCCCGCGTCGTCGCCCTGCTCTTGGTGCTGCTGACCTCGAGCGCCATCACCCCGCCCAAGGTCGAGCGCTTGTCCACGTTGCCGCCCTCGCCCGCGTCGTCGCCCTGCTCTTGGTGCTGCTGACCTCGAGCGCCATCACCCCGCCCGAGGTCGAGCGCTCGCCCACGTTGCCGCCCTCGCCCGCGTCATCGCCCTGCTACTGATGCTGCTGGCCTCGGCGGCCATCACCCCGCCCGAGGCCCAGCCACTGTCGCAGTCGCCGCCGTGTTCCTGGTGCTGCTGACCTCGAGCTCCACCACCCCGCCCGAGGTCGAGCGCTCGCCCACGTTGCCGCCCTCGCCCGCGTCGTCGCCCTGCTACTGATGCTGCTGGCCTCGGCGGCCATCACCCCGCCCGAGGCCCAGCCACTGTCGCAGTCGCCGCCCTGCTCCTGGTGCTGCTGACCTCGAGCGCCATCACCCCGCCCGAGGTCGAGCGCTCGCCCACGTTGCCGCCCTCGCCCGCGTCGTCGCCCTGCTACTGATGCTGCTGGCCTCGGCGGCCATCACCCCGCCCGAGGCCCAGCCACTGTCGCAGTCGCCGCCCTGCTCCTGGTGCTGCTGACCTCGAGCGCCATCACCCCGCCCGAGGTCGAGCGCTCGCCCACGTTGCCGCCCTCGCCCGCGTCATCGCCCTGCTACTGATGCTGCTGGCCTCGGCGGCCATCACCCCGCCCGAGGCCCAGCCACTGTCGCAGTCGCCGCCGTGTTCCTGGTGCTGCTGACCTCGAGCTCCACCACCCCGCCCGAGGTCGAGCGCTCGCCCACGTTGCCGCCCTCGCCCGCGTCGTCGCCCTGCTACTGATGCTGCTGGCCTCGGCGGCCATCACCCCGCCCGAGGCCCAGCCACTGTCGCAGTCGCCGCCCTGCTCCTGGTGCTGCTGACCTCGAGCGCCATCACCCCGCCCGAGGTCGAGCGCTCGCCCACGTTGCCGCCCTCGCCCGCGTCATCGCCCTGCTACTGATGCTGCTGGCCTCGGCGGCCATCACCCCGCCCGAGGCCCAGCCACTGTCGCAGTCGCCGCCGTGTTCCTGGTGCTGCTGACCTCGAGCTCCACCACCCCGCCCGAGGTCGAGCGCTCGCCCACGTTGCCGCCCTCGCCCGCGTCGTCGCCCTGCTACTGATGCTGCTGGCCTCGGCGGCCATCACCCCGCCCGAGGCCCAGCCACTGTCGCAGTCGCCGCCCTGCTCCTGGTGCTGCTGACCTCGAGCGCCATCACCCCGCCCGAGGTCGAGCGCTCGCCCACGTTGCCGCCCTCGCCCGCGTCGTCGCCCTGCTACTGATGCTGCTGGCCTCGGCGGCCATCACCCCGCCCAAGGTCGAGCCACTGTCGCCGTCGCCGCCGTGGTCCTGGTGCTGCTGACCTCGAGCGCCATCACCCGCCCGAGGTCGAGCGCTCGCCCACGTTGCCGCCCTCGCCCGCGTCGTCGCCCTGCTACTGATGCTGCTGGCCTCGGCGGCCATCACCCCGCCCAAGGTCGAGCCACTGTCGCCGTCGCCGCCGTGGTCCTGGTGCTGCTGACCTCGAGCGCCATCACCCGCCCGAGGTCGAGCGCTCGCCCACGTTGCCGCCCTCGCCCGCGTCGTCGCCCTGCTCCTGGTGCTGCTGGCCTCGGCGGCCATCACCCCGCCCAAGGTCGAGCCACTGTCGCCGTCGCCGCCGTGGTCCTGGTGCTGCTGACCTCGAGCGCCATCACCCGCCCGAGGTCGAGCACTTGTCCATCTCGCTGCCGACGCTCGTCTTGCTCTCGGTGCTGCTGGCCGGGGGCCCTCTCCACGCGCTCCGAAGTGAACGATATGAATGATTTAGTTAGGATGTCATTAAAATGAAATAGATGTCATTAAAATGATTTGCTGTAGTACCGGTACAGGTACACCTACGGTATGGCTACATTTTGTTTTTGGATGCTTTTGCGCCGAGTATGATTAGTAGAGGTTGCTAACTATCAGTCAAGGTGATTCAGGATGTAAGCGGAAGATCTACTCTTGCTTGTTGGTGGACTTTTGGGCCCGTCGTATATCGAAGCAATCGCATCGCAGACGTCCGGGGAAAGGCCCATAGTAAGCTGGTTGTAATGCCTCCTTTAATTTTAAGAGGGCAATACAAGCAGCTTTAAAGTTTGAAGGCACCAGAAGATTAGGAGCTACAGGACTGGTGGTCCGCTTTCCGATTCAAGTTCACTTCAATTTAGCGATACACCAATAAAACGGCCCACGCTACCAGCTGATGAAATCGTCATTACTACCAAACCTTTGCAACGACTGCGTGATTGGACTTGTCTGAGTGATTGAGCTTGTATTCGTGAGCTTTTTTGCTTTCCATAACGGAGAACGCCAATTTGTATACCGCATACTATTGAATTGAACACTTGTCAAATTTAGAAAGATATACAAATAGGAGGGGGGGTATACTACCAAAGTAGGTCCGACACATTCAAGTCTGGATATTGTGTGTAGAGCTAGCTACGTTCTGCAAAACTTCTTTGATGGCATCCTGCCAACGTATGTACCAGTCTTCAAACCATGGAGACATCCATAGATTGCGCAGAGTTGGTTCACAACGCCTCTCATGCCGTTAGATGCAAGCAGAACTTAGACCAAGAACCAAAACCATTTTTCTTTGGGTACCTTACGGTAATTTTGCATAAAGTTGCAAAAATGGCAAACAGTACCGAAGACAAGTGTCAGTTTTTAAACTGTGGTCTTTAAAAAGATAAAAATAACCGGATCTTGCTTGCCGTATTTGACAAAGTAATACTTACACGGAAAATAAAGGGTGATTTTCAATTTCAAGACATCTCTTAGCCAATAAAAAGATGTTTACATGCTAAATTTCACATAAATTTCAAGAAAATCATAAGTACTCAACGTTCTATACGGTTTGGTTGAGGTATACAAATTGGCGTAGGTACAGTAGCTTCGTGTACTGAGCACATTCCATCAGATTTGAGAGGAGGTATTCAATTCGGGAAGGGTACGCTATTTGGCGTTATCCGTTAGTTGTCCTAAAGCATACATGTAACAGTTTTTTTTCTACGGGGAGCTCTTTGTGTCTCAGCGCAGTCTTCTCCTTCTCACCACCAACAGCGTTCGGTCTGCAGCGTTGCAAGCCCCGCCGCGATCTTCTAACGGTGCGTTGCCACCTTTTCGTCTCCCCCCAATGTGTCATACTGTATGTGCATCAACCCAAGCACCATTCCTCGAACGCTACCCAAGTGCCGTCGATCGAGGCCGAGTGCCACGCTGGGCACGATGCGCGGGCAAAGAAGCGGCCAGTCATCGCCAGCTTCAGCCGCCGCGCCATCATCGCGCCATCAAGGGCAAGCCTTCTCACGGGCCGCCACTTTGCTCCATGGAGCGCCCTCATTCGCCTACGTGCGCCCTCGCAGTCAGCAGCAGCAGCTGCAGCCTCCATGTTGTCGCTGTCTGAACTTCGCACGCACCCGCTCGTCGTCGGGTTCGTGGCAGTTGCGGCCGCCGTGACGCTCTACTCCGTGGTCGCCAACGCCGGCTCGGACGCGCTGGACGATGAGGACGATGAAGGTAAAACCGACCGAAAGGCCAAGCCGATCCCGTACCTGCCCGGCGGGCACCCCGTGCTGGGGCACACGCTGCTCATGGCGCGCAACCTGGACCGGTTCCAGGACTGGCTGGTCGAGACGAGCGTGGCCCGCGGCGGCGCGCCCTTCGTGCTGCGGCAGCCGGGTAAGAACGACTGGCTGTTCTCGGCGCGGCCCGAGGACTTCGAGCAGATCCTCAAGGTGCACTTCGACACGTTCATCAAGGGGCCGCAGGTGCGCGAGCTGCTCGACGACTTCATGGGCGAGAACATCGTCATCATCAACGGCCACCGCTGGAAGTTCCAGCGCAAGGCTCTTGTGAATCTTTTCACGGCTCGAGCGCTGAAGGAGCACATGACCCCCGTGGTGCAAAAGTGCGCGCTGGCGTTGCAGCGCGTGTTCGCCAAGGCGGCGGAGAGCGGGGACGTGCTGGACGTGCACCACATCATGGGGCGGTTCACGCTCGAGACCTTCGCGGAGATCGAGTTCGGCAGCCAGCTGGGGCTGCTGGAGAAGGGCGAGGAGAACGCGTTCGAGACGGCCATCGACGACGCCAACCACATCTCGCTGGAGAGGTTCGCAGTGCCCATGTGGGTGTGGAAGCTCAAGCGCTGGCTCAACGTGGGCTCCGAGAGGCGGCTGAAGGAAGACATGGCCGTGATCTCGAGCTTCGTCATGTCCTGCATCTCGGACGCCATCGAGCGTCGCAAGCAGAGGCTGGAGGCTGCAGCGCGTGGGGAGCCCGTTGGCCCCGTGGCCAAAGACATCGTCTCCATCTTGCTGGACAGTGAGGACGCGACGGGCGAGCCCGTTCTACCCAAGGACGTGTTCAACATCTCGTTGGCGGGGGTCTTGGCGGGGAAAGACACGACTGGAGACGCCACGAGCTGGCTGATGCACTTACTGCATGAGAACCCACGGGTGGAGAACAAACTGAGAGCGGAGCTGCTGGCGAAGGTGCCCAAGCTGGCGGAGGACGAGAGCTACGTCCCGCCGATGGAGGAGCTGGACGCTATCACGTACCTGGAGGCCACGATCCGCGAGAGTTTGAGGCTCAAACCGCCGGCCCCGTGCGTCACGCAGCACTGCACTCAAGACACAGTGTTCCCGGACGGCACCTTCGTCCCCAAGGGCATGGACACGACGCTGTTGTATCACGCTTCGGCGCTGCTGCCGAGTGTCTGGGGCCCCGACGCCGCTGAGTTCAACCCCGAGAGGTTCCTGGACGACAACGGCAAGCTGCTGGTGCTGCCCCCTCTCAAGTTCATCGCCTTCAGTGCCGGTCCCCGCAAATGCGTCGGCCGGAAGCTCGCCATGATCGAGATGAAGGTCGTCACAGCCTGTTTGGTGAGTCGCTTCCACTTGGTCGAAGTCACGGGCCAGGACATCCGCGGGACGATGGGGATCAGCCTCGGCATGAAGAACGGAATGAAGGTGAGCGTTCAAGCAACGCCCGGTGTCGCCAAGCGAGCTTGATGTGAAGGAACAACGAATGCAGTTCGACCAAATTGTTGCTAGTGTTCACTTTGTACAGTCAACTTCCTACTTTCCGTTCATTAATACATTACGGACTATCAATTCCATGTTCATTACTATGCAACTTCCTCTCCTCTCGTGTCAATCGAGCTCCGGCCCGCGTAGTCTCCTCATCGTGGCCTGGGTATGCATGTAGGTGTTCTGGGCCGTGACGTTGAGCTCGAACAGCGTCCGTTCCATCCACTTTTGCGTGATTTGCATCCGCGGGTGCTCGTAGATCGGAGGGCTCACGAAGTCGTCGTCCTCTAGCTGGTAGCCCCTGTGCCAGGTCGTGACTGTGGTGACCTCCGAGTCGGACGTCTCTGGGCTTGGACTTGGCCCTGGCTGAGCCACCACGGAGCTGTTGGACTCTTCCTCGTCGGAGCTGAAGCAGAAGTCCGCTTCGTCCAGCTCCCTCGAGAACGGGTCCGTGTCCAGGAAGCTCTCGTCGGCCGTCGAGTTGGTCGGCATGTCCGCGGACAAGTTGGTCTTGACGACGGAGGCACGCCGTCTACTGCCGCGGTTGCGCGTCACCGTGTCGAGCTGGTACCGTGGAGCGAGCGGTGATCGAGAAGCTGAAACTGAAGCTGATGCTGCTCCAGGGCTGCTCAGTGACAAGGCAGTGTGTGTACGGCGCTTGAGGTAGTACTCGGCGATGACCTGAAACTCTGGATCTTCAGGTCGGATCCCCCTCATACTCCTCGCTTCATGCATGCAATTTAAGCAGCACGCAGCCTCGGAGCACGGTTTGTTCGCTCCAAGGAAGAGCGGCTGCTTGGCGTTGGCGGTGCAAGTCGAGCAGACTGTAGCTCCGCAGACTCCAAACTCGCGCCCAAGCCGAAGAGTGACCTTCTTTCAGCCTTGAGGCAGATGGAGCACCCAGACTGCTTCGGAGCTCGAAGGGCGTTGCGGTTGCGACGGGCCATGAGCGTGAGCTTCTTGGCCAGCCCAATGCCCACGCCGTTGAGCAACCCGATCATGAAGGACTTGGTGGCGGCCGTGACCAGCTTCTTGGCGATTTTCCCTCGGTTCTTGCCCAGGTCGAAGATGCCGCGCACCGTCACGTTGAGATACCCGGGCGTGGTCTCTCGGAACAGGCAGGTGAAGTACATCTTGGCTCGAGAGATCTTGCGCGCCTCAAATGGCCGACACTGCGTCAATTCGACGGAGTGCAGCACCAAATACCCGTAGCGCTTCTCGTCCTGGTCCCTCCCCATGCCCGTGGCTTTGAGGTAGCAGATGTCCACGTTGAAGGCGATCTTGGGGAGCGCCCAGATGAAGCCGGCGGAGTGGAAGGGGTCCTCGGGTGAGGCGCCTTCAGCGCTGCCCAGCCACACGCAGTCCTGCGGCGGGTTCTTGTACTAGAAGCCCGTCATCAGGTCTTCTTGGGAGGCAGCCGTCATGCCGTACATCATGTCCTCCATGGAGCCCCACACTTGGCCGTCGCACATCATGCTCGAGTAGCCGTTGACCACCGCCTGGCGGACGTCCGGCAGCGATTCCTCGCTCGCCAGTTGCTGCAGCGTCCGGCCGCCTCGAACGCGCTTGAAGAAGCGGAGCTGCTTGCTCATCTTGACCTGCTTCCACTCGCTCGGGTCCAGGGGCGGCAGCAGTTGGTCCCGACGCTCCGTCCAGCTCCGTTCGTGGGCGAGGATAGCGTCCACGCGCTCCCGGACGATGTCGGCGTAGTGTTGTCGCTGGGCGTTCGTCAGGTTCACAGCCCCGGGGGATATGGGGAAGTGTCGGAGTGGAGAACATCCTTCCGCTGCTTGAATCTGGCGGAATTCATCCGTGCTCCAGCCCTCGGCAGGACTCGGACTCATCTTGGAACTGCGAGTCAAGAAGTGAGTGGGGCTCTGGCTGGGGCTTGTGTCGGCGGTGAGTTGCCTGCGAGTCGGGAGGGAATGGAAGCGACGGGCTCCGATATGACGCGAGGCCCTGGGGACTGTGGCACTCCCGTCGCGTCAGTGCTACAAACGCCACGCTGGACGTTCACCAGCGGTAATTTAACGTGGTAAATCACCAGTCGAGCGAAGCCATCGCCTCCCCCGGCGGCTGCCAGGGCGCATCAAGTTGCATACTGCGAGAGTGATGACTGCCTCGAACAATAACTCGCATTGCCGTTTCCACTGATCGCTCTACAGTACCATACCATACCATACCATACCATACCATACCATACCATACCATACCATACCATACCATACCATACCATACCATACCATACCATACCATACCATACCATACCATACCATACCATACCATACCATACCATACCATACCATACCATACCATACCATACCATACCATACCATACCATACCATACCATACCATACCATACCATACCATACCATACCATACCATACCATACCATACCATACCATACCATACCATACCATACCATACCATACCATACCATACCATACCATACCATACCATACCATACCATACCATACCATACCTTACCTTACCATACCATACCATACACTTTTTGTCCTCACACTTGACTATTACCTTTCAATACAGCAAAATCCATGGTCTCCGTCCCGCATATAGTTAGTTGAAGTGGTTGAAGTTGGCTTTCTTTACCTTCTGCGCGCACTTCGTTGCGAGATCATCTGCGTCTGCGCGTACGTGTACTCGGCCTGGATGTTGAGCTCGCGCAGCCTCTGCTCGATGGACTCGGCCAGGCGCGCGTTGGCGTACAGTCGGTCGGTCTGCTTGCGGTCGACGCCCGTGGCCGGGACGAAGTCGTCGTCGACGCTGATGCGGTCGTTGCCGTCCCAGACCACGATGTCGCTCGGGAAGGACCCGGCCACGGCCTCGGGACTCGATGTCGGCTCGTTATTATGGCGCGCCACCGCATCGACGCTGTCCACGTCCGCCCCGGAGCTGCGACGGAGCTCCGGCAAGTTGAGCGCGATGGAGAACGGGTCGTCGTCGAAGTCGAGTTGGTAGTCGCCCATGCTTTCATCAGTCGTGGCCGTCGATATCCCAGTGGATGTGTTGGTCTTCAAGGCGCCAGGACGACTCGGAGGTGACGTTGAGGCCGTCGAATAGATCATCTCTGGCAATGCCGACTGCTGCCGGTCGAGGTAGTAGTCGGCCACGACCGGCTCGGCAGAACGCCAGTCTATTGTCTGAGCTTCACGCACGCAGTTGGGGCAGCAGTCGACTCTGGTGCACGGTCGATCGCCGATAAATATCCGTTGCTTGGCGCCCTTAGTGCAGCTGGAGCAGACCGTGGCCCCACACACTGCGCACGTGAGCAGATGCATGCCGATGTGAGCTCGTCGACCGAGGAAGGAGTCCCGTCGGCTGCACATGTAACACGTCGACGGTCGAGGAGAATGAACTTGTGCAGGGCGACGTTGATACTGTCGGGCCAGCAGCGTGAGCTTCTTGGCCTGCCCGATGCCGACGCCGTTGACGAAGCCCGTCATGATGGACGTCGTGGCCGCCGTCACGAGCTTCTTGAGCATGCGCACCTTCTTGCTCAGGTCGAAGATACCGCGCACCGTCACCTTCAACACGCCCGGCGTCGGCTCTCGGAACAGGCAGGCGAAGAACATCTTGGCTCTGGAGATCCCGTGCGCTTCGAAAGGCGGGCACTGGGCGATGTGCACCCCGTGCAGCACCAAGTAGCCGTAGCGGTTGTTGTGTTCGTCCAGCTCCACGCCCGTAGCTTTGAGGTAGCACACGTCCACCTGGTCCACCATCGGTGGGAGCTTTGGCAATGCCCAGATCAAGTCTGCAGTGTGGAACGGGTCCTTGGGCGTGGCGGACTCGACCGTCCCCAGCCAGACGCAGTCTCTAGGTGGGTTCTTGTACGAGAAGCCCGTCATCAGGTCCTCTTGGGAGGACGCCGTCATGCCCAGCATCATGTCCTCGAGGCTGCCGTCCACGTGGCCGTCGCAAATCATGCTCGTGTAGCCGCGTTCTGCCGCGCGTCGGATCTCCGGGAGGTCCTCCTCCAGCGCCAACTCTCGCAGCGACCGACCTCTGCGTAGACGGCGGAAGAACGTGAGCCCCTTCTCCGTCTTGACCTGTTTCCACTCGCCTGCATGCAGGAACGGCTGCTGCTGGGCGCGCCGCTGGGCGTAGCGGGCCTCGTCGTTCAGCATGGTGTCGACCTGGTATCTGACCAGGTCCGTGAACTGCTGGTGCTGCAGCGCCGAGGGCTGGAAGCAGCCCGGCGACAGCGGGACGCCCACGGGTCGCAGCGCCGGCTGCTGCATCGCGGAAGTGAGCCAGCCCTCGGCTGGGCTTGGGCTGGGACTCATGGGGCGAGTTGGCGACTGAGGGAGCGGTCTCTCCATTGACTGATTAACGTTCGGCGGTATCGATATCAACCGTGGACCGGTGACCACCACGAGCAGCTCAATTGACCCACGCTTGTCGAGCGATAATGACGCGAGACAATGTACTGTAATGTGGCACTTAGGAAGCAGCTCTCTCTCTCTTGCCCCGACACGACAGACGAGGACTGCAACAATTGCGTATGTGCCCGAGAGTCAGCAGATCGACAACGCACCGCCAGATGCCAATGTCAAAAGTGCAACCAAGTCAAGGACGCCTTGACCAAGTTGGACGGATCTTTAACTCGATTGAGACCAACGTCATGCGTGACTGCTACGCTGGACGCGCGCAATGCAAGATTCGCACCAGCTGGCCAACTTCAACTACAGTTGTCAGGGTGCATGTATCACCACGTTGCCGAAAATTTTACAGCAGCTATCGAATCCTACCGCATGGACCTCTTCATGATCTCCTCGTTGGCCTTGGCCGTGATGTACGCCTCCTCGGCGGACGACTGGAGCTCCATCATCCACTCGAGCATGCTGTTGGGTCGGGGCTTGGCCGCCGCTGGCTTGGCGAAGTCGTCGGGGTGTCCTCGGTAGCTGCCGCCCCAGGCCTTGACCCCTCTCGATGACATGGGAGTGCCGAGCTCCGCGTACTCCTTCAGCAGCTCGGCGGACACGCCCGAGCCTGGCTCAGGCTCCTCCTCTAGATCGTCGTCGTCGTCGTCTCTGGCATACGCGTTGGAGCTGAGCCGATACGGGCCCGAGTTGAGGTCGCTGAGCGTCCCGGAGTAGCTGACGTCGAAGTCGAAGCCGGCACAGCTATCGTCGACCGTCGAGTTGGTCACGTCCACCGAGGAGCAGGCTTGACTAGCGTCCGAAAGCAGCGAGGGCGGCTCGGACCTCCACGCCTCGTTATTGCCGGCCACCACTTCAGTCTGCTCGATGTGCCGGGCGGACGTAAGCACTGAAGGCGTGGAGAGCGTCGGTGCTACAGCCGAGCGACCGGAAGACGAGGAGGACGAGGTCGGCCGGTTCTTGCTGTAGAACTCCGCCACCACCACGAACTCCGGTTCACCCAGACGCACCCCCGTGATGCAGTTCGCCTGCGGCGCGCATGTTGGACAACACGCGACGTCGCGGCACGGCTGTCGTGTCCCCAGGAACACACGCGTGTCCTTCACCTTGCAGTTCTTGCAGATGGGGACGCCACATACGCCACACGAGCGCAAACGCACACCCGGGAGGATTCCCTTCCTCCCACGGATACAGGCGGAGCACACGGAGTGCTTGGAGATGGTTTTGGCAGGCTGTCGTCGCGTGTCGTGGTTTCTTAGCGCTAGCAGCGTCAGCTTCTTGGCCTCGCCGCAACTCACGCCTCGCAGTAACCCGTCGATGACGGACGTCGTGGCGTGCGGCAGCACTAACTTGAGCAGCTCCCCGCCGGCCAAGTCGAAGATGCCGCGCCCCATTACGTCCACGTAGCCAGGGGCGGTCTCCCGGAACAGGAAGGAGAAGTACATCTTGGAGCGTAGAATCTTGGTCTTCCGATAGTCGAACGGAGGACACTCGGGTAGATCTACCGAATGCAGCACCATGTAGCCGTATGGTCTCCCCTTGCCGTCACGCTCCACACCCGTCGCTTTGAGGTAGCAAACGTCTCGCGGGTGCAGGATCGGAAGCTTCGTTAGGACCCACAAGAGCTCGGCCGAGTGTAGTGGGTCCTGGACCGTCGAGCGCTCCACGACACTGAGTAGCACCGCGTCTTGCGGCGGAGCGGTGAAGGACAACCCCGTCATCATCTCCTCCTGCGTCGTCGCGCTCATGCCGTAGAGCATGTCCTCTATCGTCCCGCTCACTGCTCCGTCCGCTAGCATACTGGGGTTCCCTCTCTCCACCGCCACTGCCGCCTCAGGGAAGTCCTCCTCTGCTGCCACCTCCTGCTTGGACCGACCCCGAAGCCGCCGCTGGTAGACCTTGAGGCCGCCCATGCGCCGGAAGAACTTCCACTCCGTCTCCTGCACCACTGGCTGCTGCTGCGCGCGTCGTTCCGCGTGGCGGTGCTCGTCCGCAAGCATTGAGTTGACTCGGCATTGAACGATGTCGCTGTATTCCTGGCGCTTGGACGCGGATACCGTCACGTCTCCGAAGTAGCCCGACGGCAGCGGGAAGCGCATGGTGGGCATGGCATCGTCCTCGTCGTCGATGGCGCAGCTCTGCGCTGCCCTCGAGCTTGCACTGGGCGTCGGGGGCATGCAGCCTCTTGCTTGCTCGCTCTGTCGCCGGAAGTTCGCGAGTGGAGACCGTGCGGCTGACGACTGACTGTCCGCCCGTCCTGCATTGGCTTGGGGAATCGCGCAAGGCGCCGCGAGTGCTAAGCAGAGCCGCAGAGGCACCTGTTGAAGGCGTCAGGCTGACGGTCAGCCCACCGCAAGCGAAGCCATGCGCGCATCGCCTGCGCACGCTCCCACGCTCCGACAGCTCGTGTCCCACACACCCAACAGGCTCTTCAACGAGCTGCTGGCCACACACAGCAACATGGAGGAGAAGGAGCTCCGTCTGAAAGGCAAAGAGAGAGCTTGGGCTGTCTTGCTAAGCCTTGGCTGAAGAGAGGGAGAGCAGAGGATCATCGTGTCGGTGGTGCGTCCGGAGTGGAGAACAACAAGACGCAACCTCATGGCTGGCGGCTCTTCTGAAGGCGAGGCGGGCGGAGGCGGCAGCCGAGCGCCTCATTCACTGCAAGCGGCTCGAATAAGGTGGACGCTGGTGGACAGTTGGTGTCCTCATCTGAAGCGTGTGTACCACCAAAGTCAATCGCATTGACTGGATACTTTCTTCTGCTGGCAGGGAAGGACCATAGTGCTCGCTCGCTCACTGCTGCTGCTGGACGATCGTCATTGCGCAAGGACTTGATTACTGGAAGCTCCGCACCGACCAAAGAGCTCATGTGGTGGATTTTCAGGTGGGTACGCACTATTTCCGCGGTTATTTCACTGCTTCCGACAGTAAATCAGCGTATCCAGTCCCTTGATCAAACTATTGAACTACAGTTATCAAGTACATAGTACCCGATTTTGGAATTCCCAACCATGGCTACAAAATGATCTCATACTTCAGTTAGTATCAGCACCTTTATTTGTCAATCGGTTTTTCTTCCCACCTGCTCTAATCCATCGTCTAACCCTCCGTACCTCCTCCTAATTCTTGGGTCGAGCTTTCATCTGATTTATTTCGCTCAGTATCGGAGAGGGCACACCACTCCATAGCGTCGAGCGCCGAGCCCATTAGCCGCCCCGCTACCCGTCGCCATGCGCTGCTTCGAGTGCTTCTACAAGTGTTTCGGGCGCAGCGACTCGCTGTCGACGCCCAAGGGCGACGGCGGCAGCGAGCCCGCCGCAGTCACCACAACCAGCGCCACCACGGTCGAGGAAGTGTCCGTGTCCGTGGCCTCCGCCCCCGCCTCAGGCTCAACTGCTGCTGCTACGTCCACGCCCACGGGCCAACGCGGCCGCGGCAAGGTGACGGACGCCTACACGCTGGGCAAGGTCATCGGCTCCGGGTCGTACTCGGTCGTGCGCGAGAGCGTGCACAAGAAGAGCAAGCAAAAGTTCGCCATCAAGTGCATCAAGCGCTCCGAGCTGTCCGAGGAGGACGACGAGGCCATCCAGTTCGAGGTGTCCATCCTGCAGCAGATGAAGCACCCGCACATCATGACGCTCGAGGAGTTCTTCGTCGAGCCCGAATACTACTACCTCGTGACCGAGTTCGTGGGCGGCGGCGAGCTCTTTGACCGCATCGTCGAGAAGACCTTCTACACGGAGAAGGAGGCGCGCGATCTCGTCAAGATCCTCATCGACGCCATCAAGTACTGCCACGACCAGAACGTCGTGCACCGAGACCTCAAGCCCGAGAACCTGCTGCTCATGTCGGCGGACGACGACGCCAGCATCAAGCTCGCGGACTTTGGCTTCGCCAAGACGGTGACCAAAGACGACTCTGGACTGGTCACGACCTGCGGCACGCCCGGGTACGTCGCCCCCGAGATCTTGGAGGGCGCGTCCTACGGCAAGCCCGTGGATATCTGGAGTATCGGAGTCATCACGTACATCTTGCTGGCCGGGTACCCGCCGTTCCACGACGACTCGCAGCCGCTGCTGTTCAAGAAGATCCGCAAGGGCAAGTACTACTACGACTCGCCCTACTGGGACAACGTGTCGACAGACGCCAAGGAGTTCATCTCCAAGATGCTCGTGGTGGACCCCAAGAACCGAGCCACGGCGGGCGAGCTGCTGCAGCACAAGTGGATCACCGGAACGGACGTGGCCACCGTGCCGCTGACCAGCGCGTTGACCGAGCTGCGGCGCTTCCACGCGCGCAAGAAATTCAAGGCGGCCGTGCATTCCGTCCAGGCCACGATCAGTATGAACAAGGCGCTCTCGGGGCTCGGCGAGTCTGCGAGGAACAGCAACTCCGCAGTGTCTCTTTAGATCGCAGTACAACCGATGACCCACTCCCAGTCTATTGCAGGAGCGAAGGCGCCAAAGAGGACGGCGCGATGCTTGTAGATGCTTCACACACGACGCCTCCTCTTCCGAGCTCTCGGTTGCTGCTTGCACAATTTATTCCGTCATTCTCTATTGCTAGTCCGCGCGTTTGAATCTGCTGGGTCGTCCCTCAGTTTGTTTTCTGTTTGTTTTCACCGTTGCGACGGAGGTGCAACGCGTCGAGCAGGTTCTCCTTGAACGAACCGAGCTTGTACGGGTTGTAGTCGACGTCTTCGACGGAGAAAGACTCCTCAGTGTTCATGATGGAGTCTGGAGAGAACAGTCCGCCCCAGGACGCATCCAACGTCCTCTTTTGCTCACGACGCGGCACGCTCAGCTTCGGTCGCTTTCTGAATTGCAGCCGCTTGAAGAGAAAGCGGAACATCCGTCGACCTGACGTCTCGCCGTCCATCTCGGCTTCCTCGCGCAGGTCTTCGCGCTTGAACGACTCGTTCGCTGTCTCATTCTGAGCGATGCGCTTCAGTTGCATCAGCATGAAGACCCACACGATAATACTCGTCATGAGGCACATGGCAGTGACAAAACCCAGAGCTTGGTTGTTCTGTAGACGCACAAGACCAATGTTAGATTCAACGACGGCAGCGATTGCCACACGGAATTAATACGTACCGCGATCAGTGACTGCATGATCTTAGCCACCTCTGTTCGGTCGATGTCATTGATGGTCAAGCCGCGATCATGGAAAATGTTGTCAGCCTGAATAACAGACCCCAAACAGCGTCAGTATTCGCACGATACGAACCATCTTGTTTGTTTGAGTGGCAATGGTTGTACCTGGACAAGGAATGCTCCGCTTGTGACAATAAAGCCTTCAACGGAAGCAGCCAGCTGAACCTGAGTACACGTAGAAGAGTATGGCCAGCAGTTCAAAATCCTTGTCCGTGCTGGAAGTAGTTCCGATGCACTTTACCAGCAGATACGCGAGGAAATACTTGTAGTTCTTCTCTCCAACACATCCATTGAACCAAACTTCACATCGCACAAGGTGTAAGCTTGAAATACCCAGCAAAACTACAACGCCAAGTCAAGTGGTCGTCAACTCACTGCAACTGCAGCATAAATAACAACGCATAAACGTAAGAACCAGCACCACACTAGACCCAGCAATAACACTTACTGGTGATCGAATCTCCCAACGCAGTGGTTGCACATGCGGCAATGCTTGGAGCGCGGCAACCTGCAGAGCACCCCCAATGCATCGAGTAAGTCTCTCCTCTCACTCTTCAACTCCAGATCTCCACTCACTTCAGCGTCTTGCATGTGCGGCAGTACTTCCCCTCGGGAAACATCACCGGGTGGTTCGCGTACTGCGTGAACTCGTGGATGTTGTCGCGCCGGATCACGCCCGGGTCGCTCGTGCACATGACGAGGTACAGCGCGACCGCCGCCACGAACAGCACGCTCGGCAGCCACCTGCCAGCAGCACCACCAATCAGCCTCTTCAGGTCGTATAATTTGACCATTGTCACTCCTTATAGAGCCTCGTACTTGTGGTACCAGGCGACGTAGTCGTTCGGCATGAGCGGGTGAGCCTCGCGCAGGTACAGGAAATAGCACGAGCCCATGGCCACGAAGTAAATGATCTACAGTAGAGGCAGCAGCAACGGCGTTAGAAATGAGCCAACCATTGCCAATAGAGAGCGGTCGCACCTGCACGAGCGGGTTCCGCTCGAAGAAGACATAGTCCCGCACTCGCACGAGCGCGGCGCCCATGGCACTTTCAATACTGAAGTGGCGTTGCGTTGTGGAGGAGCTCCGTTTCTATTGCGTTAGAAACGCATTTCTAACTTCTGCAGCCGAAATCTGTACCCAATTATCGGTACACGCGATCCGCCAGCTCAATCTCCCCCTTCAGTCAGAGAGGAGAAGGATATCGACCAAGGTAAGATCGCGCTTCAAGGCGCCACTTGCGCTGCGTGTGTCTCGGCCTGTAGACGCTGTACAAGCAGCACAATTGCTGGTCTGCATAGCGCGTCGTCTGCTCTACTGACCCGTATTTTTTTCTTTCTCGCTACGCTCAGTAGTCGCTGCGTAATCGACCATGGCGGACTCTGCGTACTCGTTCAGTCTGACGACCTTCAACCCGTCGGGAAAGCTGCTGCAGATCGAGTACGCGCTCAACGCCGTGAACACTGGCGGCAAGACGTCGCTGGGCATCCGCTGTAGGTGTTTTGTGGCGCTAAAACGCTGCCTGGAGGCTCGAAATCAACGCTGACGAGGTGCAATCTTGCTCTTTTTAGGCAAAAACGGCGTCGTGATCGCCACGGAGAAGAAGCTGCCCACGATCCTCGTGGACGAGGACTCGCACAAGAAGATCGCGGTGCTGTCCGAGCCCGCCGGCATCGTGTACAGCGGCCTGGGCCCCGACTACCGCGTGCTGGTGCGCAAGGCGCGCAAGAAGGCGCAGACCTACTTCCAGAAGTACAAGGAGCACGCGCCCGCCAGCATTCTCGTGCGCGAGATCGCCGCCGTCATGCAGGAGTTCACGCAGTCGGGCGGTGTGCGCCCCTTCGGCGTCTCCATCCTGTACGCGGGCTACGACGACGACGGCCCGCAGCTGTATCAGATTGACCCGTCGGGCGCCTACTTCGGCTGGAAGGCCACGGCCATCGGCAAGGACTCGGTCAGCGCCAAGACGTTCCTCGAGCGGGTATGCACTCAGGGCAGGAAGGTCAATAGTGGTTGAAGTGGTGGCTGACTTCTGTGTGTGCATTGTTTTGACAGCGTTACAACGACGACCTGGAGATTGAAGACGCCATCCACACGGCGCTGCTGACGCTGCGCGAGGGCTTCGAGGGCGAAATGGACGAGACGAACATTGAGGTGGGCATCATCAAGGAGGACAAGAAGTTCCACGTGCTCACGCCCGCGGAGGTGAAGGACTACCTGGAGCAGGCGGAATAAGTTGGTGGCACGTTACAGTGTCGACCGGCAGCTTTGTTTTGGACGGTTGGGCGGCGCCGGCTAGAGCTGGGAGAGTAGGTTGTCACTGCTGGAGCGACGCAGCGTTTTTTTTCTCCGGTGAAGCACGAGTTACTGCAAGGCTGTGGTGACCGACAGGCAGACAGCCTTCGTGCGGCTACAGTAATAACACCGACGCAAATAAAGATGAGCACAATGGAACAGAGCATCGTGTGTTTGAGCTGTTAGGTGATGATATTCAGTGCCCTGAAATTCTTGCTTGTTGTGAGTCTAGATGCCTGATGGAGCTTGGTGGAAGGCGAAGCCAGCACTCTGGCCGCCTAAGTGGCCCACGCAGTCAACGCGCAGGTTGCGCTGGAATGCTGCGCCAACAATGTTGAGTGCCGTGTACAGCTGCAGCATTTGCGCTGATGTCATGTCGAAGATCCCGTAAAGCAGAAGCTGTCCACAGCATACAAGACAAGCAATATGATTGTCAGTACGATAGTCAAGCTCCGATCATAAAGTAAACGTACGCGCTGGTCAGGGAAGAAAAGGCACGACATCGTGAAGACAGCCGACACTGCGCCGCTCGCACCAATAGAGAACACTGCACGCAACCCAACATATTTAGCCAAAGTCTCAATTCCACCTCGCAATTTGCACAACCAGCTCACCTCCTCCGTTTTTTCGGAGCTTCGAGACCAAAGCACTCAGCGCCGACGAAGTCATAGCCGAAGTGAAGTACAGCGTCATGAACTTCTCAATGGACAGCAGCTCCGGTCTGCGGCTGAAACTGTTGTAATTGTCTCTGACAAACCCGGCAAACCTCGAATTCGCCACGGCACGACTGTACCACGCGCCCGACTGGTTGTTGCTCGGCGACAGCACGTGCGGCCCGAACTCCCACAACATGAACATGTTGATGCCGAAATGCGGGAACGTGATGTGGCTGAAGGCCGACGTCAGCAACGTGTGGAACCGCTTGCCGTACACCACCGCGTCGTACGAGCTGGCGAAGTGCCTCCACATGAACTGATGCAGTCTGGCGTTGCGGAACGACACGCGCCACAGTCCGAAGACCAAAGTGTTGGCTGCAATGATCGATGCCACGGCCTTCTTGTTGTTATCTTCAAACCACTGCAGAAATACCACAAACACGTTAAAACCAGCTCCCCAGCAGCTGAGAAATCCTTGAATCCACGCACCGGATCATCGAATTGTCGTCCATTGCCACGGTAGAACAAGTCCTCCGCGTCCCCATACAAATTCCTAATGAGCCCCTTGAAGTCACCACTCTCTTCTTGCTTGTGAAGCAGCGAAGTGGCTATAATTCCGCCCGACACGAGCCCCATAGTGGCGGTCAGAGCGCGGTCGTGGCGACTTGCGCGGCCGAGCAGCTGCGACTTGAGCTGTTGCTGGCGCACCAATACACGCAGCTCATTGCCGTGAGCTGTGAGTGTGTTCACGTGGGAAGACCGCAGTAGAACATCGTAGCCCCGGCAGGCGGAAGACGCAAGCGGACGAGGTCCGCGCACGACGCGCAACATCTTACAGCCAGAATTTGTATGAGGTTCCCCAAATACTATCAAAGGGCATATTTGAACTATTATCGATCATGCTTATCAACGACCATCACTCCTTCGTTTGGCCCAAATCAGTTCCGGACTGGGAGTTCCGCACTCATGGCGTCTCCACCGCCCCTGGCAGCGCCGCTGCCCTTCGTGACGCTCAGCGACGACGGCAGCTTCGACATCGCGCCGGAAGCCGTCGAGTACCTGCAGCAGATCCGCGGCGACATCGCCGTCGTGGCCATCGCGGGCCTCTACCGCACGGGCAAGTCGTACCTGCTCAACCTGCTGCTCGGCCGCGACCAGGAGAGCGAGATGTTCGACGTGGGGGCCACCGTCAACGCCTGCACCAAGGGCATTTGGATCTGGGGCCAGCCCGTAGCCAGCCAGAGCCGCCACCCGGCCTTTAAGCACCTTAGTAAAGACACCACCATCGTGTTCATGGACACGGAGGGACTGGGCTCCACCCAGCGCTCCCAGACGCAGGACACGAGGATCTTCGCGCTGGCCCTGCTGCTCTCCTCGATGTTCATCTACAACAGCAGAGGAGTTATCGACGCCAGCGCCATTGAAGACCTGTCTCTGGTGGTGAACCTGACCAAGTACATTCAAGCGAAGGCCCACGCAGACGAGAAGAAGGACGACGGTAGTGACCTGTCAGTGTTCTTCCCAGACTTCCTCTGGGTTGTGAGAGACTTCACACTTCAGTTGCAGGAAGACGGCAGGAAGGTGACGTCGAGAGACTATTTTGAAAGTGCTCTGAAGCAGCAGCCTCCGTTGACGGAGGAGGTGGTGCAGAAGAACAAGATCCGGTCGCTGCTGTCCACGTTCTTCCCATCGAGAGACTGCGTGACGATGGTGCGCCCACTTAGTGATGAAGCGTTGCTCAGAGAGCTCATCAGACAGCCCTATGAGTCGTTGAGACCCGAGTTCCGCGAGCAGATGGGCGTGCTGAAAAATAAGTTAGCGCTGTTGCTGAAACCCAAGACGATGATGTCCAAGGTGTTGAATGGTGCGATGCTGCTCTCGTTGACGGAGAATTACGTTGCAGCTTTCAACAGTGGATCGAGTCCGGTTATCACGTCGGTGTGGGATCGGGTTTTGGAATCTCAGTGTGATCAGGCGCTGGAGTCGGCGAAACAGGTTTTTGAGACAACTATGAACGATGCCATCGCCGAAAAGAGAGGTGTGTACTTGTATAATTTCTCATGCATTTTGAGAACGTTTAGAAACTTGATTGCTTGAGCAGGATCGGTGCTGGTAATTCAAGTGATGCGAGCACGTGCACTCGATGATGCTGATGTAATTGCCGCATATGAAGTTGCACGTGGCGCAGCAGAGAAGGAGCTCGTCCAAGAAGACATCGCAGCGTACTCGTCTATTGAGTCGTATTTGCTCCAGCTTGCGGATTATTCCCTCGAAGTTTTACAGTCCAAGTATACAGAAAATGACGCGGTGTCGACAGCGTACAACAAGGAGCTGCTTCAGGAGCTGTATCAACCTGCAGACGATATCCTTGATGACCCCGCTTCAGCGATCGGAAATGGAGCCCAGGTTTTGCAAGATCAGCTTGCAGCCTCTCGCGACCAGCTAGAATCGGTTGTGGGACAATATAACGCGCGAGCATTGGGTCCCTGCAAGAGCTCGGTACTCAACAGCTTTCTCATGGACAAAATGGTTGCTGGTATCTTCGAGTGGAGCACGATCGTGAAAAAGTTTTTCCGGGCAAACGAGTCGAAGCTGGTGATGGACATCGCTGCAACACAACAGAATTTACGGTCAATTGAAGCTAAAGTCCGTGTAGCACAAGAGATGCTAGCTCAGCAAAAAGAGTCGTACGAGAGAGCTGTGCAGTCGATCAACGAGCGCATCACGAGCGAGCGGAGCACTCTTCAGGACGAGATTGAGAACAAGCAAGCTGAAATTGAGCGGACACGTCTGCAAGTTGAGCAGTTGACTGGTCTTCATAAAGAGGCCCTTGATCGGTTAGACTTGCAAATTGAAGAAGCAAAGGATGAACGGAAGCGTCTGGAGGTCGATGTTCGTGACGCTGAAGCTCGCCGAGAGAGTGAGCGGCAGGAAGCACAGCGTCAGTTGTTGGAGAACGAACGCAACTTCCACAATGAAGAAAAGGGCTTGCTTCAAGGCCAACAGCAGTTTCTTCAAAAGGTTCTCGAGTTGGAACGGCAGCTTGGTGAACAAGATACCGATCAGATTGCAGAGCTGTATCGTATTGACAAGGAAAACCAGGAACAAGTTTCCCAGCTGACCCTTCAGTACCAGGACGAGCAGGAAGAGCTGAAAGAGGGCACAATTCGGGTAAGCTTACATCGTTGGTTTTATCTGTCTTGTTGGTTGGCCGAGAAACTAATGCTTTCCTTCTAGGATATCCGTGCGCTGAAAAACGAGCAAGACGATGAAATGAATGTACTCCGAGGAAATTTGGCCGAAAAGAAGGAGCTTGTTGCTAGCCTTCGTCAACAGTTAAATGAGAAGGAGGCAGCGGCTGCGCGAAAGAAAGCTAAGGCGAATCAACTTTTTGGTGGAGAGGAATGTGTCGTCCAGTAAAACTTAACAGTCCGAAGTAAAAGAGTTTTATTTCGGGCGTTTGTGAGCGCATGACTCCGCGCTATGTTGTTAAGCCTGTCGTAGCGAGAGTCACACCGGTGACCAAATTCATCGTTCACGGAATATTGTTTTTTTTCTACGGCCATGACAAGCGACTCAGTGCATTCCTATTCCGGCTTCTGCACTTCTGCTGCGCCGTATTTCCATTGCCTAATCAGTGTTGAAGGTCTCTATATGTTTCATACAACAGTTCTATTGACCTTACTTAGTAGCCCACTAAAAGTACATACGTGGATATTAAGCATCGCCTGCTGCCACGTTGGCCCGGAGTAATTCGGCGAGCTGCTTCTGGTATTTGGCTTCCACTTCCTCGAGACTTCGACGCCTCTGCTCCTTCAACTGCGCGATCTGCTTGGCAAGCTTTGAATCATTTGCCGCACTTAGAACCGAGTCCTGAGACGACGTGCTTCCTTCTGAGGTCGCCCTGCGCTCGCGTCTTGGACACGGCTTCAGGGGCGACACACTACTAGGCGAGCTCACATCACCAGGGCGATCCGGGGAGTCGTACAAGACGTGCTGGGTCTTGCGCTCCCACTTCATCCCTTCGTCACCCCGAGCCATATCCACTCGCTTGGTCAACGCTTCTAGCCGCATGAGTAACTCGAGATGTACCGTCTCAATCTCGACGCTTGCATCTCGGTCGAAGTGGCTGGTGGGATCCCACCGCAGATAGTAGTGCGCCCAGAACCTGAGCGACTTCATCGAGCAGGACGGCACGATCACATCTTCACACGAGGCGAGGGCCCCATAGCGACCGATCTCATCACCCTCCGAAACAGCGTCGGTATCTGACGTATTCCACAGACCGTCCGACAGCGGCGCTCGCTCTACCGCGGGCATGAACAGCGAAGTCAGCGATGAACGGGACTTCGGCGTCGACGGCTTTACAACACTCCCACCATCTTCAGCGTAGCGACCGAAGTAGAACGAGCGAGAGCGCGGGGCAACAGCTGGGGACGAGGGAAAGCTCGACAGCGCTGATGCCTCCAGCGGTTGAGGGAACGAGAAGCCTGCATCCAGATCGCGAACGATTTTGTGGTAGCACGACGGCTGTAGCATCGCCATCTCCGTATCGCTCTCGCAGTCCCAATTAACCAAGTCATCACCGCCAAATTTTAAACCGTTGTGTTCCAGTTCATGTGACAGCTGCATGTGCGTGGACTCCAAGGCTGCATTCACCTGAGCATCCGTCGCTTCATCCTTCGAGTGCGCTGGCGAAGACGCCACTGCAACAGTACTCCCGAACGCCATCGAGGTGGAACTTGAACACCCTGAAGAGGATCCATCCGAGTCAAATATGCATCTACTCATTTTGTAGTCTTGAAACCCGTCCACTAGCGAGTGCACGTCGCAGTCTTCATGGGTCATATGAGGAATTGATCGGGGAGATTCAACGTATTCATCTCCAATTTTCCTCTCGAAGCACTGGCGTGTAGCCGTCACGCTCGCTTTCCACTTCATGCGCGGGGCGTTGTGCGGTTGATAAAACGGGTTCAGTACCACAGAACGATCCATTGTGCTAAGAAATGACCACAGAGATTGGGTCGGATGGAGGGCTTCCTGCTCGACGCGCTCCCGTTCAGAGTCGTACAGGAACGTGCCGAAGCGGCACGAGTACAGGTGATCCAGGATGAGAATGAGGTATCGCTCGTTAAACTCGAACGCACTTGGGGATTGGACTAACACTTGCCACACGCAATCAATCCACTGCAGGAAAACCGGCGAGATTTCGTTAGAGTTGTTGCTCGCGCCATGCCCCGTTCGATCCCGGAACTTGTGACCAAAGCTGCACCATTCTTTCTCAATCAGCACCTGAACAAATGAAAAAAATAGTTAGCGACGGCACGGAAGAATGACTTGACCAGATGAAAACATACCTGAAATCCTTGCACAGTTCGGTAGTATGGATCAATCAGCAATTCCGTAAGAGCTGTAAGCTGAGCTGTACGGTCCCACCCATCGCTACAATGAATCAGAACGCTGGACTTCTGTTCCTTGACGATGCGGACGATTTCCACGGCCGAGTCCAGTATGCGAGAGATGTGGTCCATCCAGTGAGTTGAAGCCAACTGGTCGAGCCACTTGTCGTTGTTCTGCTTCGTAGTGCATAGATCCATGAGTTTGTGGTAACTTTTGCGCATCTGATGAATATTCTCGATGCCCATGAAAATTAACTTGCACTCGGTCAAAACCAGCGACGCCTCCATCGTCTCCAGAATCTGTCTGCGTTCATCACTATCGCCCCAGCCGCTCGCAACACTGGAATCATTGACCGATAGTGAATCGCCATTGATAGAGAGCTCGGCTGCCCCTCCTGCAATAGGCGTCGCCGTAGAACCGGCAGATATGGCTGCAGCCGCTGCTGCATTATGTTCAGATGCGACCATATCCGCGTATTTCAACGACGCTGTTCCATGACGCATTTCATAGTGTTCCGTGAGTTCGTAACCCGCACGACCGACAGTCTTTTGTGCTATAGCATTCTTCCAGGGCCGCGCATCAATAATCACAAGCTTCGTCGACGACGGATTGGTCGCTGCGATGGCCTGGATGAGGAAGACGTCCTTGTCGCACTGCTTCTGTCCGAGACCAACGAGCGGCTGACTGCTTCGACAGATCACCGCGCCTGTATGGCGGTCACGCCACGAGAGAACGGGGATTCGACCTTTAGAACGAAACTTGGACGCCACCGCCAACACGCTGTCAGATACAGAAGACGGAACGGCCAACACTGACGGGTAGGTTGGACACAATTCGTACTGCTCGTTGATGTAGCTCAGTCGCCATCGATTCGTGGACGCCGATAAGCCCATGCGCTGGAATTCCGCCACTGCATCATACACTCTCCAACCATCCACTGCACCGTTAACGCCATCAAATCTTTCCAGTGAAAACTTGGCAAACTCGTCCACTTTCCCTTCCGGTTCACCGAGCGCGTGCATCCTTACAAGCGCGTACGTTCGATCGAACTGACTGAACGTCTGCTTGGACACGAGCCCTTCAAAGATAAAGTACAGTCGCCTGAAATCCTTCCCGACAATCTCCAGCATCCCCGTATCCGTCTCCACCATCTCCTTGCGCTTAACCCGATCTATCGTCACGAGGGGGACGGCCTGGTACGCCACCAAAGCTTCCGAGTGCAGATCACTGGCATACGGCAACTCGTCCTCCCTCACATTCCCCCTCACAGTCGCACTCTCCGACGAAAACCTCCCCATAACTATCTCCCCACCGTCCGGGGCGGGGCTAAACACCAGTCGGTAGTTCGTCACGTAGAGTATCCCCGTATGCTCTATCCTGTCCAGGAACCTGACCCGGACGTTGTCGTTCCTCACCAGCACTGCCTCACCCGGTAGAGTCTGCAGGAGTCCGTCCCCATGCCCAAAGTGTCCTCCAGCGTGGTCCGTCTCCTCACTGCCCGTCCGCTCCCGCTCGCTGGAACTCTCGCACGACGCGCCTCTGGATAAATTACCGGGTACTTGTCGTCGTCCATTGGACGTCATGATACCCCCCTCCATCACGTCGCTGTCTGGACTAAAGCCTCCCCCTCCTCCCCGTTCTACCGCCATGGTCATGGAATTCCTGAACCCGATTGAGGGGCGGTAGAACCCCAACGAGTCGCTTCTCCCCGTTCTACCGCCAATTCTACCCTCATGGGAGTTGTGGCGGTCCCTACCGGTACCCGACGTATCCTCCGAAGTAAAGTAGAACCCCCCTCTGCCCGAGTCTCCTCTATCCCCCGTGTCACTGTGCCGTCTGGCAGGCTGGAAACTCCTGGCCTTCTGCCGCTCCTGCACCATTCTAGCGTGCGCCTTCTTGGCCGCCACCGAGCACTTGGCGCACACTCTGACCGGGTTGAAGAAGCCCGAGTTGACCAATGGCATGCGCGCAGAGGAGCACGCGTCGCAGAAGACGTTCCCGCAGCGCCGGCAGTGGTGGCGCCGCAGCATGAGCGAGAACGAGGCCTGGCAGCTGTAGCAGCGCTCCGCCAGGCTGTCGGGCACCCAGGCCACGACGTGGCGGCGGTGGTGGTGCTGGCCGGGCGCGGATCGCGGCTGCGGGCGGCTGTGGGACTGGGACTGGGTCGGCGTCTTGCTGCTGCTGCTGCTGCTGGGGCCTCCTGCTCTGCGCGGCGTCAGGTGCAGCGGCTGCGGGTGCACGGGCGAGGCGGCGGCGGTTGTGAGCACGGGGGACACGTGCACGGCGCGCGCCTCGCGGGACGACGCGCGGGAGCGGGTCGGCAGCATCGAGAGCGGCAGCGTCGGGTCAACGTTAGGGACAGCGTCAGCGCCGCATGAAGAAGCTTGGACACTCTGGTATAAACCCAATTATTTGTTTTGGGTTTCGCCTCTTTTTATTTTGGGTTCCACTGCGGTCGCGTTCGGTCAGTGATGGAAATGCTCGGCAAGCTGCTGCTCGGCCCCTCGTCGCATATCCGCTCGCTTGCCGGGGACACGCCGCGCTAATCTGCATACCCCCAACGCCTGCCAGCCTTTCGCCTCCCTTCTCACGCCGGAATCGCCGTCTAACTCGCCGTGGAGCGCCCAGAATTCCATTGTCAATTGACCGCCATGAGCGACGACATCTCGGGCCTCGAGGCCATCCTGGTGGACGAGGAGTACCTGAACAGCGCCAATCCCGGCGAAATGGTGCTGATTCGGCCGCCGCGACCGGCACCGGCGTCTTCTCCAGGCCCGCGCGAGTCCAGACGTGCCAGTATCGACGCCTACGACGCCCGGGATGACCATTTCGGACGGGACGACGGAGATGACGACGATGAGGACGCCGACGAGGACGAAGAGGACGTTCCAGCGGGGCTGCAAGACGATGAAGACGGCCAGGAGGACGCTGGCATCAGTGACGAGGAGGTGGAGGACCCACCGCCGCAGTTGCGGCCTCGGAGCGTGCCCACGACGGACGCCCGAGCGACGTCCTCCGACGTCCACGTGGCTCTGCGGTCCCCGCCCCGCTCCATGTCGCTCGGCAGCTTCGTGGTGGACGACGAGGACGTGATGGAGATGAACGCGCGCGAGCAGGAGCTGCTGGTGAACATCCAGGAGCTGCAGCGCCAGTTGTCCATGGTGCAGATCCAGACGGACAAGCCGCAGGAGGAGATCGTGCCGCCCATGATGGACGCGAGGCACCGGCTGATCATGGTGTCGAACCGCCTGCCGATCTCCTTCCAGCGCAATGAGGCCACGGGCGAGTGGAGCTTCACGATGAGCTCGGGGGGACTCGTGACGGCGCTGAACGGCATTCGAGACCAGGTGCCGTTCATCTGGATCGGCTGGCTGGGCGAGGAGATCCCGCACGACGAGCAGAGCAAGGTGCGCGAGAAGCTGGCCAGGGAGTTCAACTGCGTGCCCGTGTTCCTGTCCAAAGAGATCGCCGCGCGCTACTACAACGACTTCAGCAACGACATCCTGTGGCCCATCTTCCACTACGTGCCGCTGCCGCTGTTCCGGCCAGGCAGCGAGAAGAAGTTCGACTTCCGACAATGGGACGCCTACAAGCTGGCCAACAAGCGCTTCGCACAGGCCGTGAACCAAGTGTACCGCGAAGGAGACTTCGTCTGGGTGCACGACTATCACTTGATGATGTTGCCCTCGCTGCTGCGATCGCGTCACCCGCACTGCAAGATCGGGTGGTTCCTCCACACCCCGTTCCCCACTGCTGAGATGTATCGGATGCTGCCCGTGGGGAGAGAGATACTGGAGGGGCTTCTAGGCGCGGACTTGTTGGGGTTCCACACGTACGACTACGCTCGCCACTTTATCGCGGCCTGTGCTCGTGTTCCAGGTGCGTCGACGTCTCCGAAAGGTATCGAGCTCGGCGACCACTTCTCGGCCATTGGAGTGTTCCCTATCGGCATTGATCCAGAGCATTTCGAGGACATTCTGAACTCGGACGTCACGCAGAAGCGTATCCAGGAGCTCACGGCTAAGTTCGCGGGCTGCAAGGTTATCATCGGCGTGGACCGCATGGACTACATCAAGGGCATCCCGCACAAGCTGCTGGCGATGGAGCGCTTCCTTTCGCTCTACCCAGAGCGATGTAAAGACGTTGTACTGATCCAGATTGGAGTACCATCACGTACCGGTGTACAGGAGTATCAACACTTGGCGGCGAGTGTGAACGAAATGGTGGGGAGGATTAACGGGAGGTTTGGAACTCTGACGCATTCACCTGTGCATTATATCCATCGATCCGTGGCTCCTAGCGAGCTGGTAGCTCTATACAATCTGGCCGATGTGTGCCTCGTGACGTCGATCCGTGACGGAATGAACCTCGTGAGTCACGAGTACGTGATGTGCCAGAGTCAGTCGTGCGAGCCGCACCGTGAGGGACCGGGCGTTCTCATTTTGAGCGAGTTCGCCGGCAGTGCCCAGTCGTTATCCGGAGCGATTCGCGTTAACCCGTGGAATACGACGGACATGGCGAATGCGCTGGGGTATGCACTGGAGCTGCCGCTCATGGAGCGCGAGTACCGCCAGACCAATCTGTATCGGTACGTGAAGACCCACACAGCCAGCTTCTGGGGCAGGAGTTTCCTGACAGATCTGGAAGACGCAGTGTCGCGACCAAGGGCGGTGGTGAAGAAGCTGGTCAGATTGCCAACGATTGAAGTGCTTGGAGCTTACGCGCGCAGTCGCCACAGACTGCTGGTGCTCGACTACGAAGGAACTCTGTTCGATGATCCAACGCCAGCGGGGGCGCCGGCGCAGCAGCGTAGCAACGTCGCTCCCCCCAAACCGTTCGTCAAGCGGCTGGTCGAGACTCTCGCCAACGACCCCAAGAACACGGTCGTGCTTGTGAGTGCTCACGAGCGCAACGTGATCGGGAGTTGGCTGACAGATCGTCGTGTGGGGGTTGTGGCGGAGTCTGGCTACTTCTACCGACTGCCGAACGATGATGAATGGCAGGTGATGACGGAGGACACTGATCCGTCCTGGAAGAAGGTGGTGCGGCCGATCATGCAGTATTTCACCGAGCGTACCCCAGGTAGTCGCATTGACAGCAAAGAAAGCTCACTGACCTGGCACTACGGCGAGACGGACCCGATCTTCGGCCCGATGCAGGCGCGTGACATGCAGGTGAATCTGGAAGACGTCCTGTGCAACTTGCCGCTCGAGGTCGTGCAAGGTACCAACCGCGTCGAGGTCCGCTTGCAAGGAGTGACGAAGACGCTGCTGCTCGATGAAATTCTGAGTCAATTTCAGCCGGATAACGAGCCTAGTTCGCCTGGGAGCAGGGGGCCACGACGAGAGGGATTTTCGCCCAGGCAGAGCCGACGACAGCGGCCACCTGCACCCCAGCTTGACTTTGTGTTTTACGCTGGAAATGGTGTAGAAGATGACGAGCTTTTCTTGTATTTCAAAGAGCACATGGAGCAAGCGAGGAAGGAGGAAAGTGCCTTACAACCCACCGCCAGCGCCACTACAACTATCGCAGACAATAGTAGTCTGCCGCCACCTCCGTTGCCAGTACCCAGTGGAATTTCCAGTGAGTCGTCGTCCGCCTTGTCGAAACGGGCCAACGTGTTCACATGCCATATTGGCGGCAGCAAGACTGAGGTATGGGAAACCGGACTACTAATTGCACATGCGTTATGTATTGCTAACACTGCTCCGTTGTGTGTGTTGTGTGTTGCAGGCCATGTTCCACTTGGAGCGTCCGTCGGATCTCGCTCGTATGCTGCGGGGTATGACTTTGAGTTGATCTCTGTCTGTAGCACTGGCTGAAAGCCTCAAACTGAATCTGTCTTGTTGTTTGTGTCCACTTGCAGCGCTGGCGATCCACAGTCGCGATGGAGGCACGCCAAGAGTGCCCACAGACAGAAACGTTTCCAACGAGCCACCGCTGGCTGCCAACAGCGCTGCGTTTCATGCGTCGGTATCGATGCCATCGCTGTCAGCGTTTGCTAAGTGAGGGGGCAAAGTGCGGCGCCTATTATAGCGAGGAATTGGTTGGCAAGGAGGGAGTGCTCGTTAACTTTCAACATGCGTATAACCTTCACACTCATGTCTTATCATGCAAGGTGGGCACAGTATGAGCAATTAGACAATGGTGACTGCTTACCCCAAGGGTATTTTCACCACAGACGAAGTCGTTGTCGCTTCCCGTGAAGGCAAACACTAGCAGCGCTAGGAAGAAAACCAGCGACATACGGTAGTGTACGCACGACTGGGGTGAGATGGTTGTTGCTTGCTTAGTAGTGTGCTGGCTGCTGGAAAGTTGTGAAATGACTGCCAGGTTGAGAGCTCGGTATTCCATGATGCCCTAAAGTATTACCTAGTGATTACAATCATTTAGTTCGTGTTTGATGTGTTCTGCGAAGTACAGTACAAACTAATAACTGCAGGTGTTGTGTTGTGAGTTGGGAGCCGTTAGACGTCACACGCGTCGATTTCTCACTTGCATTGATGCCACTGCTTCTCGGCTTTCGCGATTTTTTTATTTCCCCAGTAGGAAGTGTTCCAATATTTAGTAAGGGGCGAGCCTGTTCTAGCTGCAATTTTCTTAATCATTGTACCATGGTGGAAGGCCAACTTTCCGCCCAGATGGTAACAATACCGACAGTGAAATTCGTGTGATATTGGTACTTAATCTGCATCATTTTGTGTCGAACTGGAGGGTTTTGAACCTGGCATTTGTGCTGAGGAGTTGGAAGCTGACATTGAGCTGAAGATATATTCTAACTTAGACATGACACGAGCAAAACTTGGAAGTAACCTAAAGATCCAGTTATCACAAACCAACCTTTGATTCAGCTTCTCCCAGGAAAAAAAAATCGATCTTGTCGTCGCCAACGTCCACGAGGCTATTGCGCCTATCCCCTCCTCGCGTGCCCCAGAGTGCATTCGCGTTGATAGCATGTTTATGTTTTCTTCAAAATTTCCACAACAAAGTATTTATTTGCACGTCGAGTACGAAATCGGTGGCTGTCTATTAGATCCACGTCGTGTCCGCTTAGGCGCCGCACTGCACGTCGGTGCCCTTGTCCGAGCAGCTTCCGCCCTTCTCAAGATACTTTTGGTGGGCCTCCTCTGCGTCCCAGAACTGCTTGGCCTCCTCGATTTCCGTGACAATGGGCTTGTCCAGCGTCTTCTGGTGCTCCTCCTTGGACGCCAACGCGGCCTTGTGCTGCTCCTCGTTCTGGTAGTAGATGCCCGAGCGGTACTGCGTCCCGACGTCGTCCTCCTGGCGGTTGAGCGATGTGGGGTCGTGGGTGGTCCAGAAGACCTTGAGCAGGTCGTCGTAGGAGACCTGCGTCTCGTCGAACGCGATCTTGATGGACTCGGCGTGGTTCGTGCGGCCCGTGACGACGGTGCGGTACGTCGGGTGATCCGTTTTGCCCTGCGAGTAGCCCACCGAGGTCTCGACCACGCCCGGCACGCGGTCGAAGGCGCGCTGCACGGCCCAGAAGCAGCCGGCGGCGAAGGTGGCGACGCTGTACTTGGCGGTGTCGGCGGTCATATTCACGAGGCGAAAGGAGAGGAGAATGCCGGAGTGAGCCCCGAGGTGGCATCGGCGTTGAGTGTGTGTCAGCAAACACCTTGGCCACCCAATGAGAGCAATGCAGACAGCCGGGTCAGGCTTCTCCAGAAGATTTGTGATGTGATTGGTGCTTGAAGGCGTCAGCTACTCAAGAGGCGAAGCGAAGTCTTCTCCGATGAAGGCGCGCTCTTGAACGAGGTTGCTGTTGACTTTTGCGTTGAGTGTTGGGCCAAGAGTCGCCGGGTCAAATGGACGTGCTCAGGGGGAGAGCTGCGCGACTACCGAGTCCATACTTGAAGTTGCCTTGACCTGGTATCAGATACCGTGAATGTGATTCGCGTGACGCGCAGCGCGCTGGAGCCATCTGCGCCGTGTTCGGGGCCCATGCGTCGCTGAATGCAATGCGTCCTCGCTTCACCGGCACCTTGCGCTCCTTTGGAGAAGCGCCCCATGCTTCCGCCGATTGGGATCAAGCGTGCATTCAAGCGCTCACTTTGCAATTTGCTCTTGGCCTCTCTAGCGTCTCTTCACTCTCGATCAATCTTCTTCCCAATATGACGGTGCAAACCATCCAAGTGACACCGATCCAAGCAGCCGAGGGCTCCGCCGTCGACTTTGGAGCTGCCATAACATAACCAACGCCGACCTCGAGAACCTCAGCGACAACGACTTCGAGGTCATCCGCAACGCGCTCTACAACTCGCACGTCATCGTCCTCAAGAACCAGCAGGGCGTCTCAGCCCGCGCGCAGTACGAGCTGACCAAGCGCTTCGACCCGGCCTCGTCGACCTACGGCCACGGCAAGACGCTGGACGTCAAGCGGTCAATGCTGCACCCAGATCTGAAGACCGTCCCGCACCAGCCTCAGGTCCAAATCATCGGCCACGGACACTACGACGAGTACGAGGGACTCAAGGACTTCACGCTCAAGCACCCGCACCACAAGGTGTTCCACAAGACGGCGATCCCCGACGAAGACGACCTCAACTTCACGCGGTTCTACCGCTGCCACATCGATGCGGCGCTCTACGCGCTGAGCCCGCCCAAGGTGACCACGCTCCTGGCCGTGAAGGTGCCGGCCGGTCGCCGCCAAACTCTCCGGTATGACGACGGCACGGGCGACGAGCTGGACGTCCCACTGGGCACCACCGCGTTTGTATCGGGCCAGAACATGTACGAGCTTCTGTCGGACAAGGACAAGGAGTTTGTGCGAGCTGCCAAGGTCGAGTACGCGCCGCACCCGTACGTCTGGATGTCGAAGGCGTCATGGGACCGAATGGCAAGCTGCACGAGTGAGCAGCGAGAACTGTTTTAATGTGTAAGTAAGAGGTGTTCAATTCGTAAGTTAATCGTATCTCCAACACCGGAATGATGTAAGCAGGCTCAAGACAAAGAAGGATCGTGATCTTGATACGTTTTCCGCCCGAAGGTTCACCAGTAGGTATAGTGTGAATGGAAAAGAGCAATACAGAACGGGATGTGCTGCCATCGGCGAGACCACTTTTGCCGCCATCCTTACAGCTTCCTTTTCTTCTTCGCACGGGGCTCGACAATCTTGTCCACAACCTTCTCGATGGTGTTGGCCAAAGGCCCGCTTGTCTTGTCCCGGCTGTCGAATCCAAAGAAGGCGGATCGCTGCTTGGACGAAGCCAAATCCAGCAGCACAATGTCTTGAACCTGCTCGTAGTCAGCCAGAAGCTTCATCTTGTCGTTCTCGAGCAAGTGCTTCACCTCCTCCGAGCATTCCAGCGCATATACAACAAGCACATTGGTCATGACACCAACGGCCTCCCTCGTACCCTCATCCATATTCTTGAACATCACGTTGAAGTGCTGGCACTGCGCCTTTAATTCGTTGATGTTGACTGCATTCGACGTAAAGTTCATGACCAACCCCACTGTGAGCGTACGGCAAGGCGGTGGTTGCCACTCGCTGTCTTCCGATACCTGGGCTGGGTCTCTTGACGAACCAGCTATGTCTCTTTGCCGTGTCATCAAAATCGCATTTGTCGCCGGCGACTCTGGGGGCTCGTCGGGCCACAACGGGTGAGCCTTCAAGCAAAGCGAGTCATCGTCGTTGTCGACAGCCGGCCGCACGCCACCAACCTCCTGCATAAGTAGCGACCAGCTCTCCGCTTTTGCTGTCTTCAGATCAATCATTTGGTCAAGACATAGATATCGGAGCTTTCTACCGGGCCGGATCTGGGGCACCGCTATGATGTTGTCGGAGAAGTGCACGGATGGATACTCCCCAAAGACGGTGTTCTCCTTGAAAAATGCAGGCAGCTTCTCCTTGGGCAAACCAGGCTCCGTAAACAGGTCGATCCAGCGCTTGAGGCACAGCCACTGAAATACTTCCGAGAAATCGAGCGGTAGGTACCCGAACACGTCGGCGATATATCGCGCGTGGTCACGCAGGGGATACAGCAGATTGACCATCTCTCGTTTCACTACAGGTGAAGCGTAGATTGTTGCCTTCTCCAGTTGGCCTTCCCACCGAAGTCGACAGGGATACAAGAGTTGTTCTCCCAGGACTGGTCCATCTCCGGAATCCTCGATCTTTGCCGTTAGATCAACCAACGTGCGTCCAATCAGCCACTCCCGAAGTAGTGGCCCATGTTTGAGCACTAGCGCCTGGATGCGGTGCCAAACGGTATAGTCCATGTAAGGAAGCCTGGACGCCTTCACTGCTTCGTACGTTCTGCATTCACGCAGAAGATCAAAAACTACCGGATGGCTGCCCGAGGATTTCCAGAACAGAAATTGAGCTGCTTCCGCGATCTCTTCCTCTGTTGTCAATTTCCACTCGTCGCTCACCGTTTTGCGACTGCGTCTTCGCACTTGGATCTTGCACAAGATATTCTCGATATCTTCCGGACGAAGTAAGTAAAAATTCAGCCGTTTGAACAAATAGGAATGTGTGCCTCGTGTTGATGAGCTCCGTTTGTTTACGTCCCGCAAGAATCCAGGATAACTTAAAACCAAGAGGTACACCTGCGGAATCTCCATCCACACACGCAGAACGTCATCGCAGAACTTGAAGAATAAGTCAAACGCCTTTGGAGCCCCCCGATCTAGCGTTAACCAGTCAGCAACGTTGTCAACAACGATAAACAGAGGCCCCAATTTCTCCACCAACATTCTTGTGAACGCACTCAGACCCATTGACACAGCCGCTGTGATATCGAGTGTGGTGTCAGGCTCAAGCTTTCTGTTGACGGCTTCCACTAGCGACGTGATGGCAAGGTCAACGCGCACCTCGTCTCCGAGTAACTCGGGCGATGGAGGGTAGAGGAAGACTGTGTGGCAGGAACACAATTCTCGTTGAAACTCATCACGAGCAGACTCCTCCGACCACAGCTCACGGCACCATCGAATGTACTTCCACGCTAATAGAGCGTTGTCCAGCTCTGCCAAGTTGTCAGCAATTGGAATCTCGTACGGCGAGGATTGGCTGGAGCTGCGATGGCTTTGGAAGTTGGTGCGGTGAATAGCCCGCAGTTCTTTGACGGATCCACTTTCATCACGCAATGCATCTGGCCGTCCAAAAGAGTGTACTGAGGTAAGGGGGCTTCATCTTTCCAGGTCGGCTCCACGCCAAGGCGGCCAGGCTTCTGAACCAGGACTTGGTACTCGTCATCATGCAGTTGATCGGCTCTTGGAAGCCTGTACTCAGACAGCTCTTTCCACACACGTATCGTGTTGGTCGCGTTCATCAGCCGGAAGACCTCGTAGGGCACAAAACCCTCCTCCATCTGGCGCAGGCACTCCTTCGTGACAGTAAACCACGACGTCCACATTTCTTGCAACGAAGAGCTTCAAGTTGACAGCAGGACAGTCCAACCTCGCTTTCTCTGCCAGCGCGAGCTTGAGTTCTTGCCCGTCGCTACCTTCGTTGATGGTCACGTTGACGATAGCTCCATCATTTACCATGAAGCACTTGAGCTGAATGTCTGAGCCACAGTCACGAGAGCCATCACCACCACCACCACCTTGCTGACTGGAAGCGAATCGAAGAATGATCGTAAGGGACCCCCCCCTGATTGACGTTTTCAAGCCCCCAGCAATGCTACCTGCCCCCCCCCCCCTGCAACACCGGAATGATATGGATCAGGTGCCTGTGTAAGCGGCGTAGTTGGTATTTTATGAGTTAACTTTCGGGGGTATGTACGGACTACTCAGAGCCCTGGGAGCCGCTTCACAACGGAGTAGATATGGTAGGCTAAATCAAACATGCAGACATCGTCAGCCTGCTACGGCATCGGGGGCGATGCAGTCGGCAGCAGCTTGACATTCTGTCCGATGAAAGTCAGCGAGAACACTGGGCACAGTCGTTTGGCCTGGATGCCGCCGTACGCGACGCCTAGATTACTCCCGTTCACGTAGAAGCTCAATCGCCCGTACTCCATGTCCAGCAGCACGCCCACCACGTCTCCATCTTTGCACGGATCTGCGTAGTACTCGATGCTGTCGTGGAACTTGTGTCCCGTGGCACAGGACATGCCCCAGAACACACCGCGGCTCAGCACACTCGTATTCAGCGCCAAATCCGCGGCTGCAACGCCGACAAACACGCCGTCTCCTCCTCGTGCGCTCTCCAACTTCACCTCCCAATACTTGATGCCGCACGCGACCTCGCAGTTGCCCAGTACGGAGCCACACCCCTTGGCCACCTGCACCGCGCGCGTGTTGTTCTCCTGCAGGAGCATGTAGAACGAGCACTTCTTCTTGTCGAACTGCACCATGGGCGTCTGCAGCACCAGCACGGGGTGTTCCGGGCCCGCCCCAATAGTGGACTCGCCCAGCTGGAGCTGTGGCCGGATCTCGTGCTTGCTCACCGAGTCCGTCTGCACGAGCGCCACGGCGATGTCGGGCCCCAGCTCGAGGTGGCGGCGCACGGCGTCCACCATCTCCTGGCCCGTGCTGGTGAGCGCGAAGGGCAGCGAGAACTTGACGTGCTGCGTCTTGGACAGCGCGTAGAACGTGAAGACCGGCACGGCCGCCACCAGGTCCGCGTGCACGTAGGCGTGTCCCCACGGGAACTCGACGTGCGCGAAGCCGCGCCGCGCCCCGGCGCTCGCTCCTTCGGGGGACGCGGCGCTCTGCGGCTGCTCGTCGTCGTCGTGCAACGACCCGTAGCCGAAAGGCGTCGCCACGCGCGGCAGCGGCGGGGACCCCGGAGCTCGAGACGCCATCATTGTGTTCTTGTCCTTGAAGCAGTTAGCTGTGATACTGAAGTGGCGCTTGTCGATGTCCCTCTGCGCCACCGGTCGCACTTAGTCGGAGGCATAATTAAAAGCAGATGGCGCAAAGACACGAAGCGACACCCTGCCACAACACATTGGGTACCACCTGTGCCAGTTACCGTTTCGCAATGTTTAAGTGTCACTGCACCTGTTATCTTGTGTCACCCTAACACACGTCATTTCCTAGCGTACAGACTTCCCCAGTTGAAGTGGTAACCCTGCTGGTTGAAGTCGCCGTCGGCATACAAACTGCAAGTCATCTACTTCGCGGAGCTTTCTCCGACAATCACTCTGCACCAATCTGATAAATCCGACCCAGCGCGCATCTAATGGGCGCCGCGTGCTGCCGCTGCCAGCACCTGGACGACCCGCTGCTGTCGCTGCCCCGCGTCTCCGCCGCCGCCATGAGCGCCAACATGAACCAGTTCTACGTGCCGCCCCCCGCGCCCGCGCCCTCCTCGTCGTCGTCGTCCTCGCTCGCCTCCTCCTCCTCCTCGTCCTCCTCCGGCTCCGCGTCCGCGTCCTCCGTGAGCCAGTCGCTGGCCAACTACGTGTCCTTCCCCTTCCCGTTCGTCTCCAAGCCCAAGGCCGGCGCCTCGCAGGCCAAGCGCAGCAAGAACAAGGCGGCCAAGAAGCCGCACGCAGCGCCCAGCGACGCGCCGGTCAGAGCCGCCGCGGCCGCGCCCTACGTGGGGGAACACTGGCGCAAGACGGGGAGGGGTAGATTCGCCCCGCTCACTCTACTGGAGCTGGGGGTGCGAAGTCTGTGTGCCCAACTTCTGGTACACCAGCAGAGCGCTCTACAGCACGGCACGCTGCCGCCAGAACTCGCCGCCAGCGTGCTGCAGTGGCTCAAGAGGCACTACGTGCTGGACAAGCCGCAGTTCCAGGCGCTGGCGCCGTTCCTATTGCTGGAGTGGAGCCTGGCGGACCTGCAGGGCGTGGAGGACTCGTGGTTCGATGGGGTGCCTCAGACGACGCTGCAGCAGCTGAAGAGCATCGACGTGTCGGGATGTATCCATCTGCACCAGTTGGGGGCTGAGTGGGGGTACGCTACGACGAAGCTGCCGGAGTTGCTGGCTGCTTCGTTCCAAGGATGCACTGGGCTGACAAAAGAATCAATCGAGATGTTGAGGTTCTCGACGAAGCTGGCGGCGCTCAACTTGTCCGGGTGTGTGAATGTGGATGACAAGAGTCTGAAGGCGCTGAGCGAGCTGGAACAATTGACATCGCTGCAACTGGTATATGTGTGTTGCCTGCAATTTTACTTCGTTGTTGGTGCTGAAGGTGGTGTTGTGCCCAGGTTGGCTGCCGAAAGTTGACAGATAAGGGAGTCAAGTACCTGGCCAAGATGGCAAAACTAGAAAAACTGCGTATTGCACGCTGTAGAAAATTGACCGATGCGGCGCTCGAAGATTTTGCGATGATGTTCCCGAAATTGCGAGAGCTGGACGTCGCAAACTGCCGTTTGAGGTAAGAAGAGTTGTCAAGCTATGTATTGTATGCTGCGGCAGTATGTTGACGCTAGCGTCGGTGAATTGTGGAACAGTGAAAAGGCACTGCAGTACATCGGCCAGATTAAGAGTTTGGAAGTGTTGGTGATCCGTGGGTGCCAAGATATTTGTGACGATGGAATGTCGTCACTTTCAGGTTTGGCAAACTTGAAGTACTTTGACGCGCGACACTGCAGCAAGATCCATTCCATCCCGACAGAATGGACCCAGCTCGAGGTTTTACTGCTCGGATACACCGCCTTTGCCGAGTCCGATGCAGCTGTTTTGCAGTATCTTACCAATTTACACGAGTTGGAGCTTCGCAAGTGCCGAATTATGAAAAGGTAAAAAGATATGGATCCCGGCAAGATTTTGATTACAAGGACCGAGTTGCTCACTGATTAAGGTGTGTGTTGTGACATTCAACTTTGTTGATTTACAGAGGATTTCAGTTTATCAGCCGACTGACACACTTAGAACGCCTGGAACTTGGTGAAACTGCACTTACAGACTCTGGGCTGCTGGAAATTTGCAATAGTGCTAAAAGCTTGAAGGCGCTCAACATTTCCAACACCGAAATCAGTGACAACGGAGCGGCTGGGTTGGCAAAACTGAAGGAGTTGCGCATTCTTCGTCTAGATACACCGGGGATCACAAATAGAGCGCTGGCGAACCTGTCGTTTCTGGCACGACTTGAGCGATTGGATTTGTTCGGCGCAAAGTAAGTGACGTGATATCAGGGAATTCATGATGTCGTCTAACTTTTAGTGATTCTTGCCGAGAAACAGTATCACCGACAACGGGCTTATGCACCTCGTGCCGTTGCATAAACTCCAAGAGCTGTCGATTTGTGGAGGCAACATTGGCGACCGTGGTGTTGGGCTGATTTCAAAGTTGACGTCCTTGACGTCATTAAACCTGAGTCAAAATAGGTAAGCGCCACGCCTTGGGATTTGGTGTTGTCGGTGGCATCGAACGATTATCTAATGGATTTATGGCAACAGAAATATCCGGACCAAGTCGTTGTTTTACCTTCGGGCACTGACTGGACTACGGTGCTTGAATTTGTCTAACACGGGCATCTCTGCGCTATCACTCCGCCATTTGTCTTGTACGTGTGCTCAGTGCAGGAACCATTGAGCGATACGTTGCGGCTGACTCTGTATGTGCCTTTCTGACTGGAAAACTAATGCTGTATAGCATTAAAGGAGTTGCAATCCCTGTCCGTGTATGGGTGCTCGCTGTCGCAAGGCCATATCGACGTTTTGAGAGGTACGACATTTCTTTTTGGTGCTCTCAGTGTGTGTCACTAACTACAGCTTAACCTGTATCCAATTCACCTATGCAGAGATCTTACCCGAACTCAAGTGCCTGCGGTGCACATGATGAGCATGGCTGTTGTGAAGACGGAGGACGCTTTTGGTATTAGTGAAAGATACGTGTATGTGTGGACGCGTACAATACATCTAAAACTATGACCACCTAGCGTGGCAAGGAATATTGCTGCGGGAGTTTCGAGTTTTATTATAGGCGCCAGTGAAGCGGCGCATGTGCAGAACGAGCACTTTACCCTCCTGCTAGTGGAGATTGATGAAGCACGGCTGCTGGTAGCTGACACTAGCGAGGCGAAGCAGCGGACGCGTGACACCTGCAACCATGCAAGCTCGCCAAGAGAGTGCGCTTCGGCGCATGGAGCAAGATTATGACAGCCGAATGGAGGAGCAGGTAGAAGACCTGCGCGACAAAATGCGGCTACTGCGTACGTGTCGCGTTCTAGTTTGCGTGTAGCTTGCTTTGGACCAACATGCTGTGCTGTGTGTAGAGGTGGACAGGAAAAGCAACATCGATCTCCTCGAATCAAGCAAACAGACCAACAAGGACTACATCCGGCAGCTCAAGAATGAAAACCGAGACCTTCGCAAAGCCCTGGCGGACCTCAAGCGATCAACCTCATCAGCAGGTGGGCCACCAGGACTCGGTCCGTCAACTGCTGTGGGAGGAGGTGGTTTGGCTGATGAAGCGGAAGAGATTGCAACGGCGATGCAGCATCTAAACAAGGTTCGAAAACAGCATGACGACTTGCGGCATCGCGTGCAGTCCCAGTCAACACTACTGGAGGAGCTGAAAGATGTGGTGAAAGATCTCGAGCTTGAATCCAAGAAGCCTAGCTTGGAGGACACGCCGGAGACGCGCAAGATCCGAATGCTGGAGAATCGACTGGACAAGGCTATGATCAAATTCAACGAGGCGCAAAGTATCCGGAAAACGTATGAACAGATAGTGAAGCGTCTCAAGGATGAACGCATTGGCTTCGATAATCAACTGGCGGCTATCGAGCGAGCACTCGCTACCAAGCAACACGATTATGAAGAACTGGTGTTGCTCTCGGCAGACGCGTCTCACGCACGAGAAACGATTTTAATGGAGTTGGAGAAGGCCCGCAGTCAACATGAAGATGAGAAGCGCCATCGCGAGAAGGAACTCCGGGAAAAGCAGCAGTACGTGAAGATTCGTCTCGAAATGACAAATAGGTTAGACAAGCGGGAGAAGCACAAGGGCGCCGTAGTAGCGCGTGAATCGGGAGACTTGAGCTTCGAAGGCGAAAGTCAGTTGAAGGCGTCTCTGATGGCCACCATGATGCAGCAGGGTGTTGCCGGTGAGGAGAAGAAGGAGCACCGCAGTAAGATCGACATTTTCGAGAGCGCGTTCCGCAAGATCAAGGAGGCGACAGGCGTGAGCGACGTGAACGAGGTTATCCAGAAGATCACCAGCCAGGAGAGCACAACGGACAACTTGCTGAACCTGTCGAAGGAGAACCAGACACGTCTCGAGCGTCTGCAAGCAGAACACGCCGTGTTGAAGGCGCGTGTCGAGGAGCTCAAGTACAGCGGCTCGGGTGGCGGTCACCGCAGGAAGCTTGTGGATGATCACGAACAGAATTTGGTGTTGGCCAGCACAAAGCTGGAACGAGCCAAACTCAAATACGAGCGGTTGGCCAAGGTACTTATCGGTGTCAAGGCTGGCGTCGAGCACCTTGTGGACAAGATGGAGAGCGTGCGCGAAGACGACCAGGTTATCGTCGTGACAGATGAAACCATTGTGGAGGCGTTGCAGGAGAGCGAGATCACTCTGACTCATTTGTTGAGCCAGATCAAGCTCATCGGAGCTGCTGCGCACTCGTCGACCCCGAGCTTGATAGACTCGTCGGCAATGGGGCAGCAGAAGAAGGTGATCGCAAAGCGGCCGTCACTGAAGAACGTGACTGGCGGCAACCTGATACCGGAAGGGCTTGGCTTGGATGCCGACATCCTCGTCGCTCGACCATACAACCAGCGAATCGCGTTGCCGGGCACCGATGGTCTCACTGCAGAGGAGCTGGAGATGGACGATACGGGAGGCGCTGGCACCAATGGCACCATGCTTCTCGACGACACAGAGGAGGCTTTGAGCCGCGACCGGGTGAAGCGAGCATCGACCCAGGTCATCATGGCGCAGGACAAGAAGAAGAAGCGCGTGCTCAAGAAGAAGTTCAAAGAGAGTGGCAACGACTCCTCCGACGAGGAAGGCGGCCCCATTGGCTCCAGCGCCAACGTCCTGGGGTCAGGAGCCAACCAAGCGGATGGATCCTCGCGCGGTCCTCTCACACAGCGAACACTATCCCCCAAGAAGAAATAAATCGTGATATGTCTTGGTTCCGAGTGCTCTCATTGAGTCTCTTTTTTCCTACCTAGCGCCCCTCATACTTCTCCTCCTACACACACAAAACTCTCCAAAGCTTAGAAGCTGAAGTGCTGGTCGGGGGTGAAGCCCAGCTCCTCGAGCGCCGGCAGCACGGCAAACTTGAGCATGGGCGGGGGGCCGCACATGAAGATCTGCACGTCCGGAGCAGCCGCCGGCAGGTGCTTCTTGATCATCTCGGCGGACACGAAGCCCGTCGAGTACTTCCAGCCGTCCTCGGCGCGGTCCACCGTGTACCAAAACTTGACGTTGGGGTGGTTGGCGGCCATGGCTTCGATCTCGTCGCGGCACAGGATGTCGGCCTCCGTCTGGTTGGCGAAGAGCAGGTAGAACTCCGTCTTGTCCTCGGGGTCCTGCAGCGCGCGCCGCACCACCTGCAGCATGGGGGTGATGCCCGTGCCGCCGGCGATCATGCCGATCTTCGTGGCCTTGCGGACCTCGGGCACCACGTCGCGCACGCGGTGCTTGATGTGGATCTCGCCCTTGCCCATGTACGAGAGCTTGCCCTTGGGGCCCGAGACCTCGATGGTGTCTCCGATGGCCAGACTCTCCAGGTACTGACTCATCTTGCCGCCGTCCGGGAACTTGGGGTGCACGTTCTTGAAGTAGACCTTGACCACGAGGTCCACGTAGCCCTTGGTGTCGTCCGAGCTCACGGGCGTGTACGAGCGCATGACCAGCTTGTCGTTCTCGTCCGTGTAGCGCAGCGAGATGTGCTGCCCCACGGGGAGGCCCAGCACGTGCTGCGGGGACGGCAGCGCGAAGCGGAAGCGCCGCGTGTCGTGCGACAGTGTCTCCTTCTCCACCAGCGGCAGGTGCACGGTGGGCGGCGCGTCGCCCGGGCTGGCGGGCGCCTGCAGCGTCACGGGCGTCGCGTCGCGCGGCTTGAGGCTCGACAGCAGCAGGAAGATGGTCGTGCCCGCCACCAGCGCCACACCCAGCAGCACGCGGAAGTCGCCGTCCACCAGAGCCAGCAGCGAGTCCATCTTCACAAACTTCACTGATCCAAACTGAAGCAAGATTCCGAATGTGGGGCGGCAGCTGATGGCGTCACAGCAAAGTCAAGCTCGTGACATCAAAGCACCAAAAAAATGGCACTATCTCGGGGTACGCAACTACTGAATAGAATATTGAATTCGATTTCGCAGGCACATGTTTCCTGGCCGCAGGAAGCTCACTTTACCAATTGAGCAGAGACTACGGTACTTCGTCGGTCATGAGCGTACGGGTGCAGGTGCTTGGAGGCTACCGTCGGCTGCTGCGCGCGAGTCGCCAGGCGTTCCGCGGCGACGCGTACGCGCTGCAGCAAGCGCGCGTGGCGCTGCGCGAGAACTTCCAGGCAAACAGCCAGGTGAGCGACCGCGAGCATCTGGAGGAGCTGGTCAAGGGCATCGACGAGGCCGAGGGCATGCTGCTGCACCACATCGTGCAGGGCCGCGCCAAGCAAGAGGAGGGCGAGGCCGCGCCGCGCTTCGAGGTGAAGCTCACCGACCCGCAGCGCCAGGCCATGCGCAAGGACGAGGAGATCACGCCGCTCACGGAGAAATCGGCCAGCGAGCCGCTCGTCATGAACTCGGGCAACGTCTGCCAGCGCCCATCGTAAGGAGGCGGGCGGCAGACAGTCGATAAAGACAACAGTGAATATATGCAGCGCGTTCGGCTTGATGGGGTCAGTGGGAGTGTACGAAGATGTAGTGAAGTCTGGTGGCAGGTTGTGGATTCAAGCGTCGGCGTTTTGCACTTCAGACGGAACACGAGTGCACATTCAATACGAGGATTGTATTTTGAAGTCTTACACACGCTTCACCGCCACGTCAGCCTCAGCTTCTGCGGTCTTCAACGCTTCCTTCTTCCTCCAAACTGACGCGGGACGATCACTCAAGACACTCATCCATCCACTTACATATAAATCATCTATTCGCGAGTAAATATCGGGAGGTTGGCTGTCGTCCCCTTCAGCTTGCGTCGCACAGGCGGAGTCCTTCCATCCGTCTTTCGTTTGTCTGTATAAATCCTTGGGCCTTGGGTCGCCATGCTCGCCATGCTCGCCACTTTAAGGTAGTATCTCAACTCTGGGTCGTTACTCGGCCTTGATGGCCGTGCCGCGGCTGACCTTCCAGGCGTCGTACAGGTACTTGCCGTTGAGCATGTCCACGAGCGTGCGGAACGTCGACTGCGTCTGCTGCTTCTTGCCCTTGCCGCCGCTCTTCTCGTCCTCGCCGTCCTCTGTGAGCGCCGAGACCTCCTGGTCCGTCATGGCCTGCGACAGCCCGATCATGGCCACGAGCAGCGACAGCAGCAGCAGGATGTAGCGCAGTGGGCACATTAGTTGGTCTCTCTTGGTGTCTTGTGAGGGGTGGACTGCGGACTGGAAGGTGAATTGCGAACTGGAGCAGCAGACACGGACGTAAACTGCTGTAGAAGTCGGTCCGATGTCCCACCCGCACGGCGTAGAGGAAGCTGGGTGTCTAACACCTGGCTCGACGGAAATAGACGTACCTCCTAGAATTGATCCCCGTTAGATTCGGTTTGACGGATTAGGAAGACACACTCATTCTTTATGTACGCATATTGCACGAATCAATTCCCGGCTTGTAGATATATGGCTACATCATACCGGATTGTACCCTGCACTGCCTGGACTGGGTCACGATCGGATGAAAATCCAGACGCGAAAGCAAAGATGGCAAGGAGGCACGCCCACGGCACGCGCAGGCTGGACTCGCCGGAGCATACCGAAACCAACCTGCTCGAATGCGTAACGCAGCGCCTGAACCTCTCGGTGGTCACTGCTGAACACGAGATCGAACTTAGTGGAGAGGTGACGGTAAAAAGGCGTGGATTGCGGACTTGCATGGAACTAAAGCTGTCCGCAGGGTGCTTCGAATAGCGTATTGACCTGGCAGTTGCGACCCAAGCCATGCAATTGCCACGCGTTGGTCACACACCGGTAAAAGTCCGCGCTTGAGGAGAAGATCACACAAAGGATGTGCGCGCGCTTGAGGCGCGGCGCTGCTTGCGTAACACGTTGTCCGAAGCAACAACGAGTTTACGAATCACGATCTGCCGGCAGACTGCCGGACTCTGTGACAGAGTCTGTGAGCGAAGTGCTCCGTTGTCATGGCCTTCATTCGTCTACACTAATACATGTACCTGCATTATCTGCTGCCGTTAATTTACTCTGCTGCACAATGCTGTGCCCCTTCTAACCAGCTTTGATTAGTCCTCACCATTCAGCTCAAACGTTGGTTCTGTACGTGCTGCTTCAAATGGAGCAGCGCCTGAATCAACTTGCTCACGGAAGCGGTCGGGTACAATACTTGATACTCTGTGTGTCGCACACCAATCCGTACTTAGCATCACCGTGACCACCTAAAGCCACTTCGCCAATCAATCAATCCAATGGCCGGGAAGACTGCAGCGTCCAAGCCGCCGGTGTCGGCGCCTCCCGCCAAGAAGCGCAAGGCGGCGGCCGAGTCGGTGCCGCTGCTGGTCCAGCAGGACGTGTCCGCCGACGATGTGATCGACGCGCACGAGCTCGTGGCGCAGACGGACGTGCACAGCGCCACCAAGGCGCGGATGCTGCTCACGTGGCTGCTGTACCCCGTGACGCCCGAGGAGTTCTACGACAAGTACTGGGAGCAGCGGCCGCTGGCCATCAAGCGCAACTTCCGCAGCTACTACGACGGCTGGTTCAGCAAGGCCGAGGTGGACCGCATCCTCAAGACGCACACGCTCGAGTACGGCGCCGACCTGGACCTGACCAAGTACGTGGACAGCACGCGCCACACGCTCAACCCGTCGGGCTCCGCTACAGCCAAGGAGGTGTGGAAGCACTTCGACGACGGCTGCTCCGTGCGGCTTCTGTGTCCGCAGAAGTTCTCGGACGACGTGTGGAAGCTGCTGGCCACGCTGGAGGACGAGTGGGGCTGCATGGCCGGCGCCAATACCTACTTGACGCCCAAGAACACGCAGGGCTTCGCGCCGCACTTCGATGATATTGAGGCCTTCCTGCTGCAGACCGAGGGGTGCAAGCACTGGAAGGTGTATAAGCCCCTGAATGACAGCGACATGCTGGCGAGGTATCCGAGTGGCAACTACAAACCCGAAGATCTGGGCAAACCCATGATCGAGGTGGATCTGGAGGAGGGCGACTTGCTGTACTTCCCTCGCGGCTTTATTCACCAGGCGCGCGCACACAAGGAGAAGCACTCGCTGCACTTGACGGTCTCGACTGGCCAGCAGAACACGATGGGAAACTTCCTCGAGGTGCTGCTCCCGCAGGCGCTGGGAGGCGCTATCAACACGAACGTTGAGCTGCGACGCTCGCTGCCCCGCGACTACTTGGACTACATGGGCGTCATGCACTCCGACCGCGAAGGCGATCCGGAGCGACAGGCGTTCGCGAACAAGCTCAAGGGTGCGCTCAAGATCGTGCTTGGCGAGGCCATGGGCATGCTAGACGCTGCAGCGGACCAGATGGCCAAGAACTTCCTGGTAGACCGGCTGCCGCCACCGCTTGAGGATGAAGAGGAGAACTGCACGAGTGACAACAGCCCGCTGCAGAAGATTACGGTGAACACCCAGCTGAAGCTGATCCGTCACGGTGTTGCTCGACTTGTGATCGAGGACGGCAAGGCCGTGCTCTACCACTGCCGCGAGAACTCGCGGATGCACCATGAAGTGCCCATCTCGCCGCTCGAGTTCGAGCTGGACGATGCAGAGAGCATCGAGTTTATCCTGAGCAGCTACCCGGACTACTTCCGCGTGGGCGACATGCCCCACGAGGACCCGCAAGACCAGACGGAGCTCGCGAAGGCTCTGTACAAGGAAGGCATCCTGATGTTCCAAAAGTCTTAAGCGAAAAGCTTGTGCGATTGCATGAGCTGTAGCAAAGTAAATCTTTAGTCTATTTCACCTTTGATCTTCTTGTAGCGCAGTTAGACAGTAGTAGTATTTGGTGAGCAGCATAAGACTCAGCTGCTGTCGATAGCAGCTGAGTCATTCACTGATTGCGACTTGGATATCGATGAACAAAGACTTTAGCACAACCCACTTCAACATGCACGAGAACTTCGTAACTCCTGCGGGAAAGGAATGTAGCCAATTCAAAGCGGGAACTCGAGAAAAAGATAAAAACAAATCCATTATTCATTCAAGAGGAGAACCTCAACAGTCTCCGTCCTCCACGTTCAACCATAGCAGCGGATGGGGATGTCGCACCCCTTGTCGGCGCACTGCCCTCCCTTCTCGAGGTACTTCTGGTGGTAGTCCTCGGCGTCCCAGAAGCGCTTGGCCTCCATGATCTCCGTGACAATGGGCTTGGTCAGCGTCTTCTGGTGCTCCCCCTTGGAGGCCAGCGCGGCCTTGCGCTGCTCCTCGCTGTGGTAGTAGATGCCCGAGCGGTACTGCGTGCCCTTGTCGTTCTTCTGGCGGTTGAGCGTCGTGGGGTCGTGGATGGCCCAGAACGTCTGGAGCAGGGCGTCGTAGCTCACTTGGCTCTCATCGAACACGATCTTGATGGCCTCCGCGTGGTTGGTGCGGCCCGAGCACACCTGGCGGTACGTGGGCGAGTCCACGGCGCCCTGCGTGTAGCCCACGGCGGTCTCCAGCACGCCCGGCACGCGGTCGAAGGCGAGCTGCACGCCCCAGAAGCAGCCGGCGGCGAAGGTGGCCACGCTCCGCTTCGAGTCAATTTTGGTGTCGAGCTGGTTGTCGGCCATGGCGAAGACTCGGGACGAGTGCAGGAAGCGGCGCGCGAGACTTGGGCGGCTGAAGCGGAAGTGAGGGGCGACGCAGCGGATGAACATCTTTCGGTGTGGGACGAGATGGCGGAAAGAAAGCTATGCCAGGAGGATATCAGCCAATCAGAAGAGAGGAAAGTAGTTCTAGAACCTGGAAACAGACAAGTTGAAGTGGGTTCATGGTTTCCTAATTTTCACAACGGAATTCATAGCGAGTCACCATCTTGCATCTGCAATTCTATGATTCTATGACGTGCTTGGGTACATCGTGTGGAACTCCTGCTCATAGTGCTTCACAAGCCTCACCTCTGCCTTGTCAGCATACTTCGTGTTCAGCATTTGGAATACGAAGTCCGGGTCTTTCTTGGCGCGGAACCATCCATCGAGCTGGGCTATTTGCAATTGCTTGAGATTTTCTTCGGAGGCACGACTTTGTATAACATTGTATAGATAATAGTCTCTATTTGGTTTTAAAACTTTATCGATGGTATAATGTGATGAATGATTGATAAGCTTAAGGTTTTACAGCTCACACCGCCCACTTGACGAAGCCAACACGGGGCCACCACTTGTAGGTGGGCGCAGTTTCCTTCGACTACTCGTCGTGGGATTGCTTTCATTAGCTGCATCCATAAAGTTGTTTCTGCAGGCAGCACGCAAGAAATATGTGGCATGCTCCAAACTCATTTTTTTTTCGCTGGCTATAGCGGCTAATATCAAACACCAACCGATAATGATACACATCGATAACGTAAGTGATCCAGATACGCGTAGCTTACAATCGTATCATTCCAATACGAGTAGTAAGAATTTATTTAGTGAAAAAAGAGAGAAAATGTGGTAAGTAGACTGTCGTCGTGTCGTCGCAACTACTATTAACAGGTACACGATCACTTGACAATTAAAGCAATCGTGGCGATGGATCCGACCATGAGCAACAACAGAACAATGAAGAAAAGAGGGCCTGCAAAGGGACCTTCATGCTTCAAACCAATGCTGCGCGTTCGGCCAGAAGTAAGGTACGATCCGAGTTTGTTGAAGCTTTTCTGCAGAGGACCCTTCCGCAAGGCATTTAGAACGGTGAGCGAGCACGTGAGCAGTAACAAGCCGATAAGACAGATCGTGCTGTTCCTACACGACAAGTGCGGACGCACGCAAGTAAGCGGCACTGCTACATGGTTGTATACGAAGAGCTCCGGCAGAGGAACTTGAGCTCGTGCATGAGAGCAACTTAGCCACAAGCAAGGACTGCAGATGGCTACGGTCATTGAAGTAGACTAGAGTTCAAGGCCAGATCTACAAGGGTTGTCTAGCTAGCACTTTAGCGACCGATAAACTAGCTCAGTTGTCAATCTACCACCAACATCACAAGTAGCCAATATCCAACGCGTGACAAGAACCTCTGGACTGTCCTGCAACTTCTCGATCTTGCGCATCATCTCCGGACTCTCCTTGAAACTCTTGAGACCCTCTTTGATTGTGGGACTCTTCGCCATCATCTGAAGCTCCTTGACGACCGCACCATTCTTCTCAATCGCGCCGACACTCGTTGTACTTTTCGAGAGAAGATTCTTCAGTTTGCCGAAGATGGCAACACCTCTCTTCGTCAGTGTCCGCAGCGTTAGCAGTCGCATCTTCCGTCTCAGTTGTGATCCCACCACTTCGGAGATGCCGATCCGCGCTGACAACGTTCGTGTGCTGCGGACTCGAGTCAATTTCCTGAGGGTTCAACGGCATTTTCGGCACGGACGAGGTCGATGTCACGTCCAGTACGGCGAGTAGCAGCAGTGCCAGGAAGAAGATCAGACGCATGGCGTGGCCGGATGGATGACGTTTTGCTTCCTGTATGAGTTCTTGCTGGAAAGTTGTGAAATGACTACAGTACCAACTTGAGATCCCAGCACGAGAGAGCTGCACTTGATAGCAGCAAGTTCGATTCCGCGGTAATGGTGTGAACGTATTACCACGCGATTATGATTTTTGTTCAGGGTAGATTTGTACCAAACGAATGGAGCAACACAAGGCTGAGAGCTGTTGGAGCTTCACAACTCATTATTTCTATACATGTATTGCCATTATGCATTAACGCGTCGATTTCTAATGCAGTATAAGTAATACAATCGGCGTTACAGACTTGAAGATTAGTTTAATAGTTTTCCTGAAATGCTGTGGTGCTGAGCCTTCCCTGCCTTCCGTGCTTATTTAATTATTAAAAAATGAAGCCGAGTTGCCGGTTTTCACGTGGTGCGTCTCATCTTTCTATTCAATGCGAGGTATCCAGACCCGCACCTCGCTAAGTAAAATAGACTTTGAGATGGTGAGGGCGGAGCAGTTTTGCTGTGATTCCTGCTCGTGAAAGCTTCAAGGCGAGAAGCCATAATGACATCGTAAATGTCTACGAATCCCTTTCGTAACTTAATTTGCTGATTATTTGCTTCCTGCGTGACGCAGACAGTGGGCATATCGAGTAAGCGACTCGGCCTATTGTTTATGATACTGTACTGCGAGCCCTTCGGGTCGCTACATGCAATGAACTTACAATTTACAGGGCCTCTCTGAGGACCCACGAGCAAGCACAGATCTGCCTATCTGGGGGGGGCAGAAAATCTTTGGATCGATCGGGGTTCAACTACACTGTTCTTCATCACTTGAAAACGTGTGCTACTAATGTTGTCTCTGACGCCCTCCTAGTGGACAATGTTACGCTTCGTATAAAAACCACTGCTGTGAATGGGTGGCCTTCGACGTCATTGGGTTGTCTACTTTATCAAAGTTTACATGGTTGACATTGGCATTGTATCCTACCCGATTGCCGACTTGTTCGAAGTGATGAATCCACTAAATTCGTTGCAATCACTTACCGTGCGGACCATGAGGAGAAAGAATGCAAGAGCCCGTGGTCACAGTCGCTTAATGGGAAATGAGAATTAAAAGTGAGCAGATTTAGTGCTGTGACAGCAATATCCTCAACACAAAACCCCTTTCGGTATCGAAAGGAAAAAGCATTCGTGACGTCCACCAAATATTTTTTCAATGCCGGATACTGTCGACTAGTTTCTTGAATCCTTTTGAGGTGGCGCGCCTGCCTGCCGATAGTACGCGATCGGACAGCTTTTCTTCTTGCCAGTCTTTCCAGATTCCGTACTGCATTACTTGTGCGTGGTTCTGAGCGGCTTCCAGCTTTTTGAGACGTTGCGCGAGCGTCGAGATACCAGTTTCTCTACAGAAAAGCACACACCACGCCGCAATTAGCCTCCAACTCTCATGTACTAGCAATTCAAACGACATGCCACGTACGATCCGTTGTCATAGTTCTCAAGGTTCTCCGGAATGCACTCGGCGTAACCATGTGACACCAACTCTTGAGCAAAGTCACCACCAAAAGGTGGCTACAACGATCAAATAACAAGCGTTAAAGTGAGCCAAACTTCCTCGCCACCACAATGGAAAGCCACTACGCACCCTCCCCATCGCAATGTTACACGTTGCCACACTCTCGCCCCCTTCCACATTGATCCTGTCGAATCAGCACCGCACCCCGTCACATCACTATACACAACACTCGAAGTTGTTTCCGACTAGCCCAAACTCACCTCTGCAGCAGTTGAATTGTCATGTACCGGTGCGAAGACACAAAGTTGGACCAGACCCACTCCTCGGAGCTCTCATCCACCTGCACTCCGAACGGTCTGATTGCCAGAAGCTCCTTCTCCTTCTTCTCGACATCACCACCGACCGTCAAGATCGGCGGCAACTCGTCTCGCAGCACTGTGCGGCGCACGAACGGCGTGTGGTACACGTAGAAGACGCTGGGGTCCTGGCGCGACTGGCGAATCATTCGCACGCGCAGCTTCTTGCGCCGCGCAAAGTGCCACAATGGAAGGTCGTCCACACTTCGAACCTTGTGCAGCACACCGCTGAGCTTCACGGAGGCGGCGATAGACGCGGCCACCGTCACGAGGAGCCCCACGCGGAAAAGTGTCAGGTTCGAGTCGATGGTCTGCTGCGTGTCAACCACGAGTCGACCCACTTGACGGCGCAGATCTCCGTCATTATCAATGGTGTCGCTCTGAGAACTTGGCGGCGGTTGTGCGTGGACATGCGCAGTAGTATCGGCCGGTTTACGCGGCGGTTCGTGGGCTGCAGCGAGCTCTGGGGCGGGCGGCGACGCCATGATGGACGCGCACTTGTTATCGCAGCTCTTTGCTTTGTGCGCCTCACGTCGAAATTGACGTGCTGTCAGTGTGGAGGGGGAATAAGAGCCTCGTTTTAGTGACTACTTGGGCCTGGTTGAAGTGTGACGGTTATACGGTAGTTCGAGTGGAACTTTAGATGGAGTGTGGAGGTTCTTCTTTTAGTGAGGGCAGCCTTCCCATGACCCACGATCTCATTTCATTCGCCATTCTGCCGCGGGAGAAGCAAGACAACGGGAAGAGTTAGTAAAATATGAGGAAGTACGAGGACACGTGGGTCGTGGACCGAACCATGTTCGAGTACGTCAACCAGGTACGGACACTCTAATATATAGTATTCGTGATGCAAGGACTCTCAATCGACGGCAATGATGGTGTTGCTATTGCAGGGTGGCTGTAGCTGCTGCGGCGTGACGCACACCATCATGAACATGGCGGACTTCGCCAGCAAGTGCTCGGACTGGGGTAGGTTGGCAACGTGGAGGGGCTCATAGAATGAAGTAAGCTAACCGTGCTGATCATTCTTCCCAGAGACGGATGACGAGAAGAAGGAGCAGTTCTCTCCGTGGCCCATGTTCATCCACGAAGAGATCCTGACCGAGCGCGCTCGGCTGCGGATGGCGATGAAGGCCGACATGAACAAGTACAAACACTTCGTGGACGAGCACATGAAGGGGTTCATAGCTTGGTGGTCGCGATTTGGAGAGAACTCGAAAGCGAGGTGAGAGAAATAGGCCTCGACGTTGAAATTGAAGAGGCTGTTCTGACGATAGCGTTGGTGTTGACAGGATCTTCCAGCTACCGGACGAAGAGGTGCTCAGCTACTTCCGCGTCCACACGAAAGTCAAGGGGTCCTACGAAATCGTACGCCTTCTGGTCGGATACTCGTTTGAACTTGCATGGACTGACGCGCTTGTGGATGTGGGGGGGGGTAGCTGCTCTGCGCCATCCTGGAGCAAATCCGCCACTTCCAGGACACCGGGTACACAGACGGTCGAGTTGCTGCTGAGCTCTTCTTCGAGAAAAACCTGGTGGTGCGTGAACAGTAGAATGAATCGATGTGGTTGAAGGAGGCTGTTCTGATGGAGTGTTTGCTGGCTGCAGCACCAACGGGAGAGCTTTGTGCTCGACTCGCAGTACATCGCGATGGAAGCTGGCGACATCAACTTTTTCGAAATGTTGAAGATCCTCGGCGGACCGAAGCTGCTTCCTGTTCGGACATGTACGTTAGTGGCTGTGCACAAGTAAGGTTTCAACGAGTGTACTAATGCGGTTGTTTGCTGGCGTATGACCAACGTAAATGTAGTCCGTAACCCCAACGAGAAGAGCGAGGCTGAAGCTGAGCAAACCAAGAGCGAGAACAACGTGCAGAGCTTCCGCTCTGATCGACGTCTTGTTCGTCTGGTAGGTGGTTCCCAATACTTTCGTTGTCTAGTTCCTCTTATTGTTTGCTGACGCTTTGTACTGCTGCAACGTAGGTGATGTTTCGCATTTTTGCTGACATGGCTATTCGGAAGTACATGCGCGAAGTGGTGAACGTCGACTAAAATCATTCCATGCTGGGCAATAGCGGCATCGGCGAGAAACTCCGAAACAAAACAAGAATCTGCGCTCAAATGAAAACTTGGCCCGCGACTGTCGCCACAACAAGCAGATGACAACAAACGTGTACATTTGAGTTTAAAAAATGCATGCGACTTTATCCTTGTCAGAATCTTCGCCCCGTGCGTCTTGACACCTGAGTTAACTCTACCTCGGTCGCTCACTCTAATTAGCGGTGACCGTGACACCCTTCTCCTTTGCGGCATAGTACTTGCGGCTCTCCTCGAAGTATCCGTTGGGATGGTTGATGAGGACGTCGGGGTCACTTCCGGGGTGGGTAGCCTCGAAGTACTTTTTGCAGGCGATCTGGTAGTGGTGGTTCTCTGCGAGCGACAGAATTTCCTGCTGGTCACCTTCCGGCACGCCCTGGAGAGCCTTGCGAAGGTGCTCCTGCTCATAGTGCCGGAACGGACATCCGTGATACTCGCCGTTCTTGGGCGGGTCGCCTGTGATGATGCGCATGCAGTTGGAAGGCGCGTAGTCTTTGCGCTTGCCTTCCTTACCGTAGTTGTGACGGATGTTGTACGCGTACTTCTTGTTGAAGTCGTCCACGGACATCTTCTTGCAGAACTCCTGCTTCCAGTACGCGATAGCATCGTCGAGCTGAAGTCCGATACCCTTCAGGAACAGACCATATTGCTGTCGTCCTGCGAACTTGAGGTGGTGGTTGAGCTTCAGGCCCTTGTGTAGCGAACGCATGCAGAGCGGCATGGAGGTTCCTGCCAGTCCGTCGATCATGTCCGGTCTAATAGCATTCTCCGATCCAGGCACGGGCGTCGCCGAGTAGTCTGCGTCGATGTGGTGCTTGGCGAGGTTCGACAGCACAGGAGCGAGGCGGTCGTCCTTGCTGATCAGCGAGCGATTATACTTGCGGAAAGCGCCCGACAATTCCTTCGATAGCTGCACAGCAATAACAGTAACAACAGCGTTAACATTGAAGCAAGAACCAAGCATTGCTAAACCCCCACCACCTACATTGGCACGGAAGGCAGCAAACAGAATGGACACCACGTGCTCGAACGGCACGTAGGCCGTACCAGCCTCAATGTACACTCGTCGAGTAGCCACCAGGTCCAGCGCCTCGGTGAAAGGCACCTTGAAGTACGCCGGCAACGGGTGTCCGCGAACCTTGGGGTCATTTGCATCTCTGACAGCCTTCAGCTTGCTCTGCCGTGCTTCAATCTCCTTCAGCGTGGCCTATCATCACACCCACCGGCAATTGTCAGATCTTCTTGTCATTATCCTCTAAATGCATTGCATCTCCTCCCTCTTACCTCGTCATATGAGAGTCCGTTCTGCTTCATGAAGAGGATCTTCTCCTCTCGCGTGAGTTTATCCAGGCGATAACTGCGTCATAACCCCATCAGTACCCACACCGTACCCTCTGCATCCCCCCATCGTGCAGTCCTCACCGGAACAGCGTGCTCTCTTGCGTCAGGAACCAGCGGCGCAGCTCCTCCGTCTGGCAGAAGGCCATGCGCAGGAAGAAGTGCGACAGCACGTCCTTGGTCGCGTCATTCTCCGCCTGCCCCGCGCGCATGGGTGCGGCTGCACGCAGCGGCATATGCTTGTTCAGCGTCTTCTCCAGGCGCCCCTCGCGGTCCTTCATCTGCACGCTGCGCAGGCGGTAGTTCTCCACGGCCTTGAGCACGTGCAGCCGGTCGATGGCGAACTCCTCGAACTGCTCCAGCGACACCTCCACCAGCGGCGCCTCATTGTACAGCGACAGCATCGACAGGCCCTGGCGAGGGGCCTGCTGCCGTCGGCTATTGCCCACGTTCTGCATGGCGGGCTGGTGTCGTGTAACCTTTTGCGCGCTTCCTGCTCGACTCGAGGAATGGCAATCCGCCAGCACTACAGGATTTCCCGCCAAAACCACCCGAACGTAACCCGGTTACGTTTTGTGTGCACCACGTGAATATAGTGTAAAGGTGATGTGCATGTTGAAGCGACGCACCATCACTCTTGCTTCCGCATTCTTGCAACGGACTCGCACACCGCAAAATGAGCGCCGCCTCTGCTGCTCCGCCGACGACGTCCGTGGCCGCGCGGCACGATGTGGATCTGCGCAAGGTGGTGCAGGACAAGGTGCTGCTCCAGATGGTGAAGCACGTGACGCAGCTTACGCGCGGCTGGGTCATCATGGTCGTGGACGACGAGGCCACGCGCTCGCTCACGCAGGTGGCGCGCATGAGCGAGCTGACGGACTGTGGCGTGTCACTGCTGGAGCGGATGGAGTTCGAGCGTCAGCCCTTCCCAGAGATGAATGCCGTCTACTTCATCGCCCCCACGGCCGCCAACGTGCGGCGCCTGGCGAGAGACTTCGCGGACCCCGCCAAGCCCAAGTACAACGACGTGTACCTGTACTTCCTGCACCACGCGGGCGAAGACGCTCTAACTGAGCTCAAGAACGCTCCTCCATCTCTACTACAGAGGCTGAAAGCTTTGCAGGAGGTCAATGTGGACTTCTTGGCTCTGGAGAAGTGCGCATTCACCTTCGGCATGCCCGAGGCCTTCCATACGCTATATTCTCCTGCGGTTAAGAAGAGCGACAGTGAGAACTTGATGCAGTTGATCAGCAGCAAGTTGGTGTCAGTTTGTGCGACGCTGGAAGAGTACCCTTATGTGAGGTACAAGATTGGACATGCGCGCATGGAGACGCTGGCGCAGATGTTCCAGAACAAGATGAACGACTACTTGGCACAGAACTCGGCGTTTTCATACGCACCAAAGAGAGGCACGCTGTTGTTTATCGACCGCGGGCAGGATATGGTAACGCCGCTGATGCACGAGAGCACATTTCAGGCCATGACGTACGATTTACTGGAAGTGAAGGACGACCAGATCTCGTACGAGGCGGAAACGAATGCAGGGACGACAACGAAGACAGCATTTCTGAATGAAAACGACAAACAGTGGGTGGAGTTCCGGCACACGCACATTGCTCAAGTTAGTACCGAGATTGGCATGCGAATGAATGCACTGTCGGCCTCGAATGCCGGTACTTCACTGGGGCGGGGGAAGAGCACCGATCTTCACGCTATGGCTGCAGGTCTTCGTGAGCTTCCTGAGTACCGAGAGATGTTGGGGAAGCTGTCGCAGCACTTGTTCTTGGCAGGAAAGGCTATGGATATTTTCACCTCGACGGCTTTGCTGGATGCTTCCAACATTGAACAAACCCTGGCCACGGGGGTTGAAGCATCAGGGAAGAAGCTGAAGCACACCACTATTGCGAAGCAGCTCGAGGATTTGTTCAAGGATCCCAAGCTGACGGAGAAAGACCGCTTCCGAGTTGCAGCGGTATTCGCACTCACACAGGACTCGATGAAGGAAGCCGAGCGCAGTAAGGTGATGCAATCCGCGATGCTTTCGAAGAAACATGAAACTATTCTCGAAAACATGGTTTTGGTGGCTGGAACTGAACTGTACAAGCAGAATGGCAATTCATTGCTGTCGAGCGATGACCTGAAGCTAGCGACGAAAAAAGCTGAAGCGGTGGAGTACTCCAACGCACGCTATGACCCCAAGATCAAGGGGGTTGTGACCAATGCGTTGAAGCGCACGCTAAGTGAGGCCGACTATCCGTACATTATCACACCTCCTCCCCAGAGCCCGACCGCGGATGACAAAAAAGCTGGACCGGTGTCTTTGAGAAAGTATGTAGTGCAGCATGTTTGTGGCATATTTTATTGGCAACTAACCAGTTTGGTCTGCATGGTAGAAAAATCACAGGAAAGGGAGGCGCTCAAGACGCTGCACCGGTAAGTTTGATTTTCATTTCAAACTACCTCACCGTGAAAATGCTGATATTTTCATATTTAGGAAAACAAGGTGTTCAGTGGTGAAAAGCTGATCGTATTCGTGAGCGGCGGCGCCACGTACTCGGAGGTAATAGTGTTGCTCTCCTCTCGGTTAAGTTTGCAGTGGTGATAACGCGTGTGTTGTACGTCATCTGTCTTACTGCTTTTGTAGCTCCGCGGCATCTACGAGGTTCGCGCTGAAGAGAAGCGAGATGTCCTTCTAGGGGCGACATCCTTAATAACGCCAACAATGTTCATCGAGTCCCTCGCGACGCTCAAGGATGCCAACCCTGCGCCGCACTCGTCACCCCTCAGGTCAGTCTCACCGCAATGCACTGCAAGCATGTTAGTGTTTTAACATGCTATCACCGCTACTTCCTGTACAGCGGGCAAGGCGCAGAGGTGATGCCCCTAACGAGCGGCGAAATTCACCTTCAAGTTGAAGCGCAACAGCTGGAAAAGCCGGCCCCAGTGAAGTGACGATTCCTCCGCCTTGATCGCCATTGTTGCACCACCAGCATCAACCTAAAGCACAATTCATACTCACAAAGCACCGTTGGAAGCTTCCCGCAATAATGCACGCCGCAGATCGAGCGCCACGGCAGTAGATCGCATACACCGCAACGAGTGACGTGTCGCCCACCGTTCTCACTTTCGATTGGGCAAATCATGATCTCAGTTCGACCAATCGAATGTCTGCATTCTCTTTCACTTGCACTCAGTATGCTCGACTTCAGCAGTCACATCTCATTCCTCCGAGGTCGATCCAACTGCATTGTCCTCCATCATGCGCGTAACCCGCTTGACGCTGCTCGCCGCGGCGCTGGCCGTGTCTGTGTGCGCTAAAGACGCCGCCCCCGTGAAGGAAGACGCCGGCGAGTGCCTCGCGCCGTCCGCCGTCACCGCGCTCGAGTCCAAGGTCGACCAGCTGCAGCAGTCGAACGCCGCGCTGCAGCTCCAGGTGGACTCGCAGGCCGCCGACAAGACGCGGCTGCTGGCCGACGTGGCCCAGAAGCACGAGGCCATCGTGCTCAAGCTGCAGGGCGAGATCGCGGCGCTCACGAAGGACGTGGAGGTGCTGGAGAAGGACGTGGGCAGCCAGAAAGAGGCCGTAGACAAGGCGCAGGCCGAGCTCAAGGCCGCGCTGGACAAGCTGGCGGACGAGATCAAGCGCGCCTCGACGCTAGACAAGAACCTGCAGGCGCTGGAGAAGAAGAACCGCGCGATGAGCATGGAGCTGAGCGAGACCACGTCGGTGGAGCTCACGATGGCCTCGCTGCTGTCGGCGTACTACGATGACGCGCTGGTGGTGGCGGAGCAGGCGCTCGTCTTCGCCCAGCAGAAGCTGGACGAGCAGTCGGGCGCGCTCGACCACGTGCAGGTCACGATCGAGGACGCCAAGAAGACGGCATGCGACACCACGAGCAAGTTCTACCAGGACAACTTGGCTGCCACGCTCGACCCGATCCTCGTGGACGTGCACAAGTCGGTGCACCCGCACCTGGAGAAGTATCTGCCGATCGTGCAGCAGAAAGTGGCCAAGGCCAAGGAGCAGGCCGTGGTCTACTCGCAGGAAGCTCTGCGTCGCGCCAAGTTGGCGCGCGTTGAGGCGATCACGCTGCTGGAGCAGAACGAGCACGTGGCAAACCACGCGCAGAAGGTGGTGGACGGCGTGCTGGTTGTTTTGGCGGTGCCGCTGGTTCTGTTCCAGATCCGCTTGGCGCTGCGCCTCGTGTGGTGGCTGTTCACGACGACGCTGTGTGTGCTGACGTGCGGCCTGTGCTGCCGATCTCGCAAGCGCTGCTACAAGAACAAGCGCAAAGGCATGAAGAAGACGCCCAGCGTTAACGCGAGCTTGAACGCTCCTCTGAACGGCCCCTCGAAGAAGACGACTTCTTCCTCTAGCAAGACCACGTCGACCACCCAGAAGCGCAGCAAAAAGGGCAAGAACTAGGAAGAGCCTGAACCAGGATGCTGCCTGTGATACGTTTTCCGTCCGGACCAAACGAAGGTTCACCAGGAAGTATAGTGTATTTCTGTTTGTTTGAATGGAAAAGAGCAATACAGAACGAAATGTGCTGCCATCGGCGAGACCATTTTTGCCGCCACCCTTACAGCTTCCTTTTCTTCTTGGCGCGAGGCTCGACAATCTTTTCCACAACTTTCTCGATGGTGTCGGTCAAAGGCCCGGTCGTCTTGTCCCGGCTGTCGAATCCAAAGAAGGCGGATCGCTGCTCGGACGAAGTCAAATCGAGCAACACAATGTCTTGAATGAGCTTGTAGTCGGCCAGTAGCTTCGTCTTATCGTTCTCGAACAAATGCTTCGCCTCCTCCGAGCATTCCAGCGCGAATACAACAAGCACATTGGTCATGACACCAACGGCCTCCCTCGTACCCTTACTCATGTTCTCAAACAACGCGTTGAAGTGCTGGCACTGCGTCTTCAGCTCAGTGCTGTCCACTGCATTCGACGCAAAGTTCATGACCAACCCCACTGTAAGTGTACGGCAAGGCGGTGGTTGCCACTCGCTGGCTTCTGATTCCTGGGCCGGGTCTCCTGAAGAACCAGTCGTATTATCTCTTTGCCGTGTCATTAAAATCGCATTGGTCGCAGACGACTCTGAAGGCTTATCGGGCCACAACGGGTGAGCCTTCAAGCAAAACGAGTCGTCGTCCTTGTCGAGAGCCTTCCACTCGCCAGCTTTCAACTTGCCACTAACCTCCAGCATAAGTTGCGGCCAGCTCTCGGCTTTTGCTGTCTCCAGATCAATAATTTGCCCAAAACATAGCGATCGGATGTTTGTACCGGGCCGGATCTGGGGCGTCGCTATGATGTTGTCGGAGAAGTGCACGGATGGATACTCCCCAAAGACGGTGTTCTCCTTGAAAAATGCAGGCAGCTTCTCTTTGGGCAAACCAGGCTCGGCAAACAGGTCGATCCAGCGCTTGAGGCAAGCCACTGATATACTTCCGAGAAATCGAGCGGTAGATACCCGAAGACGTCACCGATATATCGCACGTGGTCACGCAGGCGATACACCAGGTTGACCATCTCTCGTTTCACTACAGGTAGAGCGTAGATCGTTACCTTGTTCAGAGTGCCTTCCCACCTTAGTCGGAAACGATGCAGCAGTTGCTCTCCAACGACAAGGGCTCCATCGAAATCCTCAACCTTGGCCGTTAGATCAACACTCGCGTCTCCAAGCAGCCATGTTCGAAGAAGTGCCCTGTATTTAAGCACTTCTCCCTGGATGCACCGCCACTCGTAGGCTAAGTAAGGAGTCTCGTATATCTTCAAGTCCTTGTAGGTTCTGCACTCCAGCAAAAGGTCAAGTACCCTCTGAGAATTACCCGAAGTATTCCAGAAGATAAACTTTGCTGCTTCCGAGCCGTTGATCGTCATGGTCTGCTCGTGTACATTCCGCAAGAGTCCAGTTTCACCTAGCACCAGAAAATATACCCGCGGAATCTCCATCCACACTTGCGATACATCCCTACAGAATGCGTGGAACAAGCTAAGCTCCGTTGTGGTGGCTGGAGGGTTCATGAACCAGCGTCCAATGTCATCGAAGACGATGAAAAGAGGCCCCAGCTTCTTCACTAGGCTTTTCGTGAGTGAAGCCAAATCCATCGCGCTAGCCGCTGTGACGTCCAGCTTGGTGTCAGGTTCGAGTTCATTATTTATGGCTCGCACCAGCGACGTGATAACGAGTGGGGCGCTCACAGGTCCTCGAAGTAACTCGGGCGACGGAGGAGAAAGGAAGATGGTGTGGCAGGCGCACAGCTCGTGTGGGAACGGGTTTCTTGGCGACTCCACAGGCCACATCTCTCGGCACCACTTAATGTAGTTCCACCCGAGTATCGTATTCCCCAGCTCGGGCAAGTTGTTAGAAATTGGGATCACGAATGAACGGGGTTGCTTGGCGTCTTGAAGGGCTTCGTAGTTGGTGCTGTGAACCATCTCGAAGTCTCTGACAGCGCTCTGCTTCATCACGCAATGCATCCAGCCGCCCAAAAGCGTATCTGACGGCATTGTTTCAGTTTTCCAAATCGGCTCAACACCAAGGTGGCCAGGCTTCTGAACCAAAAGATGGTACTCGTCATCTTGCAGTTGATCGGCACTTGGAAGCCTGTACTCAGACAGCTTTTTCCACACACGTATCGTGTTGGCCGCGTTCATCAGCCGGAAGACCTCGTAGGGCACAAACCCCTCCTCCATCTGGCGCAGGTGCTCCTCCGTGACAGTAAACCACGACCCGTCCACATTTCTTGCAACAAATAGCTTCAACTCGATGGCAGCGCAGTGCAGCCTCGCTTGCTCCTCCAGCGCGAACTTGAGTTCTTGTCCGTCGTTACCTTCGTTCATGGTCACCCTGACGACGGCTCCGACGTTTACAATGATGCACTTGAGCTGAATCACTCGTGGCGGCGGCGGCGGTGGTGGTGATGCCTCTCGCGACTGTTTCTTGCTGAATCGTGGCTGAATCGGAGAATGCTCGCGAGAGCTGCTTTCGTTCAGGTCAGTCGCCTACTGTCATCGAGTCAAATATCGTTCATCACTGATTGTTGGCGACTCGCCATTTTTCATTTTCAATTCAGCCTACCGCCGCCACTAGGATTCCAAGCAATGGGCCAGCAACAGTCTCGAGGGCTCCTGCTGGAGTGTATTGTGGTTAACGATGGCACCGAGTTCGCCTTTCGAAGCGACCCAAAACAGCGAGTGACTGCGTTGAAGGCTGCTATGAAGTTCCATGCGCCAGAAAGCATCGACTGTGAAGACTTCGCGTTGGATTTATACGCTCCACGGATGGTAGGCGGCTCCGGCCTAGAAGTAACGAGTGAGCACCTTATGCAACTTTGGCGAGGTATGGTGCTGTTTGAGGTCTACAAGGCGATGTCGGCTACAAATTTCCTGGTGTCGCGGTATCGCTTATCCAAGTACAAGTTCCTGGACTCTGGAGACGATGAAGCCATCCAGATTCTGGTTCGCAAGCCTGGAAAGCTCGTCATCCAGCCAACGTGGACTCAAATGCCTCCAGAAGAGACTCCTAATCTGGCAGATGGGAGGCTTTTCTGCGTCATATTCAACGAAGCTGTGAAAAGGCTGTGGATAGACCCCATGGGTCTGTCCACGTAATTCCGCTGCTTGATAGCCCTTCTGGCACAGGCAAAACCGTTCTTGCTACCAACTACATTCAATGGTGTCGTGAATTGTGGCCGGAAGCTGCTCGAGGACGTTTCCAGAAGGAGCTCTGTGCGTGTCATACGATTTACCCCCCAGTGCCAATGCAGAATTTCGCGGTCGAAAGATAACAGCTCAAGTCGCGAATGAGGCGTTGGCGGAGGCTGTGAGGCGACAACTCGAGCCGGGAACCGAGATGCCGATGCTGTCTGAGACGTCAGTGAATGTCACGGCATTCGCTAGCGGTGGTGAAGGCGTTGGGTCCTCTCTTCGTTGTCCTGGACCAAATTCACGTCTGGTTCATGAGAGACGAAGGTGGAGCTGGGAGCTTGGAGCTGTTTATCCAGTTTTGCAGCGATATTTTGTGCACGTGGATGACCGTCCCGCAGTTTTATATCGTTCTTACAGGCTGCGGCTCCTTCCTCCAGCTCGTCCAGAGTGGCGATCCCTACTGCTATCATGGTCTGTACTTTCGTCCTACTGAGATCTATGAAATCTTGTGCAAGACCAAAGTGCGTCGCGGCTGCGAGCTAACACTGAGAGAGCGGTGGGGGCTCAAATCTGAAGAAGACTTGGCGATTGCAGCCCGCTTACTGTTTGAGAAATCCTCCGGGTACCCTCAGGCGTTGTCTGAGTTGCTGGAGAATCATCCGACGTTTGCAAGCCTGACTGAAGCTGAAGAGTGCGAACCGAGTGCTGATGAATGTGCGAAACTCCACCGTGCACTCCGTACGTACAAGTCGCTTCTCCGACCATGGCAATGTCGTTGATGTGACGGGTGATGTGGAGGATGACGAATGCATGGAGGAGGAGACCATCGCGCACATATTGGAGTTGTGCCACCTTTCCTGGGAAGACGCGCTGTCGAAAGCAAAGGTGTTTGCGCTACCTTCGTCCAAGCGTGACGTCCTGAATATGCTCTATCCGCTGCGTGAACACATTGAGCACATTGCGGACAGTATGAGCTACATGGGGCCCAACAGCGCTGATATTCTGAAGTGGCTCTGCTTGAAGAGCCTTCAAGAGATGACTGAGCCTGGAAGCAAGTCGAGGAGCATGCTGTCTGGTTTTATTAAGAGTGGTTCGGTCCTCGGCAAGTACTTGGACGCTGGTATTCACTACCCCGCCAAATTCCTGGTCCTGCCACAGATCGTGCCCGATAGTGACAGTGACTACTCCGACACATGTTCGGATAATGTGATGGAGGCTGAGAGCGCTAACGTGGAAGACTGGCCACGTCTGATGCGCGAGATCACCATTGTGCTATCTGTAAGTGCTGGCAAGCTGAGATCGCTGTGCTTCAAGTTCCGTCCGCACTCAGCTTCGACGGATGCTCTGCTTGTAATGAGGACCAGCATTTTTCAAGTAAAAGACCGCAGCGCGTCAATGCGTATTTCTTCGGGATATGCACGCTAACGGTGGGGCTCACGGTGGTGACAACTAAGCTCAGCAAGACGAGTGTACTTGAGGAATGCGCCAAGTTTGACAAGATGCTCACAGACCTCGACGAATTCACGAAGGCGTCGTTCGGGTCTATGGTCAACGTTCTCGTGTTGGTTGTAACGCAGACGCATGAAGACATCAGTAGTATGTTCGGAGAAGTGGGCAGAATGACTCACCTGCTGGATATGCGTACATTACGGAAGTGCTGCTGTTAGATTTGTCGGGGCCTGAGGATCGAGAGAAGTTTTCGGCTTATACTCGGAGACGGGCAACTTGAGAACGCAGGAGCTGCTCCATGCTGTCGAAATGGTCGTGAAGAAAAGTGAGGCTGAGGCTTAAGCCGCCAGGGGTTCCGGTTGCAAGTGGGTCGTATTCATCTTCCTTTAGCATTTTTATTCTAGTTAATTTCATCTAAAGACGTGCTCGTAGTTTGCTCGGTAGTATATAATATTTATCTCCTGTTCGCAGCACGAATGTTGTACCAGGACTTGTACAGCTCGCCGATGTTGTCTCTAGCTTCACGAGGTTTTACCGTTGCCAAGAACTTGGACACTCGCTTTGGGTGGATCTCTTTGCGGTAGAACTCCTTGAACATGGGAGTCAGGATTTTGTTCCACATCTCGTTCTCCATTGTAATCGCAGGAACGCTAACGCGCTCCAACTTATTTTTCAGCTTGGAACCAGAATTCACCTTCAAGGGCTTCGGGGAGCTGGCGCTTCTGTCGTTGTCGGGAGCCTTGGGGGCACTTCTCAAAAATCGTCTGGGCTGAATTTGTGTGTCTTTGTTGGTGGTGGTGGAGATGGCATCGACGCTTGAGATGCAGATGATAAGCATCAGTAGTAAAGCGAGTATGTGCAGACGCATTGGTGGCGGCGGCGATGGTGGTTGCCTCGGGTTTAGCGTGAATTGAGAAGTGAGTGCCGACGCCAGCGCTTTTGATGCGACTCCGACAACCGAGATCCGAACGCAAAAGAGGTTTACGACTCCAGAATCCAGGCTGGCGTCGCCGCGCATCCAATCATGCACTGTACGTACTAATCGTCTCCTTCATTCCAACGGAGCGTTTTGAGTTACTCCGTACAGTGCTGCGTGCAAGCTTTTTGTTGTCGCGCCGACCAAAGTGGTTCGACAGTGTAAACAAAGTTCCGGAAGCACCCCATCCTCAGATGTACACATTTGCGGCCAAGAAGCCTTTGACGAGAATGTTGATGGCCCGATGATTGTGTCAAGGTAATCGTCTCGTTGTGGGCAACACGACGCTGGCAGACTTACAGTCCGCACGTACGCGAGCTTTAGGATTGTTGTTGAATGGTTGTTGTGGTGTATTGACAAATTGTTAGTGTTGCTCATGGAGAATTCCGCGGTCGCGTGCGGCTGAACATGTTCATGTTCAGGTCCTGAACATCATCAAATTGGCCCCGAATTCCTGAAGCAAATCGTCTGCAAGGAGTTGAATGGTCGAAGGCGCCTGGATGACGCTCCAGCCAAGAACTTTTTGATGTAGTGGGGCGCGGAGAGCCAATAGTGTTTGCCCCCTTTAATTAATATCGCAAATCTTGAAAGCGGGGGACGCTGTGTGAAGACTGCAAATCGACAATCTAATTTCTAGGATGTTGGCACTATCTTCTTGAGAAGTGCACGTAATACATGCAGATTGACAGTACACAGGTACCGTCCGTCAAGCAGAAAGCAATGATCGTCCGTCATTTCGAAGCGCGAACAACAGCAGGTGTCGTGAAGAATATCCCAATCTCGTGCGGTTCAATGTATTTCTTCAATTGAAGGGGCGAGAGAGGAATATTGAAGGATAGATACCAGTAGGAATTTTGTAGTTTTGCGTGGCGGATATGTATCGGCTGGTTTACCGAAGATCGGATACCGAGATAGAGGCTGCGCCCTGGGGTAGAAGGTAGAGGCCATGCCATTCGTCCAGGATGGGGGTGGGAAAACTGGCTGCTCTTGAACTGGCAACGACTGCGAATGCGACAGTCGACAAATGCTGTCGATGATACACTGCAGAACAAGAGCAAGGGGTGGAAGGTCTTGAATAAATGACTTGCATTATTTGCACACCTGAATCCGAACAGGTTGTACGGCATGCTCTGGGGAGCTCGTGAGTCCTTCCCCTTTGGCTTTGAACGAACGACTGGCCTCAAAATCTTGCAAAATGTGGAAGTGAGATGCTAACGATCCCTCATCGCCCTCGAAATAGCTAAGTAAAATAATATGCAAACCAATGCAAGCCCAGTTAGTCCATAGGTACGCCCCAAAAAGCGATGCGGCTAGTCATACGTACATAATAAGTTGGATATCAGCGCCAAGTAGGTCCATCTTGTTCACGAAGCCATTCACTTCAGTCTTTATCCACGGCCGAGTCGTAGCCTCATATTGATACGGCGTCACGTGAACGAACAGCCGAAGTTGTCTATTGCACAGCAACCGAGGTTAGTAAGTGGGCATGAAGGTGCTTCGTTGCAGCAAGAAGGTATGCACTTACTCGTATTGCGAGAGGATTGACAACGCCAGCTCTTCCGTGGGCATAGCGCCTTCCAGTGAGCCGTTACCGGAGTCGAGCCAATGGATTGAATTGATCTGCCATATCAAGCCCACACTTGCTGTTAGAAGACCTATTGCTAATATGAACCTTCTGAGCATTTCACTTACCGCAGAGAAAAATTGTCGAGTACTAGCAAAAGCAGATCCCTGTCGAATCTGGCCACTATTTGACCGCTTCGTGCTGAAAGAGTAGCGCACGAGCTCCGTCACCAGTTGATTCAACACAATGCCTCCTTTACTAAAACCTAGGAGGTGCATCGGAAGCGCTGTCGACACATTCACTGCATAATACACAATTACAAGTTAGCAACGTCCAAACAGCTCCAGCTATAAAGCTTAGCAACAGATACTGCGAGTATGCCAACGGCTGTACCTCCTCGCCGTCTCAATGTCGCCTGGGTGTTCTGCATCAAAGACGCCAAGTGCTTCGAAGCGTAGATGGTCGGGTCATCTGTACAAGTACACATCAATGAATCAGTCAATAGTTGAAGCAGTCGTAAGCCTTGTCTGCCAGCAACGTACACTTTGTAGCTGCTCCGTATTCATTAGTCGTCACAAAATTGTCAAAGCTGCTGTAGGCTTCGTGCTTGAAGCGGCTGGGTCTCACCACCCACACATTGCACGTGTCGCCAAACTTGTCACCCAGCAGCTCCGCCACCGCCTCATAGGCGTAGTCACTGTAGTCTGCAAAAGGTCCAGCCAACCTAAGAAACAAATCACAAAAACAAATAAGAAATAATATACAAAATATTTCCAATAAGAACCGCTTAGAGCTGCCAAATACAGGGTAACGTACATGGCGGCCTTGAAGTCCTGGACGTCTCCAGGAAAGAAAATAACGTTGCAGCGCGCTGTGGCGTTCTTGGGGACGGACAGGAACAGCTCGTTCTCTCTGTCCAGCCAGCCGCGGCTGCGCAGTCGGAAGCTCGCGCGCTCGACGTCGCCGTCCTGGTTGCTGGGCGGAGAGGCCGATGGTGATGCGTCTTCCGGGGCTTCGCACGCGCTCGAGACGCTCGCGATGCCCAGCGCCGCCGCCATGTAACTCCACATACTGCCGCGGAATTTCAGGACTGCGCGAGAAGGTCGGACCAGTTGAACCTGCGGTACTGCAGGTCGCGCAAATATGATATGCTCGCATTTCCCATATGGATGATTCGGATTTCGGTCGAAAATACACTGCGAGATCGAGTACATTCTGGAACTGCATTTCTCATCTGTGCGTGTTCTTACTGGTGGATAATTATGAGCGCGAAAATGATCGGCAAGGCACCAAGCAAAGCACAGCACCAAGCAGAAGATGGAACACTAATGCATTTGAGATTGAAAGGACGCTCAGGTAGGAACTCACTGCTGGAGCGCGGTGATGGAGACGAAAGCGTGCGAGTCGCGCACGAAGCGGCCCTTGACGCGCTGGCGCTTGGCGGCGCTGGCGCGTCGCGTGTCGGAAATTGACGGGTCGGGCTGCTTCGTCGCGGGCGAGCGTGTCTTCCGCTTGGACTTCCCGACGCGCTCCTCGCGGGACGGCGGTGGCGGCCCGGCCATCAGGACGCCGGGCGGACCCACGAGCAGGTTGCTGTTGGGTCCGACTGGAGGCCGACGCCCGGATCGCTGCTGGTCGATTCGCACCGAGAACGTGGGCACGAAGACCCGCGAGTCCACCTTGACGGGGGCGGGCACCTCCGTCTGCGTCTCCATCTTCGTCTGCATTTTCTCCGTCCGCTCCAGCTCCGTGAACAACGACGACTCGTTGTCCACCTCCAGCGCGTCAATCCAATCGCGGGTCACCGCTGATCTGTCGGGCCCTTCTGCTTGGCTACCGGTACTGCTCGCCTCGAGCGAGGTGAACAGGTCCGCCATCAAGTCCACATTCTTGGCGTCTTCACAGTCGGCAACCGAGTACGAGCCTTCCACTGACTCGATCGCGTCTTTGTCCTCGAGCGTCGCAGAGATGATCTCCGACAACATCGCCACATTCTCGGCGTCCGCTTGTTCCTGCTCTTGGATCGCTGCGACGTCTTCAAAAGCACTGAAAAATCCGAGTGACTTCTCCACGTCCGCTGTCTCCAGCTCCAGCTCCTTGGTGTCGACAACATCCACGGGCGACGACGTCGTCACCTCCACGCAGCCGTCCTTGCTGTCTTCCAGCCACGAGAACACCTGGCTGATCTCCTCCACGTTGATGGCATCCTCGTCCTCGATGAACACACTGTAGTCCACGCCGGACAGCTCCTCCTGCTCCACGTTCGAGAACAACTCGCTGAGTTCGTCCACATTGAGCGAGTCTTCCACTTGCTCCACGCATTCTTTCTCCTTCTGCTTCCCCTCTCCTCCTTGTAGTTCCACACTGTTCCTCCTCTCTCTGGGCTTGTCGAGACACGCCTCCCGACAAGCGTCGGCCGCCTCCAGCCCGCTCTGCGGCAGCAGCGATGGACCATCATTCTCGCTCCAATACAGGGGCGAGTCTGCGGCCTCACGCAGCGCCGAGAGCGAGGCTGGAGGCGGGTTCCCGGCGCCTAAGCGCCAAGAAGAAGACGCCGCGACTGGTGGGTCATTGGCGCCATCGTGTCGAGCCGCTGGCCCTCGAAGGGACTGCGGCGAGTAGTAGAGACGGCTGAGGCGGCGCTCATGTGAACGCTCGCGAACGAAAGAAAGTCGGGCGAGCGAAGGTTGCAGAGTCTAGCTCGGTCGAGAGGCGACGCGAGCAGAGGGAGAAGCTGCGGGGCGGGGCGGCGGTCAGAGGCAGACGAGCACAGACAGCCACACGCGCGCGTTGGCTTCTTGGTCTCGGCAGGCAGCGGCTCGGAAGAGGGCGGACGGTTCAGGCGTCTGCTGTCTAAAGGGGGAATGACCAGTCTTTCAGTCGGTTAAGACGAGAACGCGATCGGATTGGCTGAAACAAATCGTAGAACCCCCTCTGAAACAGAGTTTCCTAACGGAATGGATGGGAACAGAAAAACGATATGTATCGGATTATCTTGACTGTTAGACTGCAAATATAAATACGCATTAGTAATTAGGGCTGGGGTGAGTGATGGTTGTGAGTGATGGTGTACGCAATTGATTGCACCACTCCGGGTCTGACTTCAACGTCGAGTGAGTGTCAAGCAAAGAGCTTCAAGCCCGCTGCGCGGCCTTGCGGTGGCGGATGCAGAGTCCGCCCTTGCGCGCGGCCTGGAAGCACTCGGGCGCGGCGCAACGCTTGCCTCCTCCGTGGCTGTAGCAGAAGCCGCCGGCCTGCGCGCTCTTGTTGCACGCCTTGGAGGAGCAGCGCTTGCCCCCTCCGTGCGAGATGCAGAAGCCGCCGCCGTGCGCGCACTTGCCGCAGCCGTCGACCTTGCACTGCTGGCGGCCGCCGTGCGACATGCAGAAGCCCTTGCGCCGTGCCACGCTGCCACAGCCAGCCACCTTGCACTTGCTGCCGCCGCCGTGGGCCTTGCACCTGCCGCCGCTCTGAGCGACCGTCTGGCAGCCCTCGAAGTTGCAGCGCTTGCCGCCGCCGTGGCGGATGCAGAACCCGCCGGTCAGCGCGTACTTGTGGCAGTCGGCGATGCCGCATTGGCGGCGGTGGTGCGGGTTCTTGCCGCGGCGAGTGGGCAGCGCAGCGGGGGCCTCGGCGGACAGCAGATCGTGCAGCGATAGTGGGCGACGCGTCTTCGGGCTGATGGTCGACGGCTCCGGGAAGGTGGAGCCGTGGCAGATCGGACTGGTGGGGGTCATGCCTGGGCTGGTCGGCGAGCCCACAGTTGGCTTTGTTGGACTGGCGACGGGCGATTGCTCGGCGACTGGGCTGCCGAGGTTGACGAGGCCCACAGCGCACTGCAACGGTGGCAACATGGCAGTGTCGGAAGCCAGAGGCGAGTCAGCATCGTCGGTGGTGGCGGCGCTGAATAGCGAGCGGATACCAGGCAGCCGTGCGGGTTTGGTCTTGTGTCGTCCGGGGATGGCTGGGGTGTGCGAGGCCAAGTGGGTCAGGATCGTGGCGGTGAGCTTCAGGCTGTGCAGCTGCTGGTAGTTGGTGTACTGCGCGCAGAGGACCATGCTGGCGGAGTCTGTCGGACGGAGTGGCGAGCGCGTTTGAGCGGTGCAGGTATTGCCCGGCGAGCAAATAGGAGAATGAGACTACCGTCCGTCGGACCTCGAGCGCGCAAGCGGAGTCTGTAGACGGGAGGCGAGGGAGCATCCCGTTCATCCGGGGCAACGAGGGAGGAGCAGGATCCTAGCCATCGACGAAAGGCTCCGTCGTCGCTCCTCGCGCGATCCTGCTGGCTATGGTTTGGCTTGCTGCGTACCGAAGCCAGCGAGCGCCTGACCGACGGCATCGAGCATTGTGGACACCGCGCCCATATAGTCGGTTTGCGCGCGACCAACTCTCCTACGAAGAACCCACTCGCGTGGCGGCCATTTCGCGCGGGATGTATGGCGACGCGTCCGAGGCAGCGTCAAGCGCGCACGATGGGCTGAGCGCAGTTACTGGTGTCCAGGTCTCCTCGCGAAGCCATCTAGCGCTCGTCCGCAAGGAATGCTGCGCTCATCAATGTGCGCCTTAGTGGCGAGCCTGCGAAACCCGATGAAAAGCTGAAGTTGGCTGCGCCGTCGACAGTGCTCGCGTTGCAGCGACCTCTCAAACATGATACCAGCCTGTCTGAGTGCGACCAACAGTTGGCGCAGGAATTTTTCGGGAAGGCAGAACCGCATTACCGTCGCCGCTCACCAAGCATGACTCGGTCGTCAAGCGTGGATGGCTGGGCTCCGCTGGGATCACTGGCTCGGCTCTTTGGCGGCCAGTCATCAGTGCGCAACCCGGCACACCGAAATGAAATGAGACTGCGATCGCTCGTCGCGCTTCAGGTCGAACGGAGCTGCTAAGGTTCGTAGGAGAGAGAATCCTGCCCTGCAGCAAGGACGGCCAGGGCTTCGATGCGTTCGTCGACAGCACCGACAAGCTTCGAACGCGATTACTTACGTCGATGAACGAGCTGGCTTAGCGCGTGCATCTTTGCTCGCGGGTGTATTGACAATGCCGATGAAACGACGCCTGATACTGGGGACCTGAGTTGCTGGTCAAGCACACAAAGTCACTGAAGATCGCACGGCATCGCAGTCGCAGCAATCGCTTTGACAAACTCAGGGCTGCGTCCGAAGCGCCGCACAGGAAGCGATGCTCCGTTCGTCTACCGGCTGCTCCGTGCCGTCCGCGACACGCCCCGCAACGAGCCGCGAACAAAGCGCGCTCCTCCCCCGTGGCTCAGTTGTCCCGCCGCTTAGCAGCGAATGCCATCCTCCCGTCCTGCGTTCAACGCAGAAAGAAGTTGAAGTGACCGATGGTCTACCTCTAGCAATGCATAAGTGAGGTTCAAGTTGAAGTGGGTGCCTCCATAATAACATACCGTCCTGTCTTTATTGCATCTGTCATCAGGTGTTCAAGTTGCAGTGCCCCGGTAGCGGACCGTTCGCTGCGCTGAAGTCGATGCTGTGCTTGCAGGAGCGGCCTCAGTCAACGGTGTTCGGACGCGCATTCCCTTCCCACCGGTAGTGGCGCTCTTTTTAAGGCTGCCTCATTAATTGTCGGACTACTAGCTCCGCGCTCGCCTCTGCATGCGACCATCGCCAGGTAGGGCGAGGCGCGCGTGTTGACTGCCTGGTCAGGCGCTACAGGGACCAGTTAGCTTCGGACTGGCATGGCGCGCCAACTCGAACTGTGCCCATGTCAAGCGATCAGCGCGTCAACGACCGACCCGGCGATAGTGGCACCAAGTCGATCGTCGAACACCCGCCCGACTGTATACGAATGCGTGGACGAAGCAGAAACGCGTATGACATTGGCCCGGAAAATCTGGCGAGGTTGATGCTGCGGTGAGGCGACGGAGGACGATGCCCATTAGTGGCGGTAGGTCGGCATGGGTGGGCTTGTTTGAGTTCGATTTCGGGCGCTGATCCATCGACCCCTGTCGAACGCTATTAGTCACATTCGATGTGAGCCATTCAGGCGGGACCGCCCTGTCGTCCGTAGCACTTCGACCAAAATCCACCATGCATCGCCAATACGAGCAGTAGGCTAAAGCTCCTAAGTATGCATTGGTGTTTGGTCGCTTAAGGACAGAGCACCCCATGGATTTCTTGTGTAGATGTCGCTAATGATTACTCTGTACGTGCACCGCCAGGTTCAAGCTTTTGGTCCGATGTTGAGGCGGTGCCACCGACAGCCGCGACAGATAATCAACAAGAAGCAAGTGAGAGTCCGTGCGAACAAACGCTGACGACACACAGCTGAAGAGATGAGTTGGATAAGTAAAAGAATGCGGACACATTCTCTATAGAGGCGAGATGAATGAAACTAAGTTTAGTAAATAGGGGGAGTCGAACCTTAAAAATGGCGACAAAAATATCAACAGAGACGGGGCCGAATAATCAGTAACGTTCTGCCCCAAAAATCAACAAATCAAAGTAGGGTACACACTCTCAGTTTTCGCATGTAGGTGAAAACAGCGAATTATCACTTCCTTTTTCGCCAGCACGCGCAGGCTCTTGCTTAGTGCATATACATCTTCTTATATTCAGCTTTATACCTAGCAATGGCCGACTCCAACGTAACACTGTCCAGCAGCTCACAATGTCTCCATCATCGCGAGTTGACATCTAAGACTTGTTTATAGTGATAGTGAACATGTTTATTTGGAGAGGATTCGTGTGAAAACTCGCCTAAATACATACACAACAATTTCTAGTTAAGGAGGGACTTCAAAAACAGCTGAAATTGTATCAGAGGTCGAGGAGGGAACAGCAAGCGGTACCACTTGAAGTTCGAAATCATCATGATGATTTTTCAAATCAACCACCTCCGGAGGTGGTTGATTTTGAAAATCAACAGTAGCGCTGCTCGAGTCTCTTCGAGGCTCTTCGCGCACGAGGTCTCTCAGCCTTCTGCATGCCCAAGTCAAACTTGCGTTGCTTTCATTAGATTAGCCCCGTAGCAATTGCATCACGCGAGCCCACTAATCCATGCGCACAACTCTACCTCTGTTGACTTCCACAGCTAAATACTTCTGCTCTTTCTTTCAAGGTGCTACATGCCTCCGTCACTAAGAAATTGCAGAGTTATCTTGGATCTCAATATGTGAATTTTGCTTTTTCTCGTGCACTCTTCTTTACCAGAATTGTAGTGGTTTTACTGCAATTGTTTCCGGCCGGAGGAATTACTCGCCTCTTCCGGCAGCTCTATTGGTCACCAACTTGGTGCTGCTCAATGCGAAAGCTTCTTTCCTCTTTCTGCAGGCTGCCCATCCGACAGCAAGTGTGCGGTACACCATGTTTCTAACTCGTTTTTAAATGGCCGGGCTGTACCAATTGAAGCTCAAGGGCCATAGTGAAAGCCTCTTCCCAGCTGCAACTGGTACAGCTCCATATTTTGGGCTGAATCTCATTGGCCGAAAGGGCCACTTAAACGAGTGACCTGTGTACTTTAACAAGTGAGGTGGGCGTCCCCTCGTGCGAGTGGCCCTACCGCTGTATCCCGTAAAAGTGTATTTCTATAGTGCAATCCGCAATGGCCGTAACAAACCATGAACTTAAGCCGGGGTAGTACCGTACTTTGCTGAAAAAATGTTCAAAAGTAAATGGCTTCAAAGCGAGATTCAATTGAGAGGTGGAATTTCTGAATCTGCCAATTCACAAATATGAAGGGTCGCCCCATGGAAGTCTTCCGTACGGGCAGAGTATACACATACCAAGACAACGAAAGAAACAGTATAAAATATTTCCATATTTAGTGATCCAGATTTCACAAATATGTTTAAAACACCTCCAAGTTGAAGCAGGGCACGTTTAGAAACGAAAAGTGAGCGGTATACTCTCAGCCCTTCAGGCTGAGAGAACAAGATTTCGCCAAAATAACCAACATCAAATCGCCCTAAAAATCAGTGGTCAATAGGTTTTGTATTAGTTTGCGTACAAAAGGTAAAGAGTCTTCCCTTGGCGCTCTTATATAATGAAAGTATAGCGACAGTCGAACAACTCGGTAGAGTGGAGGGAGGTTCCTCTTCAAGCGAGCAGAATGGTCTGGAGGAACTCGATGTCGTCGTCGCTCCAAGTCTCCTTGTCACCCGAGCACGAGACGATCGGCATGTAGCCAAAGTTGTCGCCGAGGCTGCTGCTGTCGTCAATCTCGTCCTCGCGGAGTGCCGGCATGCTGTGGGCACCCGACGCCATGGGAATGTTCAGGAACGATTCCGGGGTGAAATCGTCAATGCCAGTCGGAGTAGGCTCGTCCTTGACGCTCGAGGGCGCAGCTCGCATCTTCGGGAGCGAAGCGCTCGAGGACTCCGCACGCGCACCTTGAGGCTGGAAAGACAGAACCAGAGGCGAGGCCATGCTGTTTTGGCCGTCCATCATAAAGGCCGAAGGTGGCTGCGGCACCTGGATAGGCGGAGCGAGACCGACGATTTCAGTCGCACCGGGCACCGGAGCCGCACCGTTGGCGTTGGCAGTAAGCACGTGCAGGGGGTGGTGCTGGGGCAGCGGGATGCCTAACGTCTTCTGCTGCTGGTGCTCGTAGAATAGCTGCTGGGCCACGGCCATCGAGACCTGCTTCTTGAGCACAGCGCGGCGCTGCGAACGCTCCCGACGGCGAATCGCGTGCACAGTCTGATACTTGCGGTCGCTGCGGCGCTGGATCAAATTCTGCTTGATGCGGTGCTCCTCGCACAGCGAGTGCGCGTCACCGTTGCGCTTGAGCGTGCGCTCGTTGAAGCACTTGCCGGTCTTGTACTGGCACTTGCCGTAGTACGGACGCTTGGCTGCGGGCTCACCTGAAGTGGCCGCGCTCACCGGTTCGGCCTCGCGCTTGCCGCTCACGGTACGAGGTAGCTGGCTGAACGGAGCCGTCGCGGCGGAGTTGTTTTTGCTGTTGTTGGTTGCCATAATTGTCTGAGTGAGTCGAAGGAGGTGGAAATGGAACTGAGCTCTGTTTGGACGCGGAGCGCTGAAGCTGCCTATGACAGAGGTGTAGTAGGTGGGCGGGCGAGTCTGCTGCCGTCGGCTTTTCGCTGGCTGGGCAGATGGTCGGCGGGGAGAATTGCAAACTGACGTGCAGCTGTTCGCATGATTGCCGCACGCAATTGCAGCGAGGGTGAACCACCTGGCGTTGGCAGAGACCGACGGCACCACAACGCGAGACTTTCATCGGATAGATAGGTAGATGGAGCTATTGTGGTCGTGTATAATAATACCAGTCCTAACAGCACAATCTCGGTGTAATTGAGGGGTATCAACGGTGGAATTCAAAAATATCGCGGCGTTGTGAGGTGCACCACAGCCCCGCTGGAACACCTCCACTTTACCAGTGCGATGCACTACCACTTTCAACTTGAAAGTCGCTAAATCTCACCGCTTCAGGGCCGCCCTCCCTCAGCAAAAATAAGCTCGTAGACAGCACCCAAGATAGCACAGCACGGCTTAAAGCCGGACCGCAGCCCGCGCTGGCAATATACGCGTTGTTGCGTTGGGGCTGCGTGCTCGCGCCACTCACTTCAAAACGCAACGCTCCCCAAAAAGCAGGTAGAAAGTTCCCCTTGCATCCAACTGCGCATTTCCTCAGCGATGCCATTTGTCAGAGCTTTTTGAGGCTATTGTGGGCTCTCGTCCTCGAGAAGACTCGAAGACGGGAGCACCTGGCAAAACTCGGCCACCACCTGGCGAAGATGCCGCAACGACGGATTCAAAATCTGCTAAAGAGCATACGCAATTCAAGATGCGGTGTTTTGGTAACGATACGTGGTGCTAGCGAAATAGCGCCCAACTTTCACCGGCTCGCGTACCCTGGCGCTCGGATAGAGCAGAGCTCGAAGACGATGCCCGCCTCCTTGCACACCATCTCGGTGCAGCTCTCCGAGCCACCTGACTCAGCAAGTTTGTGTGACTCGCACGGGTAATAGAGATGAGATTGCGGTCAAAGCTTGAGCACCAAATCACTAGGTGTCTATCCATTGAAGTCATGTCGATCCTTTACAAAGCAACACGCCACGTGGTACTCGACTCGTCTCGTTGATACCCAGCCGTTCACTGAAGCGGTCCCCGACTCCACTAAGTCGCATTACACAAGCGCCGGCTGTAACCACCAAAGAGAAAGAGCCCATCGACCCACGCCTCGAACGATATCCACTGCTCCAGCTGCAGCAGCGATCAGATTTGTAACGCAGCATGGTGAGCCCCAGGCCATTTCTACAGTCACGCACGAAATGGATCCGCTCAAAGCGCTTGGCCTAAGCAATACGAATGCGTGAGGTGAGGTGATGCTGCCGTCTCCTCAAGATTCCGACTCGAACATGACACCGTTACTACCTACTGCGTCCTTCGACTAGCTTGTGGCGTTCTGCTAGTGTTCGTGTCGATAGCCTCTAGCAGGTCATTCGTTCGACAATCACGATCTTTGCATTGCAGAGACGCTTTCCTATAGTGCGCCCCCATAAATCCTGTGCAGCTGGAGCGTCCCAACTCCCTAGCCAGGTAAAGCATACACGCTGCTGACTTTCGTTGTGTCGTGCTGACGAAGTCGGATTACCAGACTACATCAGTGGAAAGGCCAGCGCGTCGACAATTGACCGGGCACTTGCCCCTCGCCCCAGTTGAGGTAGCCGCACGAGCGGCCACAGCAACCGTCACACTACGCCCATATTGCCTTCATAGAGATGGTCGCGTCGTTCCAGGCCAACTGAATCGCCCCTGGCGTGCGGCAGACCCATTGGATAGCCCAACACTTGTGCTCAGCTTGACGCGGTACCAAAAAGACGAGAAATAATCAACACATGGCTACACTCAAGATGTTGGTTATTTTTTTTTCAGTGATCGTTTTGTATCATATTTAAACCCTTCCCATTCGCTAAAACTCACTTAAGCCAATCAAAACGCGTCAAACAGAACTTCGAGACGTCGAGAAAAGACCATGGCGTCGGCCGGGCTGCTGCGGCCGCGAGAGCTCTTCCAAGCGCCTCGCTTCGCCATGTGGCTGCTGGGGTCTCCTCACCTCGGTGGCAGCCACACAGCCTCTGATATGCTGCTCGAGGATCGCCACCTGTTGCGTCAACTTGACGCGGCGTTACTCGTACGACCAGCAGGACGCCTCCTGCTGCCGCTTGCGGTTGCGCCCAGCCCCGAGCAGCTCGCCAGGTTGCGACTCTGGGTCGATGACAGCGACGATGTGGACGCCAATGGCTGCTGGGCTAAGGCCTTGCAGCAGCCCAGCCCCGGTGGCTTTGTGGCGGTCACGGTCTTCAAGCAGCCGGAAGGCGTTCCAACGAGCACGGTCCCTCGCCGGAGCAACGTGCCTGGAAGCGTCGGCACGCGCCTGCTGCTCTCGAATCCGCACGTGAAGCTCTGGGACTTCCACGTGCCTTCGGGGTCTAGCTGCGAGCTGCACGAACACTTGCACCCGTATGTGTTCTTCAACCGCGCGCCCTGTGAGACCCGTGGACTGGATGAAGCGCTGCAGCCGTCAGGGTCCGTGACGACGTTCGAAGCCTGCGAGTTCCGACGCGTTGAGGTCACTGAAGAGGAGAGACACGTTCACGCCTTCCAGAACCCGGGTAAAGTGGACGTACAGCAGTACATCATCGAATTCGTTGGATGAAGGGAACTGAAACTACGGCGTAGTAGTTAAATGTATGATTTAGTGTGTTCGTGTCATTCATGGCCCGCATTCCGGTTTGTTTTTGGAGCTCTGGTATTTCTCCGAGCTGCTGGGTTCTCGTTGAAGAAATTGCGAGGTCAGTGCTCTATCCTCTTTGTTTGGACACCAGCGGCATAACTACGCCTACTTTGGACTGCATCCGCCTTCCAGTGTTACTTCTGCGTACCAGCAACTTGGTGACATCAAGGAAGCAAGAACTGACAACGTGCATCGTTTGGACCTATAACTGTTGTCGAGTCTCATACTACGACTGGAGCAAATGCACCAGTTCAACGATACACAAAGTCGAAGCTTCAGAACGACATCCAATACGATCGAAGCGAGCGTCGTTGGGTAAATAACGAGTTACAATCGAGCTCAAATACAAAACAACGAGTTACTGTACTCATTCACTTAGACAAAAATAGAGCAAAGCACAATAGCGACTCTCGCCTAGCACCTATGCGTAGACAGAACAAGCTATCCTACTTCCTATGCAGCGCTTCGCTGCTATTAAGGATGCTGCCTGTTGGTCCCTCCCCTCATCGAACTGTTGCGATCCTGATCATCGAAGTAAGCTCACCAACAGTGAGTTAAAACGTTCAAGCCTTAGCGAGGAGCCTTGAGTATTAATCGTAAGTGAAGATCATATCAAATTGGAATACAGTATATACACACGTGCCTTGAGGGCATGATCTTTGTAGTCGTTAGGTGGCAGATCAAGGATTAGTTGTTTAAGTGCCATCATGCCCCCCCCCCCCCCGACACACACAACAAAAGCATTGGACGCCTGCGTCTTGAGGAAATTCAAGCCCGTGATCCTCCCTTAGCTACTTAGAGCCGACCAAGACTCGATTTCTGCCTCGAGAACTAACATCACGAATAGGTCTGACTTTCCCATCTCGTGAGCATTACACTGTGGCTAGCTGTGGTGGCCGAACTCAATTTGAAGCAATGGGCCTCCTGGTTGTCCTTCGAGCAGGATACAGTTGGTGCCAGTCACCGAGTGCGACTGGCGGATACGGTGAAAAGGATGTCGTTGGTGCCGCACTCTGGGTATCGACTGAAGTACTTATATGTACCATTTTCACTTCGCTTTTCGTGATTGGAATCTCAAGTGGTGAGGACGCGTCCAGCCTTTTTGGAGGGCCTCTCATGGGACCAAGAATGAGAGATGGTTGCGCCGAGCGCGGAAGCAGCGCCGTGCTTGTCGATTGCCACAAGGATTATGAACTACTACGCTGCATCAAGTAAGACCGAGGCGCGGCGGACCTGGCTGACCCCTCGCGTTCAAGACCTCGGCGACTGGGTAAACCTCAACTAGGCTTACTGAATGTATTTTACCAAGATGCGAGGACCAGGTGCACCTTCGCTCTCAAGTCGAGCACGAACAGAGATCCAATGATCAACTCTCGTCCCAGCAAGTAGTCGTGGTGATCGCTTCGACGGACGTCACCCGGCGGTAGTGAACTATGTGGAGATCGCGCTGTGCTGAGACCCAGCCCACGGTTTGTATTTGTTTACAGCTTCGCTCTAGGTTGAAATGTAACCACGCTACGTCTTCTCCAAGGGTCAATATTGTTAACTGTGGCGACTGGAGGATGACAGGACCAGGCAAGCCGCGTTCGTTCTGGACCGGGTAAACCCCACATAGTATATAGTAACCGATTCTGGCCTCCGGGTCTTCTACCGCACGACGTGCGTCAGCTGGAAGGCAGCGACTGGCCCACCATATTTTGAGACTCCGAAAGCTTGTTCAACAGACTCGCGTTTACCCTTAAGTGCCCCAACTGACTCCGTCGGAGCGCTTCGACAGCGATGTGTGGTTGTGACGAGGAACATCGAGAGACTTTGCGGCATCGGAGACTGGGAAACCTCTCATGTGTCTAAATAAGATAGGGGGTCTAGTAGTCAGAGAGTTAGTGGAGCGATTCCCGCAGCGTTTTGAATCTTATTTTTATTCCAGAAAGTACGTGTTCAAAATCTGAAAGAGGGTGCCCCCCTCTTCTGATTGGTCGACAAGATTTATTCCTGCCCTTTCTTCGCACTTTTGAGATGATTTTTGGATTCTAAAACCTACGGGAATCGCTCCAGTACATTACTGCACCCGTGAATTCTGGTTGCGTGTCCATTAAATCAGACCCGCATTATTGGACCTCACCTTTAGCTTCTTCGTGTGCCTTATCAACCGTAGAGACTTCTTGTCGCGTATTGGGGAGGTTATCGGTCTCCATGCTTGGATGTTGGGTCAGGCGTCGTCAAATACACATAAGAGTCGGGATGCGAAACCTTCCACTTATTTTTTAAAAAAAAACTCTCGGGTACCCGAGCTTCACCCGGGGATTGTTTCGGGTACCCGCACCCTACCCGAACTCGGGTGTACCCGGTTCGGGTGGGTAATTTACCCGGTTCGGGTACCCGATTGCGAGCTCTGGTATGCATCCACCTCAAGGCTGCCTTTGGTGTGCCAGTATTATCAATCAACAATTTCTTGGTGCCGCGCCCTATTGCATTTAAACGTGTGATTTGAAGCATCATATCGCCGTTCTATCGGAGTGCAGGAGCTGCACGGTTTTAAAATTAATACGACTGCCTCTTATAAACGAACCAGCCTTTATCAAATTGTATTGTGTTTTGCAATGATTTTGGCAATATGAGGCGAGATTTGCTGTATTTATAGCGACCACCTGCTAGATTTACGATAAATCGAGGTGCATAAATGGGTGGAGGCCTATAATTACGCTAAAAGCGCCACAATTGCACTTTTGAAAGTACAATTGTGCCTGTGCAGCTGCAATTCTGTCGGCTTTTATCCACAAGCACCTACACGCACGGCAATTATGCATAAGAGGTTGGATGTGCTGGGGATCATGGACGGTGGTGTACTGGGCCAATGCATGGCTGCTGACAGGCCCTCCCAAGTCGATATATATATGAGGAGGTGGATTTATGCATAATTTTAGCAAGTCGTGTATCTTCTTTCACACATATTTAGGAGCAGGCTTTGCCATATTTAACGTCTAAAATGGTCGGCAAAATCATTGCAAAGCACAATACATATTACTATATATGTGGACAGGCTGGCGTCCTTGCGATCCTACATGTAACGAACCAAAGCATGACGAAATCCGCTCCCTCGCGCCCCTGCAGTCGTTTTTTGCGCCAGTGGAAAGCCTCGTTGATACCGATCAGTTGCCTGCACTGGCCTTGGCCCCGCATCTCTGACGTTAGTCGGACTGAGTGCTCTTTTTGGCGCGCGGTCCTACTGTTTGCGGCCAACGCCCTAACACAATCCACACTGCCCTCAAGCCATTCATTTGCAGTGGTCCCGGAGCAATTTCACCGACCGACGACGAGATTGGTGAGACTCGATCATACCCAAGGTAAGATAAGATCGGTCGGGAATCCGACCGACCACACGCGCAATGGACGAAGATTGATATGGCTGAAGCATTGCACAGCCAAAAAACTGAGTATAAACCTCGTGCAGTATGCTTTCAATTGCGCGTAAGATATACGGGGCCTGGTAGGACTTATAGGTTCATCAGCCAAGACACGTCCTCTATACGAAAGCAAATGTCATACAGTGGCGGCTTGGAGACGCTCAGGCCCTGCTTACGTTAGCCAGCGAGGTCGAGTGACGGCGAGGGTCAAGGCAGGGTATATTTGGATCGTGCGCTGTACATTGTACAGTACACAATCCAACATATACAGTGTACATGCACGTACACTGTAGCCACGATCTCCCTCCAACGGGCGTCTACCAATCCTTGACCAGCTAGGATGTTAAACAGAGGCGTACAGGATCCACAAGAGTCCACAGGGAAGCGGGATTCTTATTCGAGGACGCAGGATGGGGGCTTGTGATAACAGTGGGAGCCCCTGTAATGCTTTCCTGCAGTGATTTTGTGGTGAGGACCGCCCGATTTGATGCCTGCACGCGTGTGCACCTCAACGAATGACCGCAATCGGCCCATGTCAAAACCGCTTCAACGTGGTGAGTCAGATGGCAACGGTGGACCGCTACACGAAATCCCGCCGCGGTATCGCTGAATCTGTAAAAACATGCGCCAGATTTACTATAGAAATAATAGTTGCACTTGTACAATACAAAGACAACGCGGATCTGCGCGTCCACGAGGACCTCGAATAGGTATCTGTTTTACCCAAAGGGGGAAGCCAATGAAACGGCATGCATCTGTGGCTCCGGTGTTGTGACCATCAGTTTTTCTAAACGACCAACGACACTATCCACCAGTGATCGGCTGCCTAACTGATAGCCCCGCCGTTGCAGCATTGCGCAACCCGCCCATCTGCCGTGGGGAGCAGTCCGCGTACCGGTAGGCTCTCATTACAGCCTCTGTACACAACAAACGCCCCCCGAGATGCCGCGCTCGGCAGTAGCTCAGTTCCGCTTTGTCTTCCTTCGACCCACCTCAGAAAATGACCACCACCACTACCAACGCTAGCAACACAGCCTCTGCTGCCTCGGGCCAGGCAAACCACCCCAAGAGCGGCTCGAAGTGCAAGGCTCAGCAGATGAGCGTGGCCACCGACGGCGAGCCGGCCACCAAGCGCCCCTACCTCGGCAAGTGCCAGTACAAGACCGGCAAGTGCTTCAACGAGCGCACGCTCAAGCGTAACGGCAATGCTCACTCGCTGTGTGAGGAGCACCGCATCAAGCAGAACTTGATCCAGCGCCGCAGCGACCGCAAGTACCAGAAGGAGCACGCGATCCGTCGTCGGGAGCGCTCGCAGCGCCGCGCTGCGCTCAAGAAACAAGTCTCAATGGCCTTGGCCCAGCGGCTCTTCATCGAGCCGCAGAATGCTTTCATCATTCCGGTATCGCAGTACGATGATCTCACATACTCCACCTGGAGTAACGTGATGGCGGCTGAATTCGGCTACCTTGCGCCGCGAATTCAAGCGCCTCAGCATTCGTCGGCTTTCATGCTGGACGGCCAGAGCAGCATCGGGTCGCCTTTCGTGTTGTCTTACAGTGCCACGGGAGCCACCACATCATGGTCAACTACGGGTGTCCACGATGGACTATCTCCCAGTGGCATCGACGACTTCACCCCGTACTCATTCCAGAATGTACCAGGCGTCCAAACCACAACAGAAGCACCTCAGTACGGCGAGACCAAGGAAAGCAGCAGCGGTTACGATTTGCCGGTCAATTCGAGATTGGGCGGCAAACAAACGTGGAGTGAAGCCGACCTCGAGTTCCTGCAAAAACTTTTGCAGGTCTAATGGGAACTAGCACCCCGCAGAGGCGTTTTTCTTGCTGGCGCTACACCCAATTTATAAGAGCACCACAGGAGGTACTTAGTCTTTCATTTGCACACGGGCATAATACATGTACAGTATATAAACAAATCATTCGCCAATGGTTTGACTTTCTCGGTTATCGATAGCTGCATGGACAACCACCATTTGATATAAGTTACTCCAACGCGTCATTACAGCCGTAAACGCCTGAATTCATCTCGCAGATTCGGTTAACCGTTCTCCGAAATCAGCGCGAATTATATACAGTCACACCTCTATAAATGACACCCAGTTCGCTCGGTCTAATACGCTGTTTCAGTTAAAGAATTGATCGGATAAAGAAATGGCTACACTTCTAATGGCTACATTTTCCTATGTTAGGTGCACAATACACGGGCTTTCTTTACCTGGTACCCCTCCAGCATCTTCGTACTCTTGTTTTGTTTCGTCTTCACACAGACAGAACTTAACCAATAACCTCCGCCGTTACCCCCCGACGACATGCTAAATGTTTCTGTCGATCTGTATTTGAATTTAAAAACTGAAACTTTCAGCGAGGCTCTGCTGGATTACAAACCCGAGATTGCCTCGCGATTTGGTTCGATCTTCACTCACAGCCGGTGCCAATGTAATGCTTGCGGGAAAGGAAAGTCAGAGCAATTCGCCGTATCCATGAAGCCCCATTACTCGATTGATAACGCGACTTTGGTCTGGATTTGATACCATCCTGTTTTCGGGCAAAACCCGGATCCCACTGGATTGGAACATCCGCTGGTAATTTATCCGTAATCTATCTGGATTTTATCCAGATTTTCCTTGTTCCAAACCCGGAGATATTCCAACGACTTAAGTTTTCTATTGACGATTTAGAGGACGACTTATGCGGGATCACGGTTCAGTGATTTGAAGGATGAATAGCCAGAAGCGCAACGAGCTATCGATAAAAAACAACGAATGGCGGTTGAACCATTCGCCATTCGTTTTTGTAACTCGCCAAGCTGCATCTTGCGTGTTAGTTAGCTTTTCAATGAAGTATTTGTATGCAGCAACGAGAAAATCCTGCGCTATGCGCTGTACTGTGGGGAATAGTTTTTACTTTCGAAGCGTCAAGTACTTCAGCATTCAGCAGTTTGGCTAGGTAAGTTGTGGTCGTGACAGCTAATTCGCGCTTTGAGCAACGATTCGATCGCAATGCACAACGATTTGTGACACCGCGAAGACGAGTTATAAGACGAATAGAGTGCGCAAAAACCTTGAAAGCGACAATACCAAAATACCCGAGATCCGATTCTTATGTTCATGCTGTTATAATATTTTTTATCACTGAAAATTATCCTGAGCTCGTACTCTATAACTACATTCTGTACATGTACATTTACGTACAGGCTAGAGCGCCTACATGTACGTGTATGGTATTCGTTTGTACAGTGTACAGACGCAACGTTTGATCGAACCAACCGGTCACTCGCGCCAGCGTTGCGCCAGTGCACATGTCAATGAGACTTTCCAATGGCACAGAAAACGTCTTCAAGGAACACGTATGCGAATGTAGAGGCCGATAGGGGATAGGGGTAGCCGGTAGCTACGCCTTCTGCATTTAAAACTCATTTTCATACGACTGTTGTCATTTTCGCCCAAAACCATGCTGCCTATCCCGGATAGGCTATCTGACGTGTCAAACAAATTGCATGGGGGGTCTCTCATTTGCGGCAGCACATCAGTGCTCCTGGCAAGTCAATGGCCTCGTTTGCCCGATTAGGATGTCACATGTGATGTAAATCGAGGCAGTATGGCGAGAACGGTGCGGCTGACACACAGGCGAAACGGCCTCCTGTACTGTAGCTACAAGGGGGGGGGGGGTCCTCACACACCAAAGCCGGAGCGATGATCTTATTCGAGGTGGGGCCCTTTGATCACAGTGGGAGCTTGTCTAAGTGGCGTTGAGTGCCTTCGGCCGATTCAAGCATTTCTTGGCAGAAGTCCTGCATCAGTCGATTTCCGGCGCACACCAGTCTACAACAAGAATTGCCCGCAATCAATATCCTTTGGTCTCCGTGTCAAACCGCTTCAACTTGGTGAGTCAGATGGACGGCTACATGTACACGAATCCCGCGCGATCGTCCAAATCTGTAAAAGCATGTGACTTGCCATGCCAGATTTTAGATGTTTCAAATAATGGGAACGTGCTCTAATTTTTACAGCTTATGAAAGAATAAGAGATCTGAGCGATCCAGAGGACCTCAAGTATTATACAGGGAAAAGGGGACTGGGGCACCATCGGCCGCGCATTGAAACTGTGCCAGTGGAGCCGGTATTGACGTGTGAGCTCCTACCAGGGTTCTAACGACGCACACAACCCAGGGAACGGCAGTTTAGCCTGTGCATGATGTCGGACCGAATTATCTCCATCGCCTAGCCATACAACAGGCGCCCTAGGAGACCTTCACCTCGACTCGCTCGGCAGAGCTCAGTTCCATTTCTTCTCACTTCGACTCATATCAAGCCATGACCACCCCGGCCACTACCTCTACTGCCTCTACTGCCTCGAGCCAGGCAAGCCACCCCAAGAGCGGCTCGAAGCGCAAGGCTCAGCAGATGAGCGTGGCCACCGACGGCGAGCCGGCCACCAAGCGCCCCTACCTCGGCAAGTGCCAGTACAAGACCGGCAAGTGCTCCAATGAGCGCACGCTCAAGCGCAATGGCAATGCTCACTCGTTGTGTGAGGAGCACCGCATCAAGCAGAACTTGATCCAGCGCCGCAGCGACCGCAAGTACCAGAAGGAGCACGCAATCCGTCGTCGGGAGCGCTCAAGAAGCGGGTCTCGATGGCCATGGACCAGCAGTTCTTCGTCGAGCAGCACCAGCAGCAGCACAAAACTTTCGGTTTTCCGCTGTCGCAGTATCATGCTCCATCGCACATGATCTCTGCCAATACCTACGGTGGCCTGACGGCTTCTTCAGAATTGGTCGGTTTTGCGCCCCATATTCAGGGCCCGCAACCTTTGTTGGGCTGCATACTGAACGACCAGAGCACCATGGGTTCGCCTCTGGTCATGTCATTCGGCAACGTGGAAGTCACTGCACAGGGGGCGATTACGAACGTCAACGATCGGTTGTCTCCCACTGGTGTCGACGACTTCACTCAGTACTCTTTCCAAAATATCCCCATCGTCGGGGGCGACTGTAGCCCACTTCCGTTCCAGTACGACGAGATCAATGGGAGCAGCAGCGTCGGATACGTGTCGACGACCTCGAACAAACAAGCGTGGAGTAAAGCCGATCTCGAGTTCCTGCAGAACCTTTTGCTGGCCTGAACAAGAACCTCCACCCTACAGCCATATTATAAATCCTCCAACAGGTATTATATATGCGCACAATAGATCTCATTTACGACGATGTTGCCATTTTTGGCTTAGCGGCCGTAGAGCTATGTCAAGCAGGTAATTCTTGTGCGTTTACCAAGATTCAAAGGTGTACTTTCAAGAAAGCTGCGGTTTATGCGGTTAGAGGGTTATACTGTACCTCAATGGAGAAAGTCTGGGTATTCATGCGGATCTCTTTAAGTTTCGTATTGAGGTACATTTTTGCTACTTATCCAGCTATTGACAACGACATCCCAGGAGATGCGGATCCCGCTGTCGCGAATACATCCTCTAGCTGGTGTCTCCAAAAAAGCAAGGGGTCACTGATACCTTGTAAATTTATATACTGACATGCTTCGTGAAAAGAAAAACTATTAACTCAAGAGAGTTGTTTCCGGGTAGCCTACAACAGTTTAAGCTTGACTTAAACCCGCTCCAATTCGTTTGAGATTGTGGGCTGCCTTACACATTAGAAGATGACGGACACAGAATCCGCGGTGGCATTCTTCCACTCAGACCCCTGACGCAAAATATCCACGGTCACCCCGAGGACGTGCGAGATGTGATTCATAACCACCCGCATTGCCATTTTGATTCGGGGCAGCTTGCCCGGCAACACGGATAAAAGATTGTGATCAGTATCCGGGTCTTGGCCGCAAACAGTGGGAGGACCGGGGACAGTAGTGTTGTGACTTTCGGTCCTCGTAGCGGGTTTTTGCCAGATGATGGCACTATTTGATAAGTCTAGACAAATGATGGCACTATCTAATAATTGATGCTCTTAATTTTGCCTTGAAGCTAATGAACACCGTCGTCGCAAATGCCAACATCATTTGTCTAGACTTATCAAATAGTGCCATCATCTGGCAAAAAAACCCTCGTAGCATTAGCTCCGGCTGTGATAACCGAACGAGAATCGAAGCGCGCGCGTGAGGAGGTCTTTGGTTTGTCCTTCAAGTACCATGTAGCACGTCGTTGGTGCCGCACTCTCTATAATCGCATGGCTAGGGCAGAGCTCCATTGTAGGTACCATACGTACATGTACACGCCTTTGGCAGTAAGCTGGAGCTAATCGATTGCAGAAACGCTTTCCTTCGTGCGGACAGACCCGTCGCTTTCTGCTGTACGACGAAATCTGCACCCTCGCGCCTGTGCCGTCGGTTTTTGTACATGTACTCGTATGCAACAGTGGAAAGCCTCATTGACAGCGGTCGGTCACTCGCACTGGCCTTGGCACCGCACATCGCTGACGTGGTCGACTCTTGCTGCTGATACCGCAAAAAAACACCCCAATGCAAATCGTGTTTTTTATCATGGACATACTTTGGCCCAGTCTGGCAGCTGGGCGGGGACGGAGGTCACCCACGCCAAATTTCCAAAGTTCCACGAGTGCTCTAGGAAATGGAACGGCCTGAAGGCTGCACGAAATATCATTAAGTGAAGTTGGGCTCGTTGGAAAGCTAAAGGGCAAGGCTAGCTCTACGATGAGCCCAGACTTGCCTATAGTTAAGGGGGCCCCAGGTTCGGTAGGGGCGAATTTGTGAAATCCTGGAAATCGCTTTCACCTGCCCCCCCTCCTCCGGCTTGTAACCCTAACCCGCATTGAGACACATAGATAACCATACAACTCACACAGTTCGTGATACCGCAAAACACACTTAGCGCTACAGTCTTGCTGTATCAGCAGAACTTCTCGACGTGGTCCCACCCCGCCGGATAAACATGCTGAGTCGGTACAGTACATGTACATGTATTGCCAGCACGAAATAGTATAATGCTGAATATGTCAAGTTTGCTGAAGCTATTGGGATATATGTCAGCGACGCGTTTAAGAAACCCAGGTTTGCTGTATGATATCTACAATAAGCCTGATTAACCCGTACTGAAGACAGCTTAAATCGTCCAGTGTGTCGTAAGACGTACAGACTACGACTTACAAAGCCGGCAGACACAAAAAGCCGGCAGACGAAGTCAAGCAAAGCTTAACATGAGCAAACCAGCCAATCAGATTCAATCAAATGACTTCATCTTTGTATACCATCTGGTTTTGTGTGCTTTATATGCTTTCTTGTGTACTTTATGCAACACACCGTGTGTTTTATGACAGTTTTACAGATTTGACGGGAGGGAATTTATCGTTGTTTTTATATAGGAGGATGGCATTAAGCATGCCGGCTTTGTAAGTCGTTGTCTGTAGTTGTGTGGAACGGCGCATGAAAAAGAGCGAAAATCTGTGCATTGCACTCGTTTAGCCCCTTTGTCACGATGGGACGTGCTGCCATCCAGGCTTGGACTCGTGTTTTGCTTAGCTAGGATTGTTAAGAGCGGTGGCTTGTTCAGGCCAATCGAACAGAATACATTCTTGCTGCTACACCGGCGTGGAGCGCTTAACAGATCTGTTCTAACGCACGAGAGTACAGCAACTACATGTATAACCGGAAGGAACAGAAAACTGACTTGCTTGCGTGCATGTTTGGATCTGGTTCGGTTCTGACAGTCGGTGCAATGTAACGCGCGCATGAAACGACGAGGGAGCGATGTATACTGTTTGCGGTCAACGTGCTTCGTTTGGCCGCGGTCTGCAGTTCGTGTGCAGGTGAAGGGTTCGGTACGAGCATTTTCATACCGCGTCAATCGCGCCCGCTAGATCTCCGCAAGATTGGCGCGGATGTGCGCTCGTCATCTTTCAACACCAATGGAGACACACCGCTAGATTGCCACAATTCAAGGCAGCATAAGTCTTTAAGTGAGAGCACCGGCAAGTTTGCACTCGTGCTCAGTTAAAATGTCTACCTTCTATGCTGTGCTGTCTTAAGTATCCAAGACGGCCAAAGGCCTGCACCAGAGGTCGCAAACAGTATGCACCGGCTTACCCGGAGATGGCACCGGGTACCCGAATCCGCCCATGTGGGCATTGTCTGAAGTTCGGGTACCCGGACCCGTCCGTAGATCCGAATCCGTTCGGATACCCGATAAATCGGTCCGCTCGAAGTTGCGGGTAGGCATGTCCAACAAGGATATGATGCGGAAATGCCATTTCGCGGTATAATACATTCACGGTAAGCTTCTAAGCTAAGATCTGCCTTGATCTAGCCTTCCTCCTTTAGGTGATCGCGGAGTTATTGTTGATCTAACGGTACGGTCATATGTCGAACAGCCTACGGCACTGCGTGCATGTATCAAAACAGCCCAACATCACAGGTAGCGGCCAGAGCGCTGTTCAGTAGATGACAAAGATAACATAACTATAAACTTGTGATAGTCTTCACTTCGATCTGCACGTGCTTCGCTCTTTGGCTCTGTTGCACGGTTCGGCCCGAACTTCGGATACCCGAACCGATCCGAGGCTGCTTCAAAACTAAATCGGGTACCCGTACCCGTCCGAAACTCAAACGGACGGGTATGGACGGACGGGTACCCGGTTTTCGGGCACCCGTTGCGAGCTCTGGCCTGCACGAGGGACTTGTGAGGACTACATGTATTACAAACTAACATGCGAAACCAAGCGGCAGAACCCGTGTTTGCACGATACTTGAAGGCAGGTACCTACTGTCGTGTACTGCCGACATTATTACAAGTCGCCGAGTGGCCCGGGTCGGGCCCAAGTGATGCAAGGGTCAATCAAGGCTAATGCAGGTGAAGCAGAGCTATCTTTGTGCATGTATTTGCTGTAGCCACGGAAACTGGTATGCTTTCGCCACTACCGCGAAGCCAGAGCGCAGATCTTATTCGAGGTGATCACAGTGGGAGTTAATACAACGCGTCCTAGTGGTGTTGAGTGCACCGGGGCGGTCCTGGATCGGTCGATTTCGGTCATGCACCCGTCTAGCACGACAATTGCCCGCAATCATAGATGGACAGCATCCTGTGTTGAGCCGTGTCAAACCGCTTCAACTTGGTGAGTCAGATGGTAAAACGGTGGACCGCTCACCGCTCGATCGCCCAAAATATGTAAAAACAGGTGACTTGACGCGCCACATTTGGATGTTTCAAATTGCTGCAACGACAGAATAAGAGACCTGCGCGTCCGGCCATGAGGACCTCCACTATATCTCGAGGCGGACTCCAGATGGGAGGAGGGGATCGGGCACGTTTGGCCACGCATCGATCTACATCAGGGTGGAGGGTACGCATACTGGGCTACAGTACATGTATCAGCTTTCAAACGACGAGCGACACGCGCACAGTCCAGGGACAGCAGCTCATTGTGTCCGACCAAAAAGCCGATGCTGGTCTCTATCCGCCTGGCCATACAACAGGCACCCTAGGATACCTTCACCTCGCTGGACTCAGCAGAGCTCAGTTCCGTTTTTTCGTCATTTGGCTCACAACAGAAAATGACCACCGCCGCTACCATCATCAACAACATCTCTGCTACATCGGGCAAGGCAACCCACACCAAGAACGGCTCAAAGCGCAAGGCTCAGCAGATGAGCGTGGCCCCCAACGGCGAGCCGGCCACCAAGCGCCCCTACCTCGGCAAGTGCCAGTACAAGACCGGCAAGTGCGTCAACGAGCGCACGCTCAGGCGCAACGGCGACGCCCACTCGCTGTGCGAGGAGCACCGCATCAAGCAGAACTTGATCCAGCGCCGCAGCGACCGCAAGTATCAGAAGGAACACGCGATCCGTCGTCGGGAGCGCTCGCTGCGCCGCGCAGCGCTCAAGAAGCGGGTCTCGATTGCCGTGGCCCAGCAGCTCTTCATCGAGAACCAGCAGCAGCACAATACTTTCGGCTTCCAGTACGATGCTCATGCATACGCCAACAGTGGCGACATGATGGCGGCTGGATTCGCCGGTGTCGCGCCGCGTATCCGGGTGCCTCAACCGTCGGCAGCTTTCGTGCAGGAACACCAGAGCAGCGTCGGATCGCCTCTGGTGTTGTCTTTCAGCAACATGGAAGCCACCCCACTGGCTCGAACTACGGGCTTTCAGGACGAGTTGTCTCCCAGTGGCATCGACAACTTCGCTCCGTACTCGTTCCAGAGCGCCCTGGGCGACCAGAACTTACCAACTCGGTTGTACAGCGAGATGTACGATAGCCGCAGCGCTGGGTACACGCCGATCGACTCGAGCTTGGGCGACAAGCAGACGTGGAGTGACGACGACATTGAGCTCCTGCAGGCCATTCTGTTGGTCTGAGCAGGAGTTTCCACCCTACTGAGTCGTTCAGCTGGCACTGCACCCATTTTATAAGAGCGCCGAGAATTACTCTTTACTTTTCAAATACAGAATTCGTTATCAAGCACAAAAAATGGTGTCTTTCATATTTTTGACGGCGACAAGCCTATCGACGCCCATATCGAGCTAAGCAGCGCAGGATAACAAGCTGGCCCGTCGGGCAGCGGCAGCATAAGGTTGTCTGCTGGTCGTAATATAGCGCCAAGCTGACACACAACATGTGACGATGTACGAGAGGCGAATCGGAGACTCTGTGTGGATGCCACCAAGAAAGACCACGGGAAGCCAAAGTGTAAGTTGCTGGATTCCCATTGGTTTTTGGCATTTGATTGGGTAACGCTATTTTTGGTGAATCGGAGCAAATTCAAAAATCACGTATTGGATTTTAACACCTTTTGCTTACAGTGTCCCTTTGAGAGTGTATCCGGGCGAGCGTTTGACCCGCTCACGAGTCTATTATATTAGATCAACTGGCGCGAGGCCGGGTTCAAGACGCCCGATTGATTGCCGACACACGGGCCTTTCCACTGTTTCGCGTCTGGCAATCATGCCTTCTTCGGCAGAATGACTGCAACAGTAGTACGCACATGTAGCTTACCATGTTGAGGCGCCAGGACGTTCCAGTTACAGTATGCCGGTCCTATTCAGAGTTGCGGTGGACAGACAGAGCAATCCATCTTTGCACTCGCCGTACTACTGAATTCAGGCCCTGTTGCTAAACGGTGGGCTTCGCGTTAAGAGAGCGCCGCACTGACGAAGGCACAACGCGAGGCCCACCAAACCAACGATGGCATTCTTTAGCTACGTCCTGTTTTGGTCAGAGCGTCTACGACAGTATCACCGCCTATTAATGTGAAGCAACGTCCTAGATAGAGACTGCTGCCTACAAACAACTAGTTTGAGTCGCAGGTCGAACTGTGGACGCTAACGCAACGCGGCTCGGTGGGCCGAGAGTCTCGTCTGGCTATCGACCCGAGAGGGGATATGCGCGTGATCTCGTGGCGTCCAAACGCTGCCCATAACATCGTAGAGAGATGCTTACGACAGACGAGTAAGATTTGTCCACTACTAGCCCCGCGGTTCCGTTTCGGTGTACGATGTCTTTCTGACTCACCTATTTGACACAACGGACCTGATGACGGTCACAGCTCGTGGCAACGGAGCCACACCTCAACTCACGCCTACCTCGCAGGCGTCCACTAACTACAATGCGATGCCTTTACAGCAGCACTCTTTAACGTGTTTGCCATCTCGCTGTTCAACACTTAGATGATCGCATCGTCGGCCCCGAAAAGGGTCGACGAAGCTAGAGCGTTGTGTTTTGAGCATCGATATGTGGACCACAGATTTAAGCCCCCGGGAGGTCGCACTGTGCGACTCGCGCAGTGTGCCGTATTGTTTGATAGGCTATATAATACAATGGTCGCCTTGAAGTGAAACCCATGGCTGCAGTCAGCAGAGTCCCTTTCGGTGATTGTTTGGTTCAAACCAGTTTGATTCAAGACAGCCAAGAGAGCTAATCTCTGGACAATAACGATAGTATTAGTTGTGTTCCGTGACGTCTACGGAATTATTAATACCATCTCATTTTTCTGCCACTGCTTCAGTGAAACGCTGAAAGCAAGCTTTTAAAATATCGTGCCTGACGTGAAAGCGGGATACGTCAGCGGGCTGATACAGTTTACAGCGGCGGCACAATTCACCGTAAGCTGGATACGGTACGCTGATGGTTGAAGAGCCCCCAAATACGACTGGAACAACAGTCTGCACACACAAAGAAAGTGAAAACAACAGCTCTTTTTTACGAGTGTAATGCGGGTTTTAGCCGTTTATGACGATGACGAGCCCCACTCTGGGATCTGGTTGAGGTCTGCTATTTGGTCGACGACGCGTGGAACTTTGAAGTACCCTCCTCACCGTCGGCTAGTAGCCAACTGTGCACCAGCGGATGGGCACGAGGAAACGTTGTCCATCCACGTCCTTCTCGTCGCGCAGCTCCCTTGCACGGCACTATCGATTGCGGTAAGTATGCGGGCTTTGACCGTAGGCGAGCCGCACCAGTGATGCTGCCAACACGAGCTCTGGCGTACTGTATCCACCGAACCTTGCTCTATTGTTTGGGGTCCGGGTTTGTGCGGCACGATATTTTAAAAGCTTGCTTTCAGCGTTTCACTGAAGCAGTGGCAGAAAAATGCGATGATATTAATAATTCCGTAGACGTCACGGAACACAACTAATACTATCGTTATTGTCCAGAGATTAACTCTCCTGGCTGTCTTGAATCAAACTGGTTTGAACCAAACAATCACCGAAAGGGACTCTGCTGACTGCAGCCATGGGTTTCACTTCAAGGCGACCATTGTATTATATAGCCTATCAAACAATACGGCACACTGCGCGAGTCGCACAGTGCGACCTCCCGGGGGCTTAACCCTTTCGTGAGCAAGTCACTAAGTATACTATACAAACTCAAGGTACTTGAAAATCAAAGGGGGCATTCTGCTCCGTTCGAGCATGTAGCCATCCCTGTAAAAGGCGCTTGTTGTACATGTAAAAGCTTTCTGCCAGGTGGGGCGACCGAAGGCCACGATGTTGTCGTGTCAGGCTCTATTGGTAACATTGATGAACTTGAGCGAGCCCTTATCCTGAAGTCTACGCTACTCAGTGTGGACTACGGTTGGTCAACAGCTGCGATGAGTTGAACGCCCGTACGTTGGAGATCGACTGAACGAACCTGACCTGTTAGGGGATATACCTCCTGCGCCGCTCAAGCCTGTGCAAACGTCGACAACGATCCGTCCATCCGACGGTACAGCTCCCGCTAAGCTTGCACGTCTTCACGCAGCTTGTGTGGGCATGCTCCAAGCCGATATTTTCAGGGCATGACCTATCCATATAATATCAAATCTACTACTACTTGTGCTGTAAAGCTTGAATTTCTGCTGAACACCACTCGGTCATGTACACTAACACTGCTGTGTTGCGTCATGGTGGGAAACGGTGCCGACGTCGGATACTATGAATATACATGTACTTCAATGTGGGCACTCAGTAGAGAACTGGTGCCAAGCAAGCAATATTTGTATGATCCAAACTTCTACGTATCATTTTCATTCACATTTACCAGATTTTTGCCTAATACCATTGCGCTCAATAGTAAATCTACCACTCTCACGACCCAAAGCATGTTGGTAAGAGTGAAGCACCATGTCGCCATTGCTGAAGCACGATGTTGGCGTAGGGTTCGAGTAGCGTCCCATCCATGCTATCGTCGAGCGTGGCGTCTGTGTCTAGGTTCGGCATCATGCCCCCCTTGCGGTCGTCAACCGTGGCGTCCGATCAGCGTGCCCACCTTGCCAGCTCCGAGCATGGCGTCCAGGTCAGGGTCCGGCATCATGCCCTCCCAGCGTGCCGACCGAGCGTGGCATCCACGTCGGGGTACGCAAACGTGCCGACCATGCCGTGGTCGCACGTGGCGTCCACGCCGGGTTCCGCCATCGTGCCGTCGAGCGTGGCGTCCACGTCGAGTCCGGCAGTGTGCCGACAGTGCAGTTGTCCAGCGTGGCGTCCATGTCGGGGTCCGGCAGCATGCTCTCCGTGCCGTCAGCGTGGCGGGCCGCAGCATGCCGCCCTAGCCGTCGGCGAGCGTGGCGTCCGTGGCGGGGTCCAGCAGCATACCTCTTGTCGGCGAGGTTTGTTGACGGAGCTGGGTAGCGGCTCGCAAAATGGAAAGTGAACTCGAAGCCGCGAATTTCAAAACTGCGCGCGGGGTCTGCTGGCGCGATCTTTGCGTCGTCCAATCACATGACGGTCTACAGTTCCGCCAATCACGCGCGCACCACGCAGGATTCCGCCAATTACGCGACGGCAATGCAGATCTCCGCTAATCACAACACGAAAAAGCCGAAAAAGCGAGCCCAAAGGAAAATAGCCTGGGCTCAGCTTGGCGCATCCTACTTTAACTTCAACACCAATTAGTACCCCTAAAAATCGTTCAGATGCTGGCAAAATGGAGGTGGATGGCGTATTCGGTATTTTACAAAACTACGTGACTAATGTTTCATTTGTAGGCACGACCACAAAACGCATACCTATCGGCGTCGGTGGGGACGGGCGAGTCCGACCTAACGACACTAATCCCAAGCAATAATGGGTTTATTAGCATATAAGAATGGAAATCTGGCTGCGCTGCGGTCAAGACTCGCAACTTCACAGAAAGAGGTGCTAGTTTTTCGAAGTAAGTGATTTGGTAACCAGGTTGGACCAGAAGAACCGCTGTACGATGTTGCATAGCGCGGAAATGCCAATCGAGTTGCGCTAACCTGAGTAGTCACAACCTGCTCATGTTAGCGCAACTCGGCTGACATGATCGCGCGGTTTAGGTACCCACGGGATGCCAATCTAGACTAAAAAGTAAGTAGGGGTTTGGTGGGCATCATAAGATCACCAAATCACGATGCCCACAACGGTGTAGACCTCAGCTAAGTAGCCATCGTGATGACTACGACATCAGACGGCTAACACAGGTTTATACGCCATTGATACGCATTGTTTCAGAT